CAATGAATATAACATGTTTCTTCTTTTATTGTGGAGGATAACAACCTTACATGACATGTAATGTTAGAGTCTGGATGCTCTCACCCAGTACAGAAGACACCAGACCCGGCGAGTGATCACTATAACAGCAACATGTACAAAACAGAACTAGCAACTAGCTCCCACCTACAGAGTTCTGTTAACAAGGTATCATTACCATAACACATTATCATTTACACTGTCATAATCTCAACATGACAGGCATACTAAATAACATGCTGTAGTTGTCTCAACATGACCAAATATTATATATTATAATATACAATTGATGTAAAACAGTAAATTACACCAACAAAATTTAGAACTGACAGCACCTAAATTGAACTGAGCCTGGTGCGGCCTGCCTGTGAACTGCGACCTGACGCTTACCTCTTCTCCTTTGCTGCCTGGGTGGATCCAGCCTAGGTACATTGAGTCTATTGTCAATGATGTGATCAGTAGACACAGACTGTGGTGCAATGTGGGGTTACTCAGGTGGTGTGAAAGAACTGGCTTCAGTCTGACTTTTTGCTTTGAGTCAGGATCTCATGTAGTACAGGGCCACAGTGGGCCTTGACCATACATGGGCCTTTCCAGGGGGCTTGTAACTTGGGGCTGAAGCCTTTCTCTTTGTACTGTCCGTTATATAGATTAGGTCACCAACATTATAGCTGTGCTGCTGAGCTCGTAAGTCATCAGTCCTCTTCTGTCAATGTTGAGCTCCAAGGAGATGCTACTGAGATATGTGATAGACCTCACCAATACTCTTTTCCAGGTCATGCACATACTCCGCAGGCTGCCACCTCTCTTTTTTGAAAGGCAACCAAAATGAGCTCCAGTCCTCTTTGCCATCATACATCGCTAGCTTGACTGTGGGAGCTTAATTAGAAACATGGCAAGTTAGAAGCCTGTCAATATAAGGGTTAGCCAGCCTAACCCATGTTAGCATTAGCATTAGCATTTCAACAAATGTGGTTTGTGCATGTCACATTTTACTTGGGAACTCTGCTTGTGGATTATAATACGTGTTACATTTAAGCCTTTTCGAAAGGGAAGAGACTTGTCTCCCTCACATTTTTTCCCGATGCTACTGCACTGTTCATAATGAAACTAACAACATTTTGAGGTGTCAGGGAACTAATGAGGAACTAACAGCAGGTGAACTATAAATTAATGATGTCCTAATCAAATTTTAGAGGAGGTTAGCTAAAGGTTAAATATGGAAGCCCCAAATGGTCATGGATTCAAACCTTTTTTAATGCAGTAATATTGACATCAAGAGTTAATTATTTCATTATCTTGGATAAATACGCTTGTTTTCCATTGATAACAGGTTCATTTATTTCGTTATTTAGATAGAGAAAATTTCTCAAGATGACAATATAAGAAATAATTCATAAGATTCATAACAGTGGCCATGACATACACACATACACACTGTTCTGTGAGTTTGGAAGTTTCAAAGGAAACCAAATCAACTTTTGATTAACTTTCACCATTTGTTGTAAGAGTGTTTTCTCCATAGTGATTTGATATGAAGGAATTTACACCATGGCTCATTATTGGTATTGGTATATGCATACATACAGTGGTACAATTAACCAAGACAACCAGGGGTTAAATTGGGCAGCTGTAGGCGCCTGGGGAGCAGTTAGGGGTTAGGTGCCTTGCTGAAGGGCATCTTAGCAGATGGAACTGGCACCTCTACAGCTACCAGTCAACTCTCCATACTGTGGTCCATGCTGGACTTCAATCGACTGCCCTCCGGTTCCCAGACCAAGTCCCTACAGACTGGGCGTCTGGTTGAAACAAATGCGGTTTGTGTGTCTGACAGTTTGCTTGTGAACTCTGCTTGTGGATTAAGATATGTGTCACACTTGTGACTTTTAAAAAAGGAAACTGTCTCATTTGGCCTCCTCGCATCTTTTCCAACGCCACTGCACTGTTCATAATGAAACTAAATGGTAGACACTTTGGCTTTGGAAGAAAGACTACAAAGTCATCACAAAAAGTTCTCTGCACGTACGTTACTTTCACATGTGATTTTCATTCAGCCATCTGATTAAAGTAGCAGCCTCGTGCTTTAGAATATAGCTGACAGCCGCTTGTGAAATAAATAAGAGAGTGAGTCTCAACTACACCTTATTTCATTAGGCTACATGAACGCCAAACTCTGGTAAGCATTTCACAGACATCTCTCTCTCTCTCTCATTTTGGGTTAAGGCCTACACTGAAAAAACAGTCTTAAATAGTTTGAATCTGCACCTTTTACTGCCATAGCCTAGAACCATGCAGGTACAGTAAATATTTCGTCTAAGATATAGAACTTATTTTACAATGACTCCAGTGTTTTGTTCTTTATTGGTGAATTCAATATGTTTCTGCATTCATGAGCAGCTGAGTTTATTGACATTAAAAAACATTTCAGCATAACATAAGAACTTATGAAGGTCAAACATGTAATGGTCTAGCAAGTCTCCAGGAAAACAAAAGCTGAACAACCTGCTCCTCCACACTCAACGTGGTTTGTTTGTTTTGCTTTATAGTAAACAATATAAGTTCAGAGTCATGAAATCTATATTGAGGATAAAATTGATCACACTGTAAAAAACAGTCAGAGAAAGAGGTTATGATATAAAATTAATAATTGCAAAAACTGTAACAGTGTGTGAAGTGAATGATTAACAGAGATATAAAGTCAAATGTATATAATGAAGGCACCATATCCATTTCAGAATCACACATGAAAACATAAACAAAAGTTTGAAGATTACTGTGGGATGGAAGAAGGTGCTTCTACTAAATCCACTGGAAAAAGTAGAGAAGAGAACACAGAGATAGAAGAAAAGGAACAAACAGGTAATACAAGTTGAATGAGTTGTCCATCTATCAATGTTTACCTTTTAATCAAACCAATTTTATGTTTCCAATATCTTTATAATAAGATGCTGCATGTACTGCACCAAAGAGGAGGTTTTGGAATGTTTTTTGGTCATATTTCAGTAAGTAATCAGCTCACCTCTTTGAAATGTACCATGTGAGGTCAAAACATAAGCTATTATTTTCATAAAATAATAATAATAATAATAATAATAATAATAATAATAATAATAATATAATGTATAAGAATTTAACAGAATTTTTCTGAATGAATTACTGAATAAATTACATTTCCCACTAACCCACAGACTGTAAGAAGCCCCGTGTGGAAACTTTAGAAGGTCTAACAGATGAAGCAGCTGAACGACATGAAACCAGTAACATGAACACAGAAAAAAAGGACACTGATGATGAAGAGAAGACAGCGACAGGACACAGTGGTGAGGCACTAAGGACTAATTGGAGACTGAGGTTATTGATGGTTTAGTTAACAAATAAATGATCATGTAGACATGATAGAAGAAACTAAATATGAAAAGCAAAAGATGACACACCAGTCAAGAGTCATGACATAACTATGTGGATTTAGTAGCATCTAGTGGTGTAGTTGCAGATTGCAACCAACTCATTTATTTATTTTATGGTGTAAATGTAAATATAAATACATTTTACTGGTTGACTTGTACTTTGCTTCAACAACCTGTATTTGGAATTCAATATATTTACCCACATGAAAATGTGGCCTACTGTCACTACCGTATATGAACAGAAATAAAAAAGGATTTTCCCCTCCAAAGATAGGCCACCAATTAATAAAGCAATGAATAATACAAAATGCAATGATTTTTTATTTATCACCACTGCTGAACATATTTTTCTCTTCACTTCAAAATTGGTCTGAGACAAGACAACATGAAACAAAAAGGACATTTGGGACAAGGGGATGCTGATAATGAAGAGAATAGAAAGATAAGACAGAGGGAAGAGGATGAGACATTAAGCCATCAAACTGGAAGAAAAAAGAGTAATGCAGAAAGCTTTAAAATGTTTTGAACACTGAACTTAGATCAGAGACTAATGCGGAGAACATGTGGCATAATGTTTTGGTCGTATTGATAATGATACGAAATGAGTGAATATTCCCTCCAAAGATAGGCCACCAGTTAATAGTGAATAATAAATAATTGTAGATGGTGTAATTACACATGTTTTTTCTTTCCTTTCAGTGACTCAGAGAGTTCATTATGGTCTGAAAAACCAGGGAGCCACATGTTACCTCAACAGTGTCCTGCAAATTCTTTACATGACCTCAGACATCCATGACAGGTTTGAAACAGCTGCTTTCAAGTACCAGGAGATTAAATGTTAACAAAACATTAAGTAGAATATTAATAGGAATGTATGATAAAGTGATTCATTTGGGTTTATATAGGTGTCTCCAGCTTAGAAAACTCCATCAGTAAGACAGGGAGAGAACAGACACTATTCACTGAGAAACTACTCTCTCCATAAAGGTTGGATCGAACATCACCAACAGATCTTCAGCTGAGAATACTCTTCAAAGACCTGAAGGAAAAAACATGTGGAACAGAAAACATCACAACAACATTTGGGATTAAAAATGGTAAATTGGACTGTAATAAAGCAAAATAACACTCAAAGAGCAATTGAAAGTCACATATCAGTGGTAAATTAAAGATTGATTAAGTAACAATCACACTGAATGTATCATTTTGCAGTTCATGAACAACGTGATGCTGCTGAATGCCTGGAGTTGATTTTAAATAAGATCACTCCACCAGCCTCTGAGGTGAGTACTTGTAAAATCTCCAATGTTATTTATTGGAAAAAAGAGTAGAATACTCTAAGATGATAGATGTTTCTATCTCAAGGTTTTCCAAGGACGTCTGATGTACACAACAAAATGCTCTGAAGGCCACATCATCAATAAAGAGACAAATCCATTCTGGACTCTTCCACTGTCTCTGAAAGATTACCACGTTACAACCTACAGTGTGGTGAGCAGACAAAGCTCAGAGCTCTAGTTTAGTATTTTAATGTGATGCTGCTCTAATATTATTATTGCATTTGTATTTTTACAGGAAAGATTATTTCAAAGGATTTTCCAGACAAAAACATTTAATGGAGACAACAAGGTTCACTGCAACGAATGTAACAACAAAACAGAGGCAACAAGTGTGAGTTTTGAATTTTGAAATTCAAACACAAACTGTCAAAATGTTGTACTGGAGTCAAATAAAAACACTGCATATTAGTTTAGCATACTGAGATTAAAGGATATAGTGTTTGATAATGTTTCTTGTGTTATTTAGGAATGTGAGATGGAGAAATATCCTCCGATTTTGAATTTACTTCTGAAGAGATTTGACTTTGACTACAGGAGGATGTCACATTACAAATCTGACTGCTGTGTGGATGTACCTCTTGAATTAAAGACAAAGGTAACAATAATGAATATTTTATATGTGATTTATGTTTCAGTGGTGTTCCTTTTAAATGTTTTACAAATATTTCCATGTACCTGACTGTGTTCTTCATCGTAGAATCAAACGTACAAACTGTATGGGATGGTGAACCACATGGGCAGTCTAACAGGTGGACATTACACAGCCACCATCCTGTCCAATGAGGACGAAACCTGGTATGAGTGTAATGATTCTTACGTCGGGAAGGTAAGGTTACTTCATCTATTCCATTATGATGGTACATATTTAAAACATACCAACAGAAATATCAAACATTAAACAGAAGTTAATTTACATTGTTTGGTCTGTTTCTGTTGAATGTTGCAGGTTGAACAGCTGTTTGAAAAAGGAACTTACAAGTATGTCTGTATTTGTAAATTAATTTTATCATTGATTTGAGATATATCACAATGTCTCTGTACTGTATATTATCACCTTTTTGTTGTTCTATTCAAATAATAACATCAGTTATTGTTCACCAGATCCAAGACTGTATATCTGCTCATGTACAGAGGTAGGCTCACAAAAATACACAAAGAAATATTTTTTTAGGCTACGATTGTAATATTCATACGGCATTGCTGAATATATTCCTCTCTTCACTTGAAGTCTGACATGTCCTGTGAGACACATTCTAGACTGAGAATAGAAAGATAAGACAGAGGGAAGAGGATGAGGGAAGGATGAGTGGTGATAATGAGGCATTAAGCCGCCAGACTGGACGAGTAGAGGGTAATACAGAAAGTTTAAAGAATGTTTAGAACACTGAAGTCAGATCAGAGACTGAACTTGTAGGTGGCCCTTTGCTAAATGAGAAACTAAGAAAGAAGAAGGTAGATATGATAGGAAAATGCTCAGATCAGACAATAAAGATGATATATATCAGTTAGAGAAAGTCATGACATGAACATGAAAACTGGTGAGAACAGTGTAACAGCAGAGCACCATGGGGAGTCTGATACAGATGATTACTGAATATTTTACTTTATTTCTACTTCAAATCCCCAGAGTGTCAGAAACCTGCTGAAACCAGTTCAGAAGATCTGACAGACGAGGTGAAAGAAGAACAGGGTGAAGATATTGGTCTGGAAGAACAGAAAGGACAGGAACTGGAAAACAAAAATGTCAGCAAAAGAGACACTGGTGATGAAGACAACACACAGATGGGACATAGTGAAGAAGATGAGGAACAAATGAAAAGAGATCAGGAGAAAGATGCACTCAATCTTCAGGCTAGAGGAGAGGAGGGTGATGCAGAAAGTGTAAAGAAAGACACAGAAGAAAACACAATTGACAAGTCTGAAGAGTTGAAGGAAAGTAAAGTAGATGATGATCCTTTAAATGTTGGAGAACAGTCGAAATACTCCAGTGACCAACCTCTGGATAAAGAGACAAAGACAGAGAAGCAGAAACAAAGACGTAAGAAGACAATGTGGCCTAGAATTTTGTTCTTACTGATGCTGATGCCAATACAGAGCATTATTGAATACTGTAAATTACTTTTCTTCTACTTCAAATCCACAGAGTGTCAGAAACCTGCTGAAACCAGTTCAGAATATCTGACAGACGAGGTGAAAGAAGAACAGGGTGAAAATATTGGTCTGGAAGGACAGAAAGGACAGGAAGTTGAAAACAAACATATCAGCCAAAGAGACACTGGTGATGAAGAAAACAAACAGATGGGACATAGTGAAGAAAACGAGGGACAGATGAGAAAAGATCAGGAGAAAGATGCACTCAGTACAGGAGAGGAGGGTGATGCAGAACGTGTAAAAAAAGACACATCAGTCAGCGTAACAATTCCTGACAGAAACACAAACACTGGTGTCAAATGTGCAACAATGAGGAAGGAAACTAAAGTAGATGATGCTCCCGTAAATGTTGAAGAAGAATTGAAATACTCCAGTGACCAACATCTGGATGAAGAGACAAAGACAGGGAAGCGGAAACAAACAGGTAATAAGAACATGTGGCCTAATATTTTGTTCTTACTGATATTGACTCTGATACAGATGATTACTGAATATTTGACTTTATTTCTACTTCAAATCCACAGAGTGTCAGAAACCTGCTGAAACCAGTTCAGAAGATCTGATTGACGAGGTGAAAGAAGAACAGGGTAAAAATATTGGTCTGGAAGGACAGAAAGGAGAGGAAGTTGAAAACAAACATGTCAGCCAAAGAGACACTGGTGATGAAGAAAACAAACAGATGGGACATAGTGAAGAAGATGATGGACAGATCAGAAAATATCAGGAGAAATATACACTCAGTCTTCAGGCTAGAGGAGAGGAAGGTTATGAAGAAAGTGTAAAGAAAGACACAGAAACAAGTCATGTCAGACAAATGAACACTGATGAGGACTTTGAAAACCAGAGTAAATTGATAAACAGTGGAGATAAAGAAGTACAGCGAAACAATTTTAGAAATGAAGACAGTACACATTCCAGCAGCACAGAAGAAAACACAAATGAGAAGTCTGAAGAGTTGAAGGAAACTAAAGTAGATGATGCTCCTGTAAATGTTGAAGAACAGTTGAAATACTCTAGTGAACAACATCTGGATGAAGAGACAAAGACAGAGCAACAGAAACAAACAGGTAATAAGAAGAACATGTGGCCTAATATTTTGTTCTTAATGATATTGACACTGATACAGATGATTACTGAAGAGTTTACTTCATTTCTACTTCAAATCCACAGAGTGTCAGAAACCTGCTGAAACCAGTTCAGAAGATCTGACAGACGAGGTGAAAGAAGAACAGGGTGGAGATATTGGTCTGGAAGGACAGAAAGGAGAGGAAGTTGAAAACAAACATATCAGCCAAAGAGACACTGGTGATGAAGAAAACACACAAATGGGACATAGTGAAGAAGATAAGGGAAAGATAAGGAAAGATCAGGAGAAAGATGCACTCAGTCTTCAGGCTAGAGGAGAGGAGGGTGATGAAGAAAGTGTAAAGAAATACACATCAGAACACACAAATGAGAAGTCTGAAGAGTTGAAGGAAACTAAAGTAGATGATGCTCCTGTAAATGTTGGAGAACAGTTGAAATACTCCAGTGACCAACGTCTGGATGAAGAGACAAAGACAGAGAAGCAGAAACAAACAGGTAATAAGAACATGTGGCCTAATATTTTGTTCTTACTGATATTGACTCTGATACAGATGATTACTGAATATTTTACTTTATTTCTACTTCAAATCCACAGAGTGTCAGAAACCTGCTGAAACCAGTTCAGAAGATCTGATTGACGAGGTGAAAGAAGAACAGGGTGAAAATATTGGTCTGGAAGGACAGAAAGGAGAGGAAATTGAAAACAAACATATCAGCCAAAGAGACACTGGTGATGAAGAAAACAAACAGATGGGACATAGTGAAGAAGACGAGGGACAGATGAGAAAAGATCAGGAGAAAGATACACTCAGTCTTCAGGCTAGAGGAGAGGAGGGTGATGAAGAAAGTGTAAAGAAGGACACATCAGTAATAATGAGTTAAAACTTCAAAACTGTTAGATATGACACTTAAATTGCTTTATTTCAGTCAAACAAAGTAATTTTTGTTTTGCATTAGTTTGATTGTTTATTGAATTAAATATCAGAGTACAATATAAAAGCAATATGCCACATATAATACAATTCTGTACAATACAATTACATGTCTGTCTGAAGATATTAATTCCTGGTTTACCTTTCCACCAGGGGAGATTATTTTTATGTGATGATTCTCAGCCATGTTCTGGAATTATATATTTTTTTCTGTGATTTCTTCATGATTTTATTGACATTTGTTCACAATAATGATAACAATTAATGTTATTTAAAGCCCCCATGGTATAATGTTTGGTAGGATCTATTGGCAGAAATTGAATATAATATGCAAAGGTATGTTTTTATTAGTGTATAATCACCTGAATACGGGAATTGTTGTGTTTTTAAATCAAATATTACACACTGGTCCTTTAACTGTCCTTATGGGCTGTGTCTCACCCTCTGCTGCAGCTCCACCTACTGTTCCAAACTAACTAACATTGCTTCTTCGTCTACATCCCATTGGGAGGGATGCCACATAGTTTGAAAACCTCTGGTGTAATCTATATGGGTTTGTAACTGCAACCCATTAATGTTATCAACAACCTGCTATCAGAGTAATCAAGATGGAAATGATGATTGACCATCATGTGACACAATACATACACTTCTGTATGAAGTGTTACATTTAAAAATAAAAAACTCACAAAATGGTATCATATAAGTAAACATCGTCAATTACATAGGAAATCAGTTTGATCCTGATGACAGTTTCTCCTTTTAAAGACACTAATACACATAATGTTTGAATGAACTTGTAAATATAAACCTAAATAAGAAACAAAAACTTTGATAATAACTTTATTTCTAACATTTTAAATGTTCTTCTTTCAACTACATTTTTTGTGCTTATAAAACTGAATAAGTGGAATCAGATTATTTGGGGAATAACAGTAAAAACTTTCTCTTTGTAAATATAAAGAAAGAAAGGAACAATTTAAAAAGCATACATTTCAATATTCCTGTGATGAGTAATATAAGGTTTCTAAATAGATTCTGAAATATAAATTAACATTTTTAAGGATATTTAAATGTATAGCTATATAATCTAACATTATCAGTAACTCAATACATAGTGATTGATTCACAGCACAATAAAACACCAAACCCTTGTTGTCATGTGCAATTTAAGGTCTGGCCAGAAGGAGGTAGCATACATCCACAAGTAAAAGAGAAGATACATGTCCACAACATGTGTATTAATCACATTTTGCATTTGTCAACAATTGTTAAGAGTTTACAGGGTAATGTAACATTGAAACATTTAAACAGCCACGGTTGAATTGTTGATTGAGAACAGATGTATCAATGTTTTTCATTTTCTCTGCCACACAGGGATAGAGGTCTGTCTAGGAGCCACACCACTAGGACAGATTTTATATGGTGAACTGGTTTTGCAACATTCACGCTTTAGTTTCAGGCAGACAAAGCAGAACTCCACCTGGCAGCGAGGACATCTGATATTTTTGCAGTATTCTTGACTATGTTCCACCCTCATGCCGCATGTAGGACAGGCTCGGACAGAGGGGCAGGCTGTGACCCCCTCCACCTCGGGCAGACTGATGAGCTTACACGTCTGCAGAAGTTGCAGGTCCTTGTTGATGCAACCGTCATTATTGCAGCGGTCAGATCGAGGGCCTGCACCTTTCCACTGCTTCTGACACTGCCAACAGAACTGGTAGGTCTTGTTCTGGTCTGCTGTACATATGGTGCACTTGACACAAAGGTTGGAGAGATCCTTCCTCTCCACACTCGTTCTGCACTGTGGGCACTGATGTGGAAAAAAAGTGCAAGAAAATATTGGAAACGAACAAAGTATTTGAAAATCAATGCACTTGATTTTGCTTTAAATCCACTCACTGGTTGAACTTCACAGTATTCTGCAGCAGCAAGCCGGGCTATGGTCTCTTCAAAGTACTGCATCTCCTCAACAGACAAATCAGCCAGTCTGCGCACCTCTTGGTACGACCACTGTCTATTGCACAGTTTGGTACCCTCAACCACTGCACAGCATCTGAATTTGTAATTACCCTTAAAAGAACAAAGAGAAAAAGTTAGAATTATAGAAGATAAGTAAAGACTCACTGCTGGGTTTCAATAAGAAGGTTAGAAAAAGAAAATCTGAAATAGTGAAGTACATTTGTGAGTGTTGGACTGAGGACAGGTGTATACCAACAATAAAAATGAAGGAATATCAAAACAGCAGGACTCTGAATAATATATATATATATATATTAAATATATAAGGAGCTTCAATAAATATGTTTAGTTTTTAACCTGTAGGTAAAAACATCTTTTTAAGATGCCCCCATTTTATTTAAATTAGTAATCTTAAAGGTCTAGTGTGTGGGGTTTAGTGGCATCTAGCAGTAGCTTTGAAATGTGCAAAAAACATGAACGGCCCCATCTACAGCCAATTTTTGGTTTGTCTGTTCTGGGCTACTGTAGAAACATGGCGGTTCAACATGGTGGCCTCCATGGAAGGCGATCCACAGCATCTGTAGCTATAAAAACAATTAGACACTAATGAAATAATAAAGTTATGCACATATTTCTTTTTTGCCTACATGTTCCTACACTGGACCTTTAAATGTTCAGTTGTCTGTTTCAGACTCACACAAATTGCATTTGCCAGTAGGTGACAGAGTAAAAAGAAGAACACTAGTTGCAGTTCTGAGTCTTGCCAGTGAAATAATACCAGTAAACAGACTTTTACACCACTATTGTCGTCACTGTTGACACAATTTGATCAGATGGGTTTAAATTTAAGGGCATAAAATACTGTTTTCAAGACATGAGATACCTCATCCAGCTGGCTGCGACACCACCGTGTTAGAGAGTCAGGAGTGACAGCGTGGCCGCAGGACATCTCTGCTCTGAGACAGTCTTCATCATCATCATCTGAACCTGAGGTACACAACAATACGTATATTAGCTGCACTATGTGGGGAATTACAGAGCCTTCGGTAACACTGAATTAGAATAAAATTTAGCAGCTTGTGAAAAGAATATGAAACAGACAATGATACTTTAAAAGTTTGATCGTCTGTAGTAATGCATGTCAGCAATAAAATGAAAACCTCAGAAGCTGTCCACATGCTCAGTGAGACAGGAAATGAATCTTACACAGTGGATCCAAGTCGTCCCTCCTCTTGACAAACTTCAGGGTGGCATCCAGGGGATCATATTTCTTCTGCACCTGTTCCTGTCCCCGAATGCTCATTTTGATTCTCCTGAGAGATCACTGACAAATGTGATTTCAGTTAATACTGTATGCATTTACAGACTTAATATCTTGAATATCTGAGATAGGTGTTTTCATTCAGGCCTGTAAGAAGCAGGTCAATGACACATTCTGAGCCTTAATAATATAAAAATATATGAAATATATGTTCATAGTGTAACATAAAAAATTTAATATTAATGGATTTGTAACTTTGTCTAACTTCAGTTTGGAGTCATGTAAATACAGTTCTCACAATTTGGAGGCGATGAGTTATGTAAACAGGAAGCATAATGCTGCCAGGAAGACAGTCAGTTATTTGTGGGCTACAACTTGACTCCGGTTTACTTTAAGCTCACATTTGTTGACATTTCGGCAAACTGGCGCCTTTAAAAAAATGTGCCGAATTACCCAACGGCAGTTCCTGTTTTAAATGTACTCATGAGTGTACAGACAACTATCACTGGATCACTTTGATGCTGAAGAAAACTTAAAAATGTGGTTATTGTTAGGCAAGTTCTGCAGTTAAAATGGGCATGATTTTTAAGGTAATGGTAAGGTAAGGTTTCTTCGGGAGGTGTAAACCACACTGAATAAATCATGCCTCTGTGTTCAGATTTATTATTTATATATTTTTTTACAGAGTTATTAGTTGAACAACAAAGTATTGGAGAAAATATTGTTGACATGACAAACATCACCTGACATATTAAATCAACGTGACTGAGCTGATATGAATAAATATGACTCATTGAACTGCCACTCAGAGATTTTTCAGCTGGTTCAGGCGGACCATGGATGCATTTACAGTCAAACACAGTAGGAGAAACACCTGGTTGTGCTCAAAACATTTTCATTTTGCACTCATATCAGTAGACTAATAAAGAATAAAATCAATAAAGAGACTGATAAGTCAGCGTGACTCTTAACCAAGGAAAAGGCACAATCAAGTATTCATTTGAAGAAGTTAAAACCACTGAATATGTTACTGCTTATAGTTGTGTGAGCTCAATCTGTAAAGGCTTATCTCTCACTTCATAAATATTCATTTAGGAGCAAAAATATCACCTACTGAAAAACAAAAACAAAGCCTCCATCAGTCTTTAAACTGGCACATTAAACATAGGTTTATAAGAGGAAGTTAGTCTTACCTTAAGGTGCCACTCTCTTTAGTTTGAAAGAGTTTCAGTTTATTCTAGAGCTCAAACCGGAAGCACTACAGCCAGACCTGAAACTGCGCAACTCTGGAGCATTATCTTCCCAAATTCACTCTCCAGGGTCTGTATGTGGGCTCACTTCAGCTGTTTGTGTCTGTCCGTCGCGGTATCTTCCTCCTTCAGGACAAAGTCAGAGAAATCGAAAGTGAAAGCAGTTTGCAGGAGTCGGTCGTATAACCAGATAGGCTGCACGGTGAGTACCGTCGTGTTTTACCCTCCCATTTTACCACATACACAAACAAATAGTCACCTCGTGTTGTCGGACTTTATGAGTTATAGCCTACGTGTGTCCACCACGTTACAGTGGATTCATTGTTGTCTTATTGTAGCTACGTTTGTCCCTTTTTGCAACCTGTTTCGGAGACGCTGTGTAATGGAGGACTGAGGAGCTGCGTGGGTTTCCAAAACACCCAAACACAGCAGCTGCGTTCACTGGTTACTTCTTGTGTTTAACTCACTGCTGACTGCAAATCCTCAAGGTTTCATCCTGTTGTTGTCATGCAAAATTATGAATCGATCTGCGCTCTTATTGGGATTTACAACTACAATACCACTGTATAAAAACACACTAGTGCAAGTAAAAGCCCTGCATTTGAAATTAAGTAGTCTAGATCTCAACTCAACTTTATTTATTTAACACAAAGTGTTTCACAGAGAGGAAACAGAACAAAAGAGAGGATATTAGCAGCAAAATGTACTTAAAGCATCAAAAGCAAAAGTACTTGTGCAGTGGAAAGCCCCTGTCACAGTGTGGTGTTTTTGGATTATTATCACCACTTTAATGTAAAAGGTATACATACTGAGGTAATTTAACTATTTCATACACTGTAAGCTAAAGCTGTCAGATAAATGTAGTGGAGTGGAAAGTGGGATAATTTCCCAGCTGTCAGAAACATTTGTACAAGTACCTCAAAAGGAAATACAGGATTCAAGCAAATGTACTTAGTTACTTTCCACCACTGCTTTAAAGGTAGGATTCTGCATGCAGATTGTATTAATGGAGTATTTCGATGTATTTTAAGCCTGTCTTGATTTTACACTCACCAAACACGTTCTGTAGAAGCCTACGAAGAATCAACTACATGCAGATCAATGTGGAAAATATAATTTTTAGTCCACATTTAAGTTGTGCTATTATAATATTGCTGGTATTATAAATGTATACTTTTTAACAGCCAATTAGAGTTAACTGCCATAAAACACTCTCTCTACAATTCTAACAAAAGTGAACAAAACAATATCAAATATATATATTATATATATATATAACACTGTCCTCTGGCTGATAATATTCATTGTAATATATTGCAATATTTAACCTGCTTGCTGTCTCTTAACTTCTCTGTCTAATGTGCTTCAACAGGCTGAATCCATACATCCAAAAAACCTTCAGTGATCCAAAAATGTCAACACTCTCATTCAAAAGACGTCAGTATGAATCATGAGCTTATAGAAATGTTCAGAAAGAAACTAGACAGCTTCACCATCTCAGGTAAGTGACATTAAATCACACTACTTAAGCCTGTGGCTCATATATTTCCGAGTTTTAAGATCATTTTATGTCACTGTTGTGTCTTTAGACTACCATGGCCTGCACAGTCCAGGTCTCACATGCTATTTGAACTGCGTGCTTCAGGTGCTTTTCATGACCGAAGACTTCCGGGAGGCAGTGAAACAGTGGGTAACCTCAGCTTTATTTGGGTTATATTTTACAAATTAAAACCAAAAACATTTTTCTTTAGGTCTTTACAGTTTATTAAAGGAATATTCTTTGGAAAATTCACTTAATCACTTTCTTGCCGAGAGTTATGTGAGAAGATCGATACTGCTGTCATGTCTGTACACTAAATACGTAGCTGCCGCTTGTAAGCTTATCTTAGCATACACACTGGATGCAGGGGGTACCTCTATCCTCACTGGGTCCAAAGGTAACAGAATACGCCAGCACCTCTAAAGCTCACTAATGAACCAAAAACAAAGTGTAAAAGAAACATGTTATGGTGTTACAGGCGGTAACTGTATGTGCCACAGTTTCTTGGCCGGAACCAGTTACCAGGTAAGCAGTGGAGAGTCCAGGAAGTTACTGGTCCCAGCAAAGAAATAGTCCAGCACATAATCCTCTGTAAAATACAGTTGCCACTTTACACTAGTCTGAAAAAAAGAAGATATAGTTTGTGTTAATTGTTGAGCTTTGGAGGTTGTGGTGAGTGGTGGTGGTAGTGCTGATTGCCCCTGTTTCCACTCTTTATTCGAAGCTAAGCTAACCAGCTGTTGGGTCATCAGGCAAACTTAATAATTTGTGCTTCACCAGCTACATGTTTAATAACATATACTTCTCCTCTGTCCGCAGATGCAGAAAAGATTCGACAACCATTGACCCATATCTGGAAAGACTGTTTTCTGATTTACAGAAAAGTGTTGCCAAAACAGATGAAGTCACAAAAAAACTGGGCATAACGAATGGTAAGTTTCTGTCTGAAAAAGCTTGAGTGTTAAAGTCCTGCACACTCGTGAGCCTGGTACCGACTCAGAGTGACTGCATACGCTACTAATGACATTATCTTACAGTGAAAAACCTCTTACTTTCAGTATACGAGCAACGAGATGCTGCTGAGTATTTTGAGAAGATCCTGTGTATGACCAGTCCGGAGGCTGCCAGGGTAAGGACAAATGTATTTATTTATTTATCGGGGAGAGTGCACATTAATGCACATTTACTTCTAGACACATTAATGTGAATGTTTTAGGGTTAACGGATAATTTGACACCGCTAAAAACTAAAACTGACAAATGGTAAAAAGTGTGAACTTGCAAAGAAAATAAAAGAAAAAAATTGAGGTAATATATCACAAAACTTTGTTCTAACGAGCTTAAACCAACGATACAATCAGACAAGTATAAAACCCAATAAATAAGTTCCACATTAAAGAAACGATGTATTGTCATATCTTGTATAATTGGGATAATTTTCCTTAAACATGGAAAAAAATTATTCAAATCTTAACTTTAGTAACAAATGGACACTTACTTTGGGCTGGAAAGGTGGCTTTAAAAGATTTGTGGCTTGCTCCTTCACAGAGAATATTAGCTGTTGTCAGCTTGGACTCACACTTTGACCCACAGTCACAGCATATTGTCCATAAAAGACTCGTCACACGTTTCCTGGTGCATCTACTTCCCTGTTGTTGACCGGTATAGTCAGTATGGTCCAAATACTCACAGTTCCTTAACAACATGGTTTCTGTATCCTGCTGTAATGCCTCTTTACAGCTCTGAAGCTCTGTAGAAATTAATGCATTTAGTGATGTATTGGCAAAGCAAGGGTGATTATTACTCATGCCTTCATGTTTAATCGGCATTTTACACTTATTTTGTAGTAAGTGGAGCTATATCTTTTATTTATTTATATTTCATATAGCTGCAGCTAATGATATTCTCTCCAAACTCAAAAGTGGCACCTTCGTGTTTCATTTTGTCTGAACCATCCAGACTTCATTATATTCTGTTTACTGCAATTTAAGACAAAGAAAAGCAGCAAAATCATCACACTTGAGAAGCTGAGACTATGAAAGGTTTCGGCCTTTTAGCTTGAATATTGACTTGAATAACCAAAATAATCGCTGATGAATGTTTTGATAATTGACTCATCAACTATATACTGTATGTAGCCTGCTTATACAGTTGGATAGTTCATTTATTTTTCTTTCTTTATATGTTTTTTTATGTAGAATATCAATTTGTAAAGTAACAGGGGAATAAAAAGTACAATATTTCTGGATCGTAGGAGTAGTAGTTCAATACTTGAGTAAATGTAAGGATCAACAGATTAGAGATGGTACAGGAGGAGAGTATTTAACACAAATAAAACATTTTCTGTGGAATAGTCCTTTAACAGCCTTTTTTAACTACCAGGCCACACAGCAAATATTGAACCTCTGATGTACCTTGATGTCTAGATGTTCAAGGGGGAACTGAACCACCGGACCAGTTGCCTCAAATGCATGGAGAGGATCGATTCCAGGAGCTTTTTTTGGATTCTGCCACTTGCGCTGGAAGATTCATGTCATCAGACCTACAGCGTGGTACTGTGTCTTACTTTAAGAATAATCATTGTGTGTTTTTCAAAACTACATAAGAAAAGAACATGCAAGAATAAATACATCATGTTTACAGGAGAGAGGGTTGAAGGCTTTCTTCAACCGAGAAAACGTTGCTGGGGACAACAAGATGTACTGCGACCGCTGCAATAAAAAGCAAGATGCAAACTTTGTGAGTTTTTCCTTTTTTCATTTGCCATCCAAACTTTTACATAAGTTCTCATAAGTCTACTGTAGATAACAGTGTATATACAAGACATATGCGTGTACATGCTTATGATAGGTGACTTTGTTCATGCAGCTGTTTTCATTCTTTGATCTAGGGATGTAAGATGACACAGAATCCAGACGTTTTGACCCTCCTTCTGAAGAGATTCAGGTTTGACTACAAGCGCGGGTGTTACGTCAAGCTTCACTGCAAAGTGGACATCCCCCAAACTTTAAACATAGAGGTATGTTTATATGTACTTACGTAATTCAGCGTCAAATTGTTTTTATTTAATATTTCTCAGAGGTGATGACTCTGTTCTATTTCCCTCTCTACAGAATTGTGAATATGACCTCTACGCTTTAGTGAACCACTTTGGTAGTCTAACAGGAGGTCATTACATTGCACAAATCAAATCTTTCGAGACTCAGGTGTGGTATAACTTCAATGACGGCGTTGTGAAGAGAGTAAGGAGGCTCCTTTTACCATACGCAGTCCAATTTTAGATATTCTCACGCAGTTTAACACTCAACAATGTGAATTTTAACACATGATCATGTATTGTTTTTAATCATACAGATGAAACCACTATTTGTGGCTGGAGACAAGCCTTTGAGGTCTTCTACAGCTTACCTCCTCATGTACAGGAAGGGTAAGTTTGCAAATGTACAACATTTACGTACTGCCCTGTTTTCAGTTTTATTTAAATAAATGTTTTTACCTTATTTAAAAAGTTCCACCTGGAAAGGCCCTGAAGACAAAACTGCTTAACTATCGCTTGCTCAAATTGAAGGTGGACAACAAACCAAGGCTTCGTTTCCCAAAAGCATCTTGAGGCTAAGATGATTACAACAATTTTCCTAACAAAGAGGTTTTTCCCAAATGCATCCTTACTAAAGCTGCTCTTAGAAATGATGGTACTTGATGAACTTCCTCCAATCAGATTAACAAACACTATATAACGTAGTCAAAATCCTACAGTGACTTTCTTTGCTCTTCTCAAATCAAGAAGTTCTGATATAACTGATGCTAGCAGCAGCTACACTAACCTCTTTAGCAGCATCTCACACACACACACACACACACACACACACACACACACACACACCTAGTGCTCAGCTACAGCCGTAGCTCATGTCGCAGCCACCAGTGCTTCCTCAAAGGATGCTAATGAGTGTAAACCACTGGGGTTTGGACACAAGTGCTGAAGCCTGGTGAAGATTCTTACGTGATCTTGTGAATTTGTGGCCTTGTGAGGCAGATGGACTCTCTGTAGCCTTCTGCTGTTTGTGTTTTTCACTAATTAATTCCTTTCTTTTTCTCGTCAAAGTGAGAAGAAATCTTGAAAAAGCTGACGAAGACCTGGAAGCTCACTGTGCACATTCGTATGTCGAGGCCGAAGGAAGACATGCCGCAGCGGGTGGAGAAACTTCTAAACCAAGTTTGCAAACACAAAAGTCAAATTTTGCAAAGTTACAGAACGATGCAGGGCAAAAATGTCATGAGCCTGACAGACGACAGCTTGATACAAACTCAAAGGAGCACAACTGTCCTCTTAACACTGGAGGGAGCTTCACAGTACATGTGAGAGAACACCATTTGGAGCAAAACTATGAATTTTTAAAGAAAAGATTAAAGGCGAATGAGACTATCCAGGAAACAAAGAACAAAAGTTTTACAAAGACTAGAACAAAAACTATTAGTAGGACTGATAATCATACGAAAAATAGAGTCAAATCCACAGAAACAGAGGCCGTAACAGAGTTCAGAATGGAAAGAAAGAGCAAACTGGGAAGAGAGGCTGGTGTCAGTGAAAATGTGCATCCTTCTGATGTAAAGTCAGTTTTCTTCAATGGCTACCCTTCTTCTTCACCAAGCCCAAACAGAAAATCCAACAGTTCAAGGAGAGATAAAAAGGAAACCCAGCATCCAGACAGCAGCTGTGAACTGGACACAACACAAACTGTGACAAAGGGAGCAGAAACTGCAAGTCCTACAAAGAAAAGAAGAGCACAGGAAGTCAAAAGAAATCCATGGAAGTGATGACATAATCAGGATGATATCTGTATCTAAATATGATAAGTGTTTTTTTTTTTTTGTCTCTTGAATGGCTTTTTTATTGTTTTTTTATCTTTTATTTTTTAAATGTGATAAAAATAGTGTAATTCTTCACACACTGTTTGCCGTTGTATCCTGTGCTGCTCTCAACTCTGATAAAGAGGAAGATAAACTGACTGTGATCAGCCATTTTTTGTTGTGATTAAATTTAATGTTTGGTATTGCAGGTGGATAAATTAATTTTTCTTATGGAACCTTTCTTGCCATAAATTAAAAAACATTAGCCCAACACATGATACATTTCTGTAATACTGAAGATTTGAAGATGAGTGAAGGTTTTATCATATTCCAAGGAAATGTGGCATACCCTTTTGCCTAAACTGACCCAAAACTTTTTGTAACATTTGGGTGATTGGGACAGGAATTATCATTAATATAGGCTAGTGTAAGCATATATAGCTCACAATTTAATTCCTATTGTGATGTAATTTCACCTGCACTTCTTGTTCATAATTATGAATTAAGATGTGTTTCTGACTTGAGATCTAAAAAGCCTTGCACAACTCACACAGTATAAAGATGCCTGACTGAAGGAGAAGACAAAGTCTATGTTGGAAACCTCGGGTCTTTTTTTTTGGATATTAAACCACATTTCCCAGTATTAAAACTTGTCATCATTACACAGTGTTATTTGGGGATTGGCCTATAGAGGGCGCCACAGCTCTTCCAGGGCCAAAGCTGACGGTATCAGGTGTTGTTCAGTTTAAAGGTCATACAGCTTTGCACAACACTTCTATATCTATCTGGCCTAATATTTGTAGCTACAGAAATAAAATTAGAGTAATTAAATGACAATTGATACTGTTCGTGAGGTCAAACAATACTAAAAGTTTATAAGTAATAATTAAAGAAAGATACAAGTTTTCTTTTGAATAAAAGGTTGGTGTACGTTTCTTTAATTCGAAGGTTGAAAGTGAAAGTATAGTTTTCCAGCTCGTCCGTGTCCTTAAACTGTTTTGCGATCCTCACCAAGTGAACAGCGCGACATCAACTACAGACAAACACAAAATGGTTGTGCAGGTCATCGTTCATGGGCCAAAAATGGAGAAGAAGACCATCGACCTGTGTGACACTGAGGAACAGCTGAAGAGCATCACGGTGCTCCAGCTGAAGGAGAAAATAAAGTCTGTTTTTAGTGTCGACTCAGGTAGAATCACTTTTGGAAATATCATCTACACATGTTCACGATTGAAATAACTACTTTACACTTACAGGTTATACTGCTGGAATCGTTCATTTAAAATGTTAAATTGTATTCTTTATCTATCTATTAAACCCAAATTCCGTGTGAGTCGGTGAGTTTTACCTGTAGATGGTTGCCAATGCTCATATACGGCCATGTAGCTAGTGAGACTGCAGCTCCATAAAGGGAGAATTACTGTAACATTACTTTTTAATAAGTAATAATTGTTTCATTTGGGATTTAGTTTGGAGACATGTTTTCCCTGGTTTTGACTCTCTCTGTGTGTGTGTGGGGGGGGGATACACAGACTTTAGACTGGTCTACAGACACGAGGCTCTGGACGATGACTCCGCTCTCCTGTCTGAATATGGAATCCGACCCTGGTCAGCCATTCATACGATAATGAAATTACCAGGAGGAGGCTATGATCCGGGAAAGGGAGACGGTGGAATGGGTGACAAGGACAAAAACCGAAGTATGGAGAAGCTCTCTTTGTTTTAAAACTCTGGATATATCTGTTGCCCACTAGGACACAGTTTAATAACACACCAGAGCTGCACTTCAGCTGCCCGAGTCCCTTAACAGTGAGCTCAAGTGCCTCTCTGGTGGGATTATACTGTAGAAAGAAACCCCTAATCTAACCATGTGTATGGAAGCAGCACTTGATGTGACTTTACTGTCAGAAGAATCCCACAGTGCTTCCTGAGCATTCATTCAGAGTATCTGCCAGTCCAAACCTTGTAATTTCTGACCCTTTTAAACCCCATTCCCACTCTTCTTTTTGGAGTAATAATTGAATTTGAATTGTACTGTTATGTGCTGTGTGTGTTGTTTGACATTTCAGTATTCACAGTAAAGACAGGACACAGACAGTTATATCTGTATGCATTTATGAGACTTTCCAGGCCTTTGTATTAAACTGAAACATTTTATTGGCTCCTGTAACATCTTAACTCACATATAAATTCATTCACGTCATTATGTCTGCAGATCAAAGGGTCTATTGTTTGAATCCTTAAATTTAAAGGTATAGTTCAAAAGATGTATTTCTGTTAACTTTAACAGCTTGACTTTTTTTTCCTTTTCTTTTATATTAAACCTCTTTTCCAGTATTGTCATCATTGTTCAGTGTTGACCTATAGAGGGCGCTACAGCTCTTCCTGTGCCAAAATTGACTATCACATTTTGTTCAGTCTATAAAGGTCACACAGGTTTGCACTTCTATACCTATGTTAATAAATTATATTACTAATATTAATATTATCTTGCTGTTATTTAACTCATGTAATCACATACATGCACCTGTTTGGATCAGATGTCCCATATAATTACATAATGTTCTGGATTTTTTCCCCCATTCCTCACCTGTCTTTCATCAAGAAATTAAATGAGGTGCTCAGTGTCCCTATTAGCTGTTTTATGCTTTTTAATTTTTTAGATTTCTTTTTAGGTATGTTAGGTTTTCAACATAAATGTAAAAGTTTAATTATATGTAATCATGTGTAACAGTTCGTGTAAAGTGTGACCCAGTGTTTTGATGTTGGTTGAGTTTTAGATTTGAATGAAATTTGAATGATGTGGTCAGTGGATGAATTTACCTATAGTGAGAAGAGAGTGGAGCAACGTTTTCACACATAAATAAGGTCCTTTCTATGCTGATGTAATAGTTTGTGGCACCCTGGATATTTAGGTGGTTCGTGTTATGCCCAGAATTATTATTTTTCTAGTTTGTGATGTTGGTCAGTCCGCTATAATAACCTGTAATAAGTTTTTGATTGTCATCATTTAAAATGATTTTTGTCACTTTACCAGCAATAAAAAACTCATCTGATCTCACCTAAAACATAGGGTGGCTTTGTTTATCAGTGAGTGGTGCTGTATCTGTGCATAGCAAATTACCCTGTACTCATATGAGGCTGTACTTTTGATGTTTTACAACTGAGGTTGAAATCAACTGATGCCTGAATGGAAGTTGTCTTCACTCATTGTGAGAAACTAATTAATTATAGTTTTCAAATTTCATGAAGCACAGGTTTCTCACCCTGTGTGGAACCCGTTTCTGCCTTTGCAGGACAAAATGTTTTGTATGGCTGCATGTCATCCTCTCCTCTTCCTTACTCCCACTCTTTGTGTAATAGGGAATATTAATTCATCATAACTTAATTTCTTTTTCTACTGTCATAAGTAGGTGGACATTTCATCTAAAACCACTTTCTACTGAAGACATAGGCCCAATGAAAGCTGTTGATAGGGACCTGTGGTGGACAAATTAATCTTTGGCATTAGTTGTTTCTTGTAACTTATTCCAACATGAACACAGATACCAGATACCATTTTGAGAAAAAGAAGAAGTAAATAAGTACATTCATCCACACTGTAGTTAAGTTTGAGGTCATTGTACTTGACTTGAGTAATTTAATTTTCTGCTTGGTGAAGAAAAAAAATAACATTTTACTGATCCCTGGAAGGAAATTAACAAGTTGCATATGAATTAATTAAAATTAGCCCCAACTTCACCAGCTACAACATTAACATGTACACATTACTGTATTAACAACTTAAATCTCAAAAGTAGTTTTTTTAAAGCAGAATATTACTTATAAATTTATGTTTTTACACTGTGATATTGATGTTACTGTAAAATATCTGAGTACTTTGTCCACTAATGGAAGTAGGTTAAAAGCAGAACTACTACTACAACAAACTGCTTGGTGTCTCTCCTCATTCTGTGTCTAAGCACTAATGAGAAAATGCTGGATATTCTGAAAAAGGTGAGACTCAAAAATCCCCTGAGACAGCAACTCATTCATACAGCCAGGAAAAATGTACAGTAGTTTGCATAACTCATTTGATTTACTATGTGTTTTCCCTCTACGGAGTTTGATAGCATCTAAAAACCCTGTGACTGTAAAAACCACATTTCTACAGAAAGCCCCAATAGAGTAGAATGCAAAGCAGTCAATGGATACATATACATTAATAATGTAAAACTAAACCCTTAGTGAATGACACAGTCACAGAATGATTGCTACATCAGGATCACCAAATAATACGTCTGAAATTTGTCTGGTGAAAAAAGTTAATTTGTAACCTAAAGCTGATTTATGTCAAGATCCAAAGAAGACCGATGGGAAAGTCTTCCACAAGGAGGGGAAAAATTCAGAAGAAAGTACAAACACTGGGCTCAGAAGCTAAAATCTACCTGTGCTCCAGTTATGTGACACCAATAGTGAAAGTGCAACAGTATAATCAAATATATTTGATGCAGATTTCATGATAATCAAAAATATTTGATTGTACTGTCAAACTGAAAGCTAATTCTGTGGTCACTCCTGGTGTGGTGGCTAGGTGGAATTTCTTGCTTTTTGTTTTTGTTTATTTTTTTGGTTTTATGAAGTGAACAGATTACACCACGGTCTCGGTAATAGATTTATATGTACAGATAGATACATTTATGACACTCAAGCTTAGTTTCACAAAGGTGTGTCACATGACTTCTAATCAAGAGTTCTGCTGTAGAAGGTTTTGTAGTCTATAAAGTACCAGTTATTTTCAAATAAAAGGGGTAAACATTTAAAGATAAGGTTATTAATTATTTTGCATGATCCATATTATCCGACGTCAAACATTCATCAGTTTATGAAGTATGATATTGTTACATATCAACCCAACAGTATGAACAGCTGTTAAAATGCGCTCCACTTAAATGGTAGTGAATCAAGTATGGTAATGGTAAAATTCCAATAATAAATCAACACTTTGGATGGGATCATTTTGCATTATGAGTACTTTTACTTTTGATACTTTAAGTGCAATTTCTAGTATTTATACATTGTGGTATTCGTATTTTTAGAGTACTTCAACCACCACTGACTATGATGGAAACAACTGATAACGGCCACCTAATAGGCGGGTAACATTCAAAACAGGTGAAAGTGGAGCTGGTGTTGATTTTCCCTGGATCGACACACTACAGAGCAACATGACGATGGAAAAGATCTTACTGAGTGTCTTGTATCTCTCAGGTCAGTCAATTCTTTGATATGTCCGATGCCTATTATTGTATAAGCCTACTATGTATTATGAATATGAAAGTTTAAATTGAGTTTCTATGAATTGAATTGAAAATCAGTGGGTTTGAAGGGGGTTCTAATTGCCTTTCATTGTAACTAAGCTTGAATATTTTTTTAAGTTTAAGTTTGAATGGGATTTAAAAGTTGAATATTATCTAAAATGTCTGAAACATTAACGTTTGACAGTTTGATTGAGTTTCTAGCTCAAATGGTGAATAAGTAGTTAAGAGCTGAAAATACATAAAGAAATATGAAAATTAGTCAATTTTGAACATTTCGTCCATTTGTTTTAATGAAGTAAAAGCATGGGAATTGTTTTATATGTATATTTAAATATATATATATACATTTTTGTATAGGCATTAATAGGTATCAATGAGAAAATTATTAGCCAGCATGTTCTTTATTTCTATCTTGAAAAAATTTGTTAAATGCCAAAAAAAACTATTTAGATGGCATCAAAGTTGATAAAAAGCCAATCCACCGTTCTGCTCACAGGCTGGAACATCTTCCCCTCATGCCTTCTCCATCAGTACCACTTTGTTGTTGATCCTATGAATTGGACCGATGCTCAGAGCTACTGCAGAGATACATATACGGACCTGGCCACCATTGAAAACACTGAAGAAATTAACCAACTTATCAACACAGTTTCATCTGATGGTCACGACTCTGATGTCTGGATCGGCCTGTACAGTAAAATCAACTGGAGGTGGTCAGACGGCTACAGAGGGAGTGGAGCTCAATATAAGAACTGGGACAACTATAAAGACAATGAACCAGACTTTCACTCAGCTAGTCAGTTCTGTGTGTCCGTTGGAGGTGATGGAGGGTGGTGGGATGATCAGTGCTCTAGGGAACATCCATTTATCTGTTACAGAGGTAAGGATACAGCATATTTTGATCATCTGGTAAAAAGTAATTTCAACATTCTGTGTGTGAACTCAACAATTTACTCATTTTTATAAAACTCTAACTGCAGGAACACAGCTGGATCCTGAATTTGTTTATGTGAATGAAAAAATGAATTGGTCCAATGCTCAGACGCACTGCAGGGAGAACTTCACAGACCTGGTCACTGTGAGGAACAACACTGAGAACCAGAAGATCCAGAGCTTGTTGCCATTTTCGAATGAAAACTTGGCATGGATTGGTTTGTTCAGAGATCCTAACATGTATTGGTCTGATGGGAGTCGTTCCTCATTCAGATACTGGCGCGGAGGCTTTAACTCAGTTATCTCGATGACGGTCGTATGTGGTGCTGCCGCTTTGCAGAGTTCAGGACAATGGAGATTTTTACCTTGTGGAACTAAATTACCATTTGTCTGCTACAGCACTCCACGTGGTGAGTGGTTCACTTCAGTTGAAGAGAGAGAATACTGCATTACATATCTGATGTTAGACTGTACTCAAACATGCTGCTCATTTACATGTATGAGTTTGGTGTCACAATAATAATGTTTTTCTTGTCTGTGTCTAAATACCAGTCATGAGGCAGGTAGTAAAGCTGAAGATAGAGGACTCCTCTGTGGATCTGAACGACCCTGCTGTGAAAGCTGATATCTTGAAAAAGGTGAGACTCCAAAATCCCCCCTGCAACAAAAATGCATTCATACACCCAGGACAGATTTAAAGAATTTTCCATTTCTTTACTTATTTGACTTGATCTGTGTCTAGTCACGGCAGAATTTGATAGCATATAAAAACCCAATCCATTGGCGAAGATTTGATAGTGCCAAAAAAAAAGAACTAATCTCTCAATTTATTTTAGCAGTTTAGTTTTACGTATTGAATTAATCATAATCAACTGATTTCACAATTTTGTTTGCATTGGGTACAACTATTTTTGAAAATAACAAAAAATTACTTTTTCATTAATCACATTATTATCAGAGGTATTATGTAACATACCTAAGCAGCAAAAACACAATCAAGACATACTGCTTAAAAGAAAGTGCAGTAATTCAAAAAATTTTTGAGTTTTTTGAAGGTTAAAAAGGGGAACAACTGTGCAGCCCGACCCCATTACATTTATTTTGTCAGACTAAACAAACAGGATAAACATGTTAATAATGTGTTATATACATTAGATATGAGGTTAATTTACTTTCAGGAAAGCCAGCCTAACTGCTTCCCCATCTTTCCCGGCTGACTAGTTACTGGCGCAAGCCAGTTATGAAAAATAACTTTAAAGTTTTTTTTTTTTTTTTTTTTTTTTTTTTTTTTTTTTTTAAAAAAAAAAAAAAAAAAAAATTTAATAAAAAAAAAAAAATAAAAAAAAAAAAAAAAAATAAAAGAAGAGTAGTTTTTTTTTTCTCCCCCTGTTTCTCAGTGCCCCGGCTGGATTTTCCCGGCGTCAGTATCTGTAAATCCTGTATTGTAGACAATTTCAGGACAATATAGGGAATTAAATCAAAGGTAATCTTGATCCAGAAGAGTTATTGACAAAAAAAGTGTATTAATGATTCAAAAATGGCCGCCATTTGTGTTTCCCAGTTCCAGGACAAGCTGAAGGAGAAAGGAGTGAATGGAGTCACCCTGAAGTGGAGAGAGCAGCCTGATGGGAAAGTCTTCCACAAGGAGAAACAAAGAAAGAAAACTGAGCTCTGAAATTGAAATCAAACTGCACCTGTGTTTATCTGTAATCCATGGTGAATGTTTATTCTATATAATACATACAGTACACTATTATCACTGTACTGAAGGCTTAACCAGAACCCTGAATACAACATGTAGACTGTCATAGAAGAGTTTTTCCCTTATTATCAATAGTGTGTGAAGTGTGTTTATTTTATTTATGGCTTTGGCTTCAAGTTTACAGTTTATGTAACAGTCTGATGAAACCATATTTACACATTTAACAAGCCAAACCCAATACAAGACTAGAAGGATGTGCAAGAGGTGGGATCATAGTGAGTAATAAATGATGGTGTGACAGTGCAACACTGCCCTCTTGTGATCACATCTGTACATTATTGCCTTTGAAGAGCATCAAGGCTGTATTTGCTTTGATCCGATTTATCCAGTCAGGTTGTGGTTCATCTGTTCCACCTCACTGCTCCAACTTCAGACTTCAACTCATCCCCAGTGCAAACTAATGGGTGAAGGTGAAGTCATCACAATTTGTAACATCCATGTTTTTATACAGTCTATGTGGGGTCAGTTAGGGTGAATTTGGGTGATTTGGGATACGTATACATTTATGATGAATAACATGTTAAAATTATCTTAGATACTAAAATAGCCCTGCAAGTCTCAAGATAATGGCTATTATTTTTTCTTATGTGATGGCTATATGCTAAATTGAGTTGTGCATTCATGTATATAGGCAGTTTATATTGTCATATCGTTTTTACAGTTTAACAAAAAGGGAATGATATGAACTAAAATCTCTCTCTTCTCTGGTTTACTAGGTCTCTATTTCAAGAATTTAATAGCTATCTGCTAAGCTAACCTGTACAAAGCCAGAGCAGAATATGGGGAAACCAATGTAGTTCTTTTAGTCATATACCTCATCACACCTTATGTCCTCTCTTGCAATAAGCCTGGGACGAATATTGTTGCATGTCTGATGCATCGCTGGTGATCTTCTGCTAAGAAGAAAGAAGAAATCTGATCATGTGGCTGTTTGTCTGAAATGTATAATGTGGAGACTGCTTTTATGTATTATTGATTATGTATATGCACAGGAGTAAATGACCTCTCCTGTCCCTTACTCCCACCCTATGTGTAATGATGAATTATATTAGTTAATCATAGCACATATTGTTTCCTTCATTTCTTTTTCTAATTCTCATTAATAGTTGGGTGTTTCTAACATCTGATCCAGGTTCTCTGTGAACAGGTTTTATTGGAATTACTTTCTCCTGAAGACATAGTCCCAATGAAAACCGCTAACAGTGAATTTCCTAGAAATTGGGGATCCCGTCTCTGGAAGCAAAAAAAAGAACCTAAATGCACCAAAAATAGTAATTATACTCACCTCCAATGTAGGGTGGAGGCATTTCTGTGTTGACATTTTATTGTTACTTATTAGCCAACATGTACACAGATAGCAATATATAATTTAACAAGCTGATATTGGCCATAAATCAGTCGAGGTTTGATAAAAGAAAGTGAGTCAGTACATTTACTTAAATACTGTACTTAAGAAATATTTTGCATTGATTATTAATTCCATTTTCTTTTATACTTCAACTCCACCACATTTATTTGATAACTTTAGTTCCCAGTTACTTTGCAGATTCAGAGTAGTAATACAAAATGAAATTCACAAATCATAACCTATTGGTGAAGAAAGATTAAGGCTTTACTGATCCCCAGAGGGAAATGTATATAAACTAATTAAAATTAGCCCCACCTTTACCAGCAGCAACATTAAAGTGATGTACACATGAATGCATTAACACCTTTAACCTGATAATTAATTAGACTTTATTTTACTTATATAAGTATATTTTGGTGCCAAAGTTTGAATGCAAGAGTAGTAGTAGTAACAAGTATTTCTACACTTATTGGTGTTACTGTAAAATATCTGAGAACTTTGTCCACTAATGGAAGTGCAGAACTAATACCACAACAAATTCATGTTTGGTTTTTCTCCTGGCAGGGAGAAAAGCTGAGGATAAAGGACTCTTGTTTGCTTATTTAATCTGCTCTGTGTTTTGCTACCACCATAAAACTAAATTCCAGGTTTAATAATGTACTCATCTCAATCTTACAAAAAAAACCTGAAACAGTTACTTAACTTAAAGGTTTTTATGATTAAATTTGACTACAATTTGTGTTCCAGGGCAGATGAGGGAGAAAGGAGTAAATGGAGTCACCTCTGAGAGAGAGAGAGAGAGAAAGAGAGAGAGAGAGAGAACAAATAAAACTGTTCTAAAATTTAACTCCGTCCGTACGTCTGTTTATCTTAAATCCATGGTGAATGTGCAGTGAATGCTAACCTACATAGCTTTCCTCTGCATCTGTGTTTGTTTGTGCAAATGAGACTGTTTTCTCCAGACAGTCCTCGCCTTGGTGACAGGCAGATTGGGATATAAATTAATAAACTACCTGACAAAGGTTACACAAAGGTTTTGTGGCTGGGTAGAATTTTTCTGTTTTTGTTTTTTAGACTTTGTGAGACGAACAGACCAAGATTTTATTAATACAGACAGTGTCCAATAATTTAAAATCAAGAGTTCTGCTACTGTATGAAGTTTTGCTTTCCAGACAACAGTTTAAATGAAAGGAGAAGCATGTTTAAAATGAAAATGTTGCTACCATAAGAGAAAGCCATGACCATGGTCCTGAAGACGGATTTCTAATGTCATCTTTTTCTCCCAGTGCTGCTCTTATATCATATATTATTTTCTATACTATACACGACTCGATTTCATACTATGATGTAGCCTTTATACACTATAGAGTCACCTTTATGATCAGCGTGACAAGTACCAAAGTTGAGTCATCTGCCAGTGACAATGAAGAGGAGCTGATGTTGACTTACCTACATTTGCCTAATGATGTCAGTAATGTCAGTGTAATCTTCTTTTGCTGCTGTAGACTGACACACAACACTGTCACAGTCTACAGAGCAGCACGATGATGGACAGGATATTGCTGGGTGTCTTGTATCTCTCAGGTCAGTTAATTCTTCAATATTTTTGATGTCTTATTGTTTATTACTGTATAATACGCTACTGCTAAGATAATAAATGTAAAACATATTTATTTTTGTGCTGGGAAGAAGAAAGAAAGACGTGTTCATGTAAAAATACTCCATTACAAGTACAGAAGAATCTTCAACAAAATGCACTATTGGTCAGCTACTATTGGGCCTCATCCTATCTGTGATTTGGAATATTAAACGTTTTTAAAGGCATTTTTAGAGTCATAAAAGATGATCAAGATTCAAAAGGCCACTGAGAAATTGAAGCGATCTGTAATGTTAATAGACAGACTCAGACTGTGGATACAAAATTAACAAGTGAAGCACTTGTTCCACTCACAGGCTGGAACATCATCCCCTCATGCCTTCTCCATCAGTACCACTTTGTTGTTGATCCTATGAATTGGACCGAAGCTCAGAGCTACTGCAGAGATACATACACGGACCTGGCCACCATTGAAAACACTGAAGAAATGAACCAACTTATCAACACAGTCTCATCTGCTGGTCACAGATCTGAGGTCTGGATCGGCCTGTACAGTAAAATCGACTGGAGGTGGTCAGACAGCTACAGAGGGAGTGGAGCTCAATATAAGAACTGGGACAACTATAATGACAATGAACCAGACTTTGGCTCAGCTAATCAGTTCTGTGTGTGCTTTGGCGGTGATGGAGGGTGGTGGGATGATCAGTGCTCTATTGAATATCCATTTATCTGTTACAGAGGTAAGGATACAGCATATTTTGATCATCTGGTAAAAAGTAATTTCAACATTCTGTGTGTGAACTCAACAATTTCCCATTTTCTAACTCCAGGAACACAGCTGGATCCTGAATTTGTTTTTGTGAATAAAAAAATGAATTGGTCCAATGCTCAGAGGCACTGCAGGGAGACCTTCACAGACCTGGTCACTGTGAGGAACAACACTGAGAACCAGAAGATCCAGAGCTTGTTGCCATTTTCGAGTGGAAACTGGGTATGGATTGGTTTCTTCAGAGATCCTAACATGTACTGGTCTGATGGGAGTCGTTCCTCATTCAGATACTGGCGTGGAGGCGTTAACTCCATTGCCTCGATGAGTGTCGTATGTGGTGCTGCCACTTTGCAGAGCTCAGGACAATGGAGATTTTTACCCTGTGGAACTAAATTACCATTTGTCTGCTACAGCGCTCCACCTGGTGAGTGGTTTACTTCAGTGGAAGAGAGAGAATACTGCATTACATATCTGATGTTAAACTGTACTCAAACATGGTGCTCATTTACATGTATGAGTTTGGTGTCACATCAGTAATTCTGCAGCATGTTTTTCTTCTGTGTCTAAGCACCACTAATGAGGCAGGTAGTAAAGCTGAAGATAGAGGACTCCTCTGTGGATCTGAACGACCCTGCTGTGAAAGCTGATATCCTGAAAAAGGTGAGACTCCAAAATCCCCCTTGCAACACTAATGCATTGATACACCCAGGACAGATTTAAAGTTGTTATAAAGAAGTTTTCTTTGCTTATTCAATTTGCTTTATGTATGTCGATGATAGCGTCTTGTGGTGGCTGTGTAAAAACCAAACTTCTGCAGCAACAGAAGCCTCAACAGTGTAGAAAGAAAAGCATCCAATGATTTGATTAAAACTAATAAATGGTTAGTTACTATAATTTTCTCATATCAAAATGACAAATAATCACTCCAGACATGGATGGAATTATATGGTTGTATGTGTTTTCTCGAGATCTGAAAAACAACATTCCTGATTTGTTTTGATAACAAACCCTAACCCTAACCTTAGTGGTCTTGTGATCACACTGCTATCACAGAACAAATTTCAGGTTCACCAAATAAGAAGACAGAAGTCTATCTTATGCTCATAAAGCAGTTTATTTGTAACGTAAAGCTTTTTATGTCAAGACAAAAAGAAAACTTTGTGTTGGTGACAAAAAAAGTGTATTAATGTTTCAAAAATGGCTGCCATTTGTGTTTCCCAGTTCCAGGACAAGTTGAAGGAGAAGAGAGTGAATGGAGTCACCCTGAAGTGGAGAGAGCAGCCTGATGGGAAAGTCTTCCACAAGGAGAAACAAAGAAAGAAGACTGAGCTCTGAAATTGAAATCAAACTGCACTTGTGTTTATCTGTAATCTATGGTGAATGTTTATTCTATATAATACATACAGTACACTATTATCACTGTACTGAAGGCTTAACCAGAACCCTGAATACATCCTGTAGGCTGTCATAGAAGAGTTTTGTCCCTCATTATCAATATTACTGTGTGAAGTGTGTCAATGAAACTGTATTTCTTCAAAATAAAACATGTACATGAGGTATGACTTTGGCTTTAAGTTCACAGTTTGTGCAACAGTCTGATAAAAATCATATTTACACATTTAACAAACTAAACCTTCATACAGGACTGAGGATACCAACAGGTGGGATCATAGTAAACGATGAATGATGAGGCGTAAGCACATACTTCAGACTGCACATAATCTGAGCTCTTTCAGTACCTGTGTGTGAGAATTAAAGTGCAACATGGCCCTCACTGCTTATATACATACATATATGGTAAATATAGCAAATAAGAACAATAGAGGAAATAAATGACAATTACAGCATTTTATAATTGCTATCCACATTTCTCTTTAAGAGTTCACTTTTCTTTTTTTTTTTTCATCATGTTTGATCCGTCCCTGTCCATCTTCTGCTGTCCAGACATCTGTTCATGTGGCTGCTTGTCAGAAATTTATAATGTGTATATAAAATTATGTATTGGTGTTCATATATATGCATAGAGGCAATAACCCCAGTCTAAATGTACAAAAGTAATGACAGTAGACAGCAACAAAGCCTGTCTTCATCTAAGATTGTTCTTTTGATGTTTACAGTTTATGTTAAAATCATCTGGCACCTGAATGAAAGTTGTCTTCATTCAGTGTGTGTAACTAAATTAAGGATTGTTTCAAATGTCATGAACCTTAGTCTTTATTTTCTGGTTTCTCGCCCTGTATCGAACTTCAGCATTCTTGGTTTTTGTTTGTGAAGCAGAGATGGATCTCATCACATTATCTGCCTTCTACATTTGCATAACAAATACAATATATTTGCATGACTGCATATCAGCTTCTCCTGACTCCCACACTGTATATATATATACATATATAGTATGTATATAATGATACATTTTACAAATTTAAATTTGAAGCGATTGGTAAAGAACATTTTTTTACTTCTTGATACCGAGAAGAAAATTCCAAAGCTGTTTATAAATTCATTCAAATTAACCCCTAGCTACAACTCTAAGGTGATGTACACATTAATGCATTAACAACTATAACTTAATAATACTACTACTACTTGAAGGAATATTTGGTGGTAACTCATGCTTGGTTTCTCTCCTCATTCTGTGTCTAAGCACCAGTAATGAGGCAGGGAGTAAAGCTAAAGATAGAGGACTCCTCTGTGGATCTGAACGACCCTGCTGTGAAAGCTGATATTCTGACTTTAAAATCCACCCTGAGACTGTAATCCATTTATACACCCAGGACAGACAGTTGGTCTTGCATATTATTCTCTAAACAATACACTAAAGACTCAGTTCCATACTTCATTGTAATGTATATACTCTACAGAGTAGTTTCACCTTTATGATCAAAGTGACAAGTAGAAAAGTGTAGTCTCTGAGGGGTGAAAGAATCATAGAGACACACTGCTTTCGGTAGTCTTCCTATAATATTTCTACAGTCATTCAGTTGCATCTGAGCTGCTGAAGATACACCATGAGACCAAGTCACCTCTGTAACAAACCATTTTAGGGGAGACAGGACTTCAGAGACTTTTTAATATAGGTTTTGGTTAAGGACAACTCCCTGTTATAATATGTACAAATCAGCGACTGCTCATTACCCAAATTGACATTTTCATGAAGTCATCCATCACAATGTGTTTTACATAAAGACTGAAAGAGAGAGAAGACAAGTTGCTGTTGACTTTCCATAGATTTGCTTAATGAAGTTAGAGTATATTAGTGAATATCAGTGTAATCTTCTTTACTGCTGTACACTGACACACAACACTACAGTCTACAGAGCAGCATGATGATGGACAGGATCTTTGTGGGTGTCTTGTATCTCTCAGGTCAGTTAATTCTTCAATCGTTTTGATAGCTTACTGCTTGTTACTGTATAATACGCTACTACTAAGATAATACATTTCTCTCAGGTGTTGTCTTCACAAGTCCATGTAGAAATATTTTATTATAAGTACAGAAGTATCATCAACGAAAAGCACTTCAAGTATCAAAAGTAAAAAAAGGTATGATAATTACAGACTAGCAGAAAATGGTTGGAGTATCTCAAAATGGTAGATAGTACCTAAATGTTGTTAGTTACTTTCTTACATTGCAGTATTTTTTCTCCTTGATCAACATCTCTGGCAACAGACCACCACACCACAACACAGGAAAGGGTTACTACTACCCCATCTCCCGTAGACTTCAAATGACAACCGATCTGGTAAAAATTCAGCCTCGATCAATTTAGGGAGATAAATTGTGCTTAATCCATACAGTGACCTGCCCACAATCAGTCAGCTACTATTAGGTCTCATCCTATCTGTAATTTGTTAAATTAAACATTTTAAAGGCATTTTTAGAGTCATAAAAGATGATCAAGATTCAATAAGACCATTGAGAAATTGAAGCAATCTGTAATGTTAATAGACAGACTCAGACTGTGGATACAAAATGAACAAGTGAAGCACTTGTTCCACTCACAGGCTGGAACATCTTCTCCTCATGCCTTCCCCATCAGTACCACTTTGTTGTTGATCCTATGAATTGGACCGAAGCTCAGAGCTACTGCAGAGATACATACACGGACCTGGCCACCATTGAAAACACTGAAGAAATTAACCAACTTATCAACACAGTCTCATCCGTTGGTCACAAATCTGAGGTCTGGATCGGCCTGTACAGTAAAATCGACTGGAGGTGGTCAGACGGCTACAGAGGGAGTGGAGCTCAATATAAGAACTGGGACAACTATAATGACAATGAACCAGACTTTGGCTCAGCTAGTCAGTTCTGTGTGTGCTTTGGAGGTGATGGAGGGTGGTGGGATGATCTGTGCTCTGCTGAATATCCATTTATCTGCTACAGAGGTAAGGATACAGCATATTTTGATCTGGTAGCAAGTCATTTCAACATTCTGTGTGTGAACTCAACAATTCCTCCAAAAAATGAATTGGTCCAATGCTCAGACGCACTGCAGGGAGAACTTCACAGACCTGGTCACTGTGAGGAACAACACTGAGAACCAGAAGATCCAGAGCTTGTTGCCATTTTCGAGTGGAAACTGGGTATGGATTGGTTTCTTCAGAGATCCTAACATGTACTGGTCTGATGGGAGTCGTTCCACATTCAGATACTGGCGTGCAGTTAATAACCCAACTGACTCGATGAGTGTCGTATGTGGTGCTGCCGCTTTGCAGAGTTCAGGACAATGGAGTTTTTTACCCTGTGGAACTAAATTACCATTTGTCTGCTACAGCGCTCCACCTGGTGAGTGGTTCACTTCAGTGGAAGAGAGAGAATACTGCATTACATATCTGATGTTAAACTGTACTCAAACATGGTGCTCATTTACATGTATGAGTTTGGTGTCACATCAGTAATTCTGCAGCATGTTTTTCTTCTGTGTCTAAATACCAGTAATGAGGCAGGTAGTAAAGCTGAAGATCGAGGACTCCTCTGTGGATCTGAACGACCCTGCTGTGAAAGCTGATATCCTGAAAAAGGTGAGACTCCAAAATGCATACACCAGGACAGATTTAAAGTTGTTATAAAGAAGTTTGCAACTCTTTGCTTATTCAATTTGCTTTATGTATGTCGATGATAGCGTCTTGTGGTGGCTGTGTAAAAACCAAACTCCTGCAACAGAAGCCTCAACAGTGTAGAAAGAAAAACACACAGCAGATACAGAAGAGTTATTCATGATTGGGAAAATATTAATGTTTCAATAATGGCTGCCGTTTGTGTTTCCCAGTTCCAGGACAAGTTGAAGGAGAAAGGAGTGAATGGAGTCACCCTGAAGTGGAGAGAGCAGCCTGATGGGAAAGTCTTCCACAAGGAGAAACAAAGAAAAAAGACTGAGCTCTGAAATTTAAATCGAACTACACTTGTGTTTATCTGTAATCCATGGTGAATGTTTATTCTATATAATACATACAGTACACTATTGTCACTGTACTGAAGGCTTAACCAGAACCCTGAATACATCCTGTAGACTGTCATAGAAGAGTTTTTCCCCGTATTATCAATAGTGTGTGGAGTGTGTTTATTTTATTTATGGCTTTGGCTTCAAGTTTACAGTTTATGTAACAGTGTGATGAAACCATATTTACACATTTAACAAGCCAAACGTGCATACAAGACCAGAAGGATGTGCAAGAGGTGGGATCATAGTGAGTAATAAATGATGGTGTGAGCAAAAACTGGACATAAGCTGAGCTTTTTGAGAGAATTAAAGTGCAACACTGCCCTCTTGTGATCATCCCTTTGCTACATCCATCTTTTTATACAGTCTGTGTGTGAAACAAAGGAGAGAAGAGTTGTTATATCAAGTCGTGGGAATTTGGGTAATCTGGGACATTTGTTTCATTGACTTCTGTAACTTATTTTTCATTTCATCAACACAGACTTTTCTGAAATCCCTAACCACACCAGAAGAAAGAATGCAGGTATCATAGAGGAGACACGCTACAAATATTAATGTTCTTTGTGCCAAAAAACCCAAAACATTTCACCTGAGCTTAATAACCTCCAACATTTGTTTAAGGATAACACGTTTCTTTACTATGTGCATGCCAACTTCATTCGTTCATATAAACATATAAAAAGTATATTATATTTTTTAATTAAGAACTAAGACACACATAATACACATAATAATAATAACACAATATAGTAATATAGACATTATAGGTCATGGATGAACAGGTGTGTGTGTGTGTGTGTGTGTGTGTGTGTGTGTGTGTGTGAGAGAGAGAGAGAGAGAGAGAGAGAGAGAGAGAGAGAGAGAGAGAGAGAGTGTGTGTCTCTCTGTGTGTACAGAATATTGTCTCCTTCATTAGACTTACAAACCCTGAATAACTATGTATTCAACTTGGGGAAGCCCTTAAATGCATATTTGTCCCATCTGAAGAACTTAAATGATTGTCCCAAATCACCCAAAGCATGCTGTCCCACCTTATCACTTATATCTGATTGAACATATTGTGCAAAACTTAGACCACTTGAGATTTTCAACATCCTTTACTCCTTTTAAAAGAAAAGGTTTAGTGATTAGTTAGAATTTGCTTCCAACGTGGGGCGAGACTTGACTAACTTTCACTCCGCCATCTAACCAAATAAGAGACCAAATGTAAACAAATGAAGTCAAATGAGTTGAGAAAGAAAATGAAGTCATTTTATTCACACTTTCTCTACTGGTTTACTTTGGAATTTACTTGAGACCACCAAACATTACATAAGTTTGGATCATGGGGGTACCGTGTCTTCGAACTACACAGGACAGTTTAAAAATTGTTTAAATTAGCTCCACCTCCCTACTGTACTGTATAGAGGGAAATAGGGCCAATATTACCTGCATGGCTCTAACAACAACAACAGGGACACTGGAAGTCAGTCAGAGTTGGGGCACTGAGAGAAAGTCAGTCTATGTAGTGACGTGACACTAAATGCTAAATGCTTGACATTTGTATTGAATATTATTATAATATTATATTATAGAAGAATTATTATAATATTCTTCTATAATAGAAGAATATTATAATATTATGGAATATTAAATATTATTATTATAATATTATAGAAGAATATCCTTCTTTAATATTATAATAATATTAAATATTATTATTATATTAAATAATATTATTATAATATTATAGAAGAATATTCTTTGGCGTTTGTTTTGTGGGTTTGTAAGTTTTTGCATCTGCTTCGTTTCTGTGATTGCAGCATTTTTCTGTTGCTGCATTTTTCTGTTGTATTTGTTTTTATGGGTTTGTGTGTTTTTGGTTTTGCATCATTCCCGTGTTTGCAGCGTTTTGCCGTTTGCGGCGCGTTTGCCCTTGTCGGCCACCGTAATTTCCTGGTTAGATTAACAGAGTGGCAGAAACTGAGGAACACCACAGAGATGGTTGTGAGTGTTTTTTTGGGCGTTTATGGGAAGACGATCGACTTGTGCGACACTGAGGAGCAGTTTAAAAGCATCACAGTGCTGCAGCTGAAGGAGAAGATAATAGAGACTATTCGCCCTGAAAGCACAGGTACAATCCCTTTGGATTATACCTGCATAGCGGAAACAGCCATCAGTGTCAAACTGTATGCAGTCATTGTTGACCTAAAGTCTTGTGTGGATACACTGTCACACAGGTGGGAGTAATTAAGATACAAGTTTTACCTTTAACACAAGTGTTACCTTTAAGTCTAAGACAAGTCTCAAGTTACTGCGGTGAGATAGAGGGCTCATGTGTCGACCTGCTCTCATATAGGTTGCCAGGTTTGCAATGCACTATGCACTGTTTAAAAAAAACAAACGTCACTTCTCCCAATATCTGCAAATAAATATTAATATTAATCTGTCTCAAGTCATTAATACCAAGTTGAAGTCAAGTCGAGTCTTCTATCAGTGTTGGTCAAGAAAGTCTCTCATGTCCTCAAATTTGAGACTTGGGACTGACCCAAATTTGGTTTTGCCATTAGGTGGTTGCCAATGTAGGGTCATGTAGTATGACTTCAAGTCCAAGAAGGATGAATTAAATGTTGGTTTTAAGACTTATAAATCATGTTGTTAGTGCTTGGTTTTGACTTCCTCTGTGTGTATCATTGTCCTAGATGTATCCGTTGCAGCAGAGGCCCTGGAACTGATCTTCAAAGACAAGCTTCTGGATCGAAACTCTGCTCTGCTATCTGAATATGGAATCCAACACATGTCAGTCATTCGCCTACCTATATACCCACAAGGGCCGTCTGTGGATCCAGGAGAGGGAGACCGTGGGATGGGTGACAAAGGGGGCAAAAACCGAAGTATGGAGAAGCTGTTTTTTTTTTAAAACCTACTCTCGATATGTCTGTTCCCTACTGGGACGCATTTTAGTAACACTCCAACGCTGCACTTTTTATTTAACTGTTTTATTTCAATAACTGCTGTGTGACCAACTGATGTGACAATTGACACACTTTATTTGTAATGACCTAAAAACAGGTTGTTTGACTTATCAGTTTCTGTAAAGGATCATTTTCAACCCCAGTGAATTTATCCCTAAATCCCTAACTCATCCCTAACTGTTTGAAAAATATGTTTGTGTTAATAAATGATGATGAAGCCATTTTTTAAATGTGTCATTATGTTTGTTGGTAAATGTTTTAGACTTTTTTGGATATTAAACCCCTTTTCTAGACTTCTCATCAGTATCAATATTGTTCAGTGTTATTTTGGGTTTGACCTATAGAGGGTGCTACAGCTCTTCCTGGGCTTCTGTAAAATTCATTCACTTTTGTTCTGCATTAGAAGTGTTACACATGAACACACTTCTATACCTGCGTGGCTACACTACATGACTATATATAAAATATGTATTTGATATTTTGAATTTTATATTGCATGTGCTACTGTGTGTTACTAACTCAACAAACAGGAATTCATGTATAAAGATGAACTTTATTAGGTGATGCAGTTATTAATGAAACTATTATTGAACAGTAGGTCGTTCAAAGGAAGCAGCCTTTGTGGAAATATTCAAAACATAACAAAATCAGAAAGTACAGCAGTAATGTTCACAACATAAATGAGCAAATAAACCTACAAGCTGACACTTTTGGCTTCAGTTACATGAAAAATCTTCTTTACAATGAAAGAAATCCTACAGGAAAAGTACAATATAATGTGACAGAATTGGGCTGTAAGCTCCCCCATTTTTACTCGTCACTGCCGCTGGTTGCAAAAAAACAACATGGCGACCAACTTTCTCCTTTACTCAGATATGCTATTTGCAAGGCTTGTCTAATGTTGAAAAGACAACCGCATTTTAAAGATAGTTTAGAGATGAAAGCGACATACAGCATATAAAGTCACATCCTAAGTTAGCTAATGGAAGCAAAATGCTAATCTACATAAATTTTTAGAAAGTTAGTTGCATCCATTAAACAAAAGGAGAAAGTGGTGGGACTCAATAAATGATCAATCCCTTCCTATTCTCTGCGCCAAACAGGTATGGAGGTTTGTCTGGGGGCCACACCATCACTGCAGGGAATGAAGTAAGAGCTCGTCTTCAGGCACTCTGGAGTGAGTTTCAGACACATAAAGCAGAACTCAATCTGACAGCGAGGACAGATGATGTTCTTACAGGCCGTTCTGTCGTGCTCCACCTTCTGACCACAGGTGGGACACGCCCGGATGGAGGGACATACAATGTCCCCCTGCACCTCAGGGAGGGTGGTGGTCTTGCAGTTCTTCAGAAGCTCGAGGTCGTGGTTGATGCAGCCGTCATTGTCGCAGCGGTCAGAGCGTGGAGCTGCACCTTTCCACGGCTTCAGACATTGCCAGCAGAACTGGCAAGCTTTCTTCTTGTCTGCTATACAGATTGTGCACTGCACGTTGAGGTTAGTCAGGTCCTCTCTCTCTACATAGGTTTTGCATCCAGGACACTGTTGGAAACAATGTGAGGAACATTAAAGCAATAGTTCAACATCTTGGGAAATACACTTACAAGCTGTATTGTCAAGAGTTAGATAATTAAATTGATACCAGTCTCAGTTCTAGCTGCTAAATATTTAGCTGGAGCCAGCATCCCTTTAACTTAGCTTAGCATAAAGAGTGAAAGCAGGGGGTATCAGCTAGCCTCGCTCTGTCCAAATGTAACAAAATCTGCCTTCCTACAACTCTAAAGTTCACTAATTAACATACTGTATCTCGTTTAGTTGAATCTGTTCAAAAACTGACGAGTTCAAATACTGTTTTACATGTCAGACTACTTCTGTGCCAAGTGGTTTAAAGTTGATAGGCAGATATAGGCATATTGGGAGTGTAGATATTGGCTACTTATTTCCAGCCGTTAAGTGTTGAGCTAAGTTAAGCTAACTAGATGTTGTAGCAACAAACAATCTGTGCTCAACTGCCAATTAAACCAGTCTGTATTTTGTTCAAGGCAGAAACACCTCTGGGACACTCACTGTTTTGAATTCACAGTATTCTGTAGCAGCCAGACGGGCGATGTTCTCTTCAAAGTACTGCATCTCTTCAGCTGTCAGCACTGCCAGCCTGCGCACCTCTTGATACGGCCAGACTGCATCACACTTTTGCAAAGTGCCGTTCTTTAAAGCAGGGCACTTAAATTTGTGATGCCCCTGAAATGAAAAGGACAGATTATGTTATATCGACAGTCGAACATGCAGCTATGAAAACTTGCTATGAAGCTCAATAAAGCTGAGGGGAGCTGCAGATTCAAGTGAATATTCTTTTATTGTGGGTTCATCACTACGAGCGAGCCCTTTCACATTCACAAAATACTGACACTTTAATAAAGGTTTAACACAGAATAATAAACCAGGATAACATTAAATGTCCTGTTTTACAAAAAGCCAGTGTGACATTTTTAATCTAGAGGGAAGAAGAGATCAAAACGTAAAATTTGGTAGTTTAATAAGTTGACAAAATGCCCCTCAGACAGGAAAAGGGGCTTTTTTATTGGTGGTATAATTCAGTGGCAGAAACAACTGGAAAGTAGTTGTTAGATTGGAAGTTAACTCCTTTACCATAGAGAGAACACACAATTCTGTGTACTATAAATTAAATGGTGGAAAGTACCTGATCCAGCAAGCTGCGACACCACCCAGTGAGAGACTCTGGGGTGACGGCATGGCCGCAGGACATCTCTGCTCTGAGACACAGGTCTCCTTCCTCTGGGGCTGAGGAGAACAACAACAAGAGCAGACATTGAACTCACCATCACAATCACATAAACTGCACATCCTGCAGGGGGAGAACTGAGCCTTTAATTTGCTTAATTTGGTCAAACCATTGCACATAAGGTGATAATAAAGCCATTAAACGTGGTATAGGTACAAAGACCAAACATGAATTAAGGATATCTTGCACAGTGTAACAATATAATTGCGTTTCTACCATTTTGAATGCTTACGTAGTGGATCCAGATCATCCGGCCTGTTGACAAACTTCAGAGTTGTGTCTTTCGGGTCGTATCTCTTCTCTTCCTGACCCTGAGTAGTCATCTTGTTTCAGCTGCTCTGCTCTCCGTCAACAGATTTCTTCTCTGTCTGCACTCATAACACAAGCAGCAAACACTGAAGCCGACCGATGAGTCACCCTCACTGACTGACTCCACCAAGAATGTTTTAACTTTCACTTTCCACTTGACTGTTATAAGAAGTCACGTGAATGCAGGATTGTAGGACTGGATTCCCCCTTTCTGTAACATTATATCACATTTGATTTATTTTTTACACATTAATGCAGCTGACAGCATTGCTTTTATGACCTTATTTGTGGGGACAAACTTGTTGTACTATCATTGTTACTCCATAGTTTTGAAGCTGTAGATTAAAAAAACACCTGAAAACAATTTTGTAATGTTTTCATATACATATTAATCACTAGTGTGATAACGTTAATACATTTTTGATTTTTACCACTTGGTTTTATTAAACAGTTTCACAGCAGGCAACCGGTAAACGAACTGCTGTGGCCAGATGCCAAACACTGCTGAAGTATCAGGTGATTTCCAGCTGACACTGAAGTTGACTAAGGACATGCACATTGATTGTTTTAGGTTACTTATGATGTCGACTACTGGACAAACTTGAACGTGTCCAAAGTGTGTAAATGACAAATACAACTTTTAACTTTTACTTTCTACACAAATATCTGTACTTTGTACTTATTAAGTCTTAAAAACAGGCTGGTTACTTTAGTTTTAATGCAATTCTGTTATTATAAATTGCATCATTCCACCCATTAAGACCGGTGCATATCACACATGCGAGGCGTGGCATGATGAAAACACTGAAAACAACACAAGATAGGCAGACAAGAGAGATTCACCTTATTTTTAGTCCTTCAGAAAAACCAAGAGAGTACTTTTTACTTTGAGCATGTCAGGCCTGTACTTTTTCACTTTTCCTTGAGTAAAGAAGTTGAATCAAATACTTCTGAAGCTTTTTGTGGCAGGGCTGGATGTTGTTGTGGTGTGTTTGAGTGCAGGCAGTAAAAGCATAATATAGCTATAAAGGAAAAGATGGGTTCAAAAGTCGAGTTGCTGTGAGATCTCCACCAAAACAACACCTCAACCAGTAACAGAATAAATTGCCTTCCTTTAACATGTTCAACTAATGCATTTTCAGACGAAAGTGAAAGTATCCTCGGGCTCTCTCTCACGCAAGACCACGTTGATAAAAAAAAACAACACCACCCTGAAGTAGCATTACCTCCCGGCGGCAGAACCGTGAAGAAGGCAGCAACCTGCCCACACTAAACAGCACAAAATGGGCAAAATTTACCAGGTCGTGGTGCATGGACTACGAGGGGAGAAGATGATGATCGACCTCTGCAACACAGAGGAGCAGATGCAGAAAATGACAGTGCTGCAGCTGAAGGATAAGATAGCGCAAAGGCTCCCTGAGAGCGCAGGTAAGAGCCAGTTCAAACTGCAGCCATATGACATATTTAAGCGAAACAGGGGTGTTACAATATGATTTCATTTCGTGTTTAGGAGCTAAATCTAACTTTTGATGAACAGAATGTGCCCAGATTTCTTCCATGAAACGAGGCTGACCTTGCACTCCAAGTGAGCATAGGTTTAATAGTTTGCAGTGGTGGAAGAAGGCAGATTGTTTACCTCAGGAAAAGTAGCAATGACACTCTGCTACAAGTAAAAAAAAACATCCTGCATTAAACATTTTACTTACTAACTTACAGAAGACTCGACAGCTAGATGAATCAAAAGTAAAACTAGTCAACTCATTATGCAAAATGTCTCCCTTCAGACTTGCGGTTATTATTAGCGATGTTTTTACATGTGAGCAGGATTTTAATGCTAAATGTTTCATGTGGTTTGTAGCGTTGGAGCTACTTTATCCTACTTCATATATTGTTAGGTAGTTTAACCAATAACAAACATATAACTCACACACACACACACACACACACACACACACACACACAATATTGTAAATAAAAACGTCTTCTATGTCAGAGGGCAGCAGTATGCAGTACATGGATAAAGTATATGAAGTATAAAGTAGTAAAGCGTGAGTACCTAGAAGTTGTATTTAAGTAAAGTATATGTATGTTTTTATTTATTATTTCCCTACTCTTACTGTTTTTTATACTGTTTTTTCTCTATCCACTTTGCTGCTGTAATATTGGAATTTCCCCATTGTGGGACAAATAAAGGAATATCTATCTATCTATCTATCTATCTATGAGTATGTACTTTGTCACTGGTGATGAACAGGTCATTAAAACTAGGATTGATTTAGTTGGAAAATGGAAGTTTTGCGAGGTCACTGACACCGTTGAAACAGCAGTTCTAGTTTGACACACCATTACTAGAAACCAGTTTTAAGTGATATATGACTCTTCTGTTCCTTTCTGTCTTTCTGTGTGTGTAGGACAGGATAATCTGCGGTTGATCTTCACAGACAAATGTCTGGATGAAGACACCTCGCTGCTGTCTGAATTTGGAGTCCAGCACTTGTCCGTCATCCAAATGGTGATGAAGGTTCCTGGAGGTCTGAAGGCCTGACAGAGTCCACCTCCTCCTGCAGTTGTCAGCCAACGCTGCCGCCGCTGCTACTACTGCCACTTCATATAACCGCTCCTTATGTTGTTTACAGCTGAACTGTATATGTGTTTGCAATAATACTTTAATGTTCCTATGTTGCTTCTGATGTCTGAAAATAAAAAAAATTCTTTCTAATGCCTCATCTTTGATTGTGCAGATGTTATGAGGCCTATACTAAACCCTACACTGAAGCCGCATCAACATCAAATACACATAAAAAGCATGGGCAGGCTGAGGGGCCCTGAGGGGCTGCAGCACCCCTAAAATCTGGCATAATGAAAAAGATTAGTTCAATATGTTTAATATTTAAACTTGTAATATAAAATAATGACTTTCTGCTCTTTTACTGGAATTAACAGGTACACACTGGTATTTATGGCAGGGAATTTGTGTAAAATGTTAATAACTATTAAATAGGCTATACATTATCCTGATTTTCTCTAAGCACCCCCAACTGAAGTCTCACTGATGTTTTCTGAGAAATAATGTGCAGCCTATCCGAGGTGATCTTAAAATGATGAACATAGACCACCGTGGGTCCCTGCAAGGGCTCTGGCAGTCTGTATTAACATAAGGAACATAGATGATCCCAATGTGTGAAATACGTTCCTTAAACTGTCCAATTAGTTTAATTTTACAGTTGTTGGATATGGATATGATATGCTTCAACATAATCCAAAAGTGGGAAATGTGGCATTATAATCACCATATACGATCATTTTGTTACCAAACTCCTTCTTTCAGTGGCCGAACTACAACACAGAATAATCTTTTTATTTATTTATTTTACGACTGGATCAGTAAAGAGCTATTTCCGTATATTGTCCACTAACAATGTCCCTGTTTGGCCTGTGAGCCGTCTGTTAATAACGACACAATTTCCGACACGCCCTGAATGCAGCATTGCAGCAGGCGATAATTGAAACAGAAAGTGCACTCATACAGGAGACAGACACCCTGTCTTTATGCGTCCATTAGAGAGAGATTACAGAGAAAATAACTTGTATAATAAACTGCGGGAATGTCTATTGAAGTGTGAATCTTACAAAGGTAGGCTCGTGTGTTCCTGCATTTGTGTTTGTTTCCAAAACAGCTGTGTGATTGATTTATTGTCAACAATTGACTGCAAACCCTTTGCAGCTGACAGCAGTGAAGACGTGGACTGGAGTCGAGTGGAGTTAAAGAGAAACTAATATGAATGTACTGAAAAGAGCTCCCTCCACTCCAGGTAAGATATACCTGCTGTTATGACGGTTTAACATCCACAGTAATGGTGTGAAGATAAGACAGCTTTGCAATTTACATGCATTCATTTCCTCCCAACAGTTAAATACAATGGCTTGTTAAACCAAGGAGCAACTTGTTACTTGAACAGTGTGCTGCAGGTGATGTTCATGACCAAAGACTTCACAGAGGCTGTGGAAAGGTTTGTTACAAACTCCAACTTCATACCATAATGCATTTAATGTTTGTGAAGGCTATAGTGCATCTTTGTATCTCTTAAGAGCACCATGTGTTTACTTTGTTTAGGTACACCAGTGAAAATCCTGACAATGAGTTTATGGATCTTCCTCTTAAAGAGTTGTTTGATGATTTAAAAGGACATAGAACCTACACCTATAAAATCACGAAGAAGCTGGGCATCGAGAGAGGTACAGTATGTGTTCATGTATGCAGAACAACACCTTTGAATAGGCAGCCTGTACACTTAAAGTGTCAATACACAGTATTTTTCTTTTGTTTTGTTTAGCTTAGTTTTGCCTCATAAAGGATAAGGTTTCACATTTATTTGAAGGAATACACATTGATTTCTGCCTCTCTCCCCCTCAGTGTATGAACAGCAAGATGCTGCTGAGTACTTTGAGAAGATTTTAAATCTGACCAGTTCTGAGGCATCACAGGTAAAGACACCATCAATATCCAAGATAATCTTCGCATAAAATGTAAATTTTTTCCAGTCTCTGTATTTTTGTGCTTTCAGATCTTTCACGGACTGTTGACACACAGGACCAAATGTTCTACATGTTGTACAGAGACTGACACTGATGGGGCATTTTGGCATCTTCCTCTTGCATTGGTGAATTCCAACAGTGAACACTACAGTGTGGTAAGGATCTGACAACCTGAAATCTATAAAGCATTTTTCTATTGCCAGGAGATATTCATTAAACTAAGTATATAATTTTTTAAGGCTAGCATCTTTGTCAGAGATCTAATCAGCTGGGTGAAACACCATTAACAGCAACATTTGTGATTTATCAAAAACTGGGAAATATTGCATATATTGTGTCAGAGCCAATCCATCCAAAACAAATACAGGTAAACTTTACATGGAGCAAAGGTAAACATTATCCACCAATATACTTCATCATGTAATGAAATGTTAACAGACAGAGATGGACGTCCTTAAAGAATAATTATCTCATGATATTCAGTCCTGCAACTACAGCACATGTTCCAATAACTACTTAAATCTCTATATTCCAGATGTGCAGTATACATACAAATCTTGCCAATACTAGTTTCTCTTATTATGCACCTTTCTGATATCAGGCAACCTTTTAAACTGAAGTTAAATGAATAGCATATAATTGGTCTTATTTGTTACAAGTATATGATTAAGAAGTGATAACTGGAAAGCATCAAAAGCAGTGTTTATTACCCGATTCTTGTTTGTCTGGCTTTGTTTTCATTAGGTGGATGGCATTGAAGAGTATTTCAGAACCACAGAGTTCAGTGGAGAAAACCAGATGTACTGTGAGCACTGTGATGATAAATCTGATGCTACTACTGTGAGTAATGACACATTAACTGATTTGTCTATGACTCTGATTTTGAAGTGACATTATTAAGAGTTGATGGTGTTGTAAATGTATGATAATAACTTGATAAAACATGTTGGGGATCTGTGTTTTTAATTCAGCAATCTGTAATAAAGCGTCATCCAGAGGTTTTGATGCTGCTGTTGAAGAGGTTTGAGTTTGACTACAGCTACATGACATATATCAAAATCAACTGCATTGTGGATGTTCCCTGCACTTTACAGATACCAGAGGTATATATACAGGATATTTTACTGTTTTATCAGAACCCATTTATTTTTAATTCCTGGTGCTAATGTCTGTCATTTTGTCTCCTGATGATCAGAATCAGACATATGAACTGTACGCAGTTGTGGATCATTTTGGAGATCATAGAAGTGGACATTACACTGCAACAATCAAGGATGATGAGAGATGGTATAAATTCGATGATACCAGAGTCTCATTGGTAAGACTGATCACTAACTCCGGTGTTGTTCAAAGTTACATATTACAGGGCAAAAAAACCCTGATTCATCACATTATGTTTGATTATTCTTTTCACCAACAGTCTGATTATCAGCCATTCCAGGTGGACAACTTGGAGACGTAAGTTTAAGTCCTTTTATTTCATGCCTACCATAAATGATTTCTAAAGTTTTTTGGATTGAGTATATCTACAGGATGCATAACAGTGCATGTACAACAGAAAGCCCCTGTATTAAACACAAGCCATACATGTACATTTATTTGAAAATAACTTTTCTTTAATAAAAATTAACCATTTCTTTTCACATTTCTCTCCCTAGATCCAGCAGTGCTTATCTTCTGTTTTATAGGAGAAGGAAAGGTAAGATGGCAAACATTTTCATTATGATTACTGATGTGAAATGTAAATGAATGCATTCAATTGTTTGGTATTTTATCTGAACTTATTTTATAACTTTATACCTTTTTATATCTTCCCAGTGCATGCTGCAGATACTTGTACTCAAGACATCAGGGAGGTGTCTCCTCCTGGAGCTTTCCCATCTGATATAGTTGATATCTATGACCAAAGTCAAGATGTAAAGAAGAGAAGGATAGAGGGGACTGAGATGGCAGCAGAAGCGGGTAATGACACTGCAGAGGCTGTTTCCTTCAACAGAAATGAAGAAACAGAAATTAAAGATGGTGTTGGGTCTAGAGGAGTGGAGCTACCACCTGGGTCCTGCGTTAATGTGGCAGAGAATGGAGTTCATAAGGGGCAGAGCATACCATGCAGCCAGGACTATAAAGAGGAAAGAAATTATCAGAGTTATTCTCAAGATGCTCATGACAGAAAACAGAGTGATGAGGAGAAAATAATAATGCATGATAAGGAGGACATGGGAGGAAATGCAGAAACCAATGAGCAGGCAGTAAAAAAGAGAAAAACCTTTTCTAGAGAAACTGAACTTGAAGAGATTGTTGAGGATCAGGGCAATGATAGTGGAAGACCACATGATGTTAGACAGAGGGGACCACAGGAGGGTCTGGAGGGTTGTGACATACACAACACATCACATCACAATCAGAAGCAGGAACAGGAACTCAGCAACATGAATGCGAGAGAAGAATATCCTCAACAAGTTTGTGTGCGAGTTGAGGACATGATGGATGTAAACAGAGACAAGGATGGAAAGATGTCAGGTGATGAACAGTCAGGAAGGAGAGACCTCAACAGGGACGTAGAGCATGTCAGACAGGAAATCAGTATAAAAAATAAAGATATTGCTGTAAAGACCAAAGAGCAGGAAGAGACAGGATATAACAAACCTATTCAGGACAGAGCAGACTCTTCTCTTAGACAAAGAGGATCTGCAGGAAGCAGCAGACTGACTGAGAATCAGGGAGTTGACAGTGTTGAAGATGGAGTGGAAGAAAGACGCGGTTCAAAGAAGACAAAAACATATCAAGTTAAGATAATTGAGGAAGAGATTAAGGAAACTCCCAGTGGCACTCAAAGAAGCTGTGAAACGAAACACATTGGAACAGTAGAGGAAACTTCACAACGAGACACTTTGTCAAAGCCTTTTCGCAAATTAAAACTGAGTGAGTCCCTTTTTCCAGGGCTAAAGAAACGTGGAACCAAAAGAGCCAAAAGAAATGCAGAAGAGGAGAATGAGACAGACACTACAATTTATTCAACTGCTGGAAAAAAGAAAAAAACTACTGGCTGCATCCCAGGTTTTCCAGGTTGTAAAAACAAGAACAACTCAGGATCAGACTCTGACTAAGATGAAATACATACTTTGTCCAGGACAACACAATAGTTATTTTTGACTGAGTCATTATGATGATCCACAAGATTTCATTTTTAGGTTTTGATTGATGCGTTTTTTTTTTTTTTTGGTTAATGCAGTTTGAGTGTCTGTTGGAAGCACTCTTTTGTTCCTTCAGTCTGGTTCAATCTATTCAACAGATCACTTTTTCAAAATGTTGGCGTCACTTCCTGTTTTCCACAGGATTGTTTCTGTGTAAAGAGCAGCAAATGTTAAAGATTTAAGAGAGAGAGGGTTGTTTTAGGTTAAAGTACTGATTTATTGTGACAGTCTGTAATATGAAGTAAGACAATAGAAACCTTAATACAAATGTAAAGTTAAAGAAACACAAGATCACATTTTTGATGGATTTGAAATCACCTTATATAAATTTACAGTTTATAGAGTTAAAGACGTACCGACCTTTTACATTTTGTTTTCAAAATAGAGATATAGAGATATATAAATAGATGCCGTGTATGTTGCATCGACAAGGGATTGTTGGAGAATTCTAATTCAAATGTAACGATATTTTATTCAATTTTTGATTTAAATTTTGTTTGTTTTAGTGTTTTACTGTAAAATCATACAATTATTTTCAATTAATTAGGTCTATTAGTCTCAGTGTTGTTTATCAGAAAGCACTTTCTGTACTTTTACTACTGACTGGTATCATAGATGCTTTAGATTTTATGTTTATCACTTTGAACTGAAATATTTATGTAATCTGTACAATTCTGATGCTGATTTGAAGAAATAAAAAACTAAATAGGGAGAAAAATGAAACAAATACTTGGATGAACACTGTTTCTGTGGAAAGTCATAAGTTATTTTATGTATGTTGCCTAAATCACAAATTTACCTCAAAGGGCTTCACAATCTGTATGACATATATGACCTCTCTATTATTAAGAAAACTCCCAGAAATAGTACAATTACAGGAAACCAAGATTAATAATATAATAATCACCAAAACTGTTACTTTTGTGAGCAGAGTCTGGTATTGACAGCAGCAATCTGTGAGACTGTGTTCAGGATTATTAGTCACCCTCACTGTTAACTTCCACATGGTCAGTCTGATTGTCACATGTTATTTTGAATCCTTGTTCTACCAGTTTAACGTTACCTGGGAACTGATCTGAGAACACTTTGTACAAAGAAATACATATTTGAGATATAAATACCTCTGTCTGTGTTGTGTCACTCTTGAAGAGCACTGAGATTTAATTTTCACTTTCAATCTCTCACACTTTTTTAAGTATAATTTGTTTCGTATTTTAACATGATGATGAAGCTATAACTCTGTATGATGGTTGTATGTTATCTTATTTTTCTCTTACAAATTATTCTGATATCAGAGGCTAAACAGATGAATGTTTTATTTTTTATTTGTATTATTCTTTTTATTATTCTTATTTATTTATTTATTTCATAGACTAATGTACTGGATCCGGTTGTACATACTCCGGTACGGTAGGTGGCGGTATACACCTGTAAGCCACTACAGTTGACTCCTCACGCTTTCCGTAGTGTGATCATTTCAACCAACAATGGCGGCCATCAGGAGCGGGGTGACTCCGAGTTGCCTCGCAGTATGTTTCCTGAGACACAGTGGAAAACCGAGCCGAGGCAGCCGTCCTCTTTCAGACATTTGGAAGCACGTAGGTCTTGTTTACAGTTTCCCATTTTGAGTTTTATTCCTGTTTCTGAAATAAAGCCGCAAACAGCGACTTTTCCCGGCTAACATCCACACTGTGTGACTTTGACAGCAGCAGCCTCTCTTACTGAAGACAGAGTCCTCCTCCGAGACTTCATCTCAACGAGAACAGCAGATACGTGTTTAAAAACCACCAGCAGGTTTATTTGAGAGGTCACTAACTGAGGTTAATACACCTGGTTTACCTGAGGTTGACACAAGAAGGACTATCCAGACAGTTTTTAGTGACAGTTTTCTATTAATTCCCCCATTTAAAGTCCATTAAGTGTGTCTCACCTGAGGTTATAAGTCACTAATAATCACAGATGTATTGTAGGACAGATTCCCACTGCACAGCTGCTAGTGCTGTAATTATTGATATAGCAATACATTTTAAAAGACACAGTTATTAATGTCAGAGGAAATGTTTATGTTAAAAGATTAAATATAATAAATGATAAAACGTTATTTTTGTGATAGTCAATAAGACTCTCCTCTGATTCAAGTTACCTTATAATACTTCCAGTTTAGCTGAAGTTCAAATGAACCTTTGCTCATTTTGAAAGAGCCAAATAAAATAGGCTTCAATTAATGATTGTTTTATTTTGATTTATCATTGTTGTTTTTAGTTAATGTGAAAAAAAAACATCCCACAGTACTGAGATTTCAGTCTACAGTGATATTAAAAGTGTAACCACGTAATGTAGCTTTTCTACCTAAGAAGTGACTGCAATGATTAATCACTTATTCAATTTATAATTTCCGCTCTAATTAGGTTAAATTCAGAAAACAGCTGCGATTTGTGACTCCTGAAGCCTGTGCCCCTGAATGTGTCATCAGGTTGTATTTATGTGTACGTCTGGCTGACACTCTCGTCTCTCTGCTTTTCAAACAGCGGCTGCTCCTGAAGTCCCATCTGCACACAGTGTTTGAGTGTCACAGCCCCGCCACCAGGACCCTGCTGGGCTCCAGACGGCGTGGGATGTTCCTCTGGGTGAACGCCGCGGCAGTCAGACACAACAGCTCACAGGTGAGTTGGCGTACAGGTGATTACTCTAATGGCAAAGCTCTTGAATGCTCTTATTTACACTCTCATCGTGGACTTTTGCCCTTCATTTTTTAAGTAAAGTACATTGATTTGTACCAGAAATCTCAAATAGAAATGTTATGCTATGGATTATATTTCACTTTATGATGCATCAAAATATTACCACCAGTTCTGGATAACATCCACCTACTTTGGCATGTTTTAATTAATGTACAGCTTTCACTCACTGTTATGCTGAGCTGTTTAATTTAAGGTTAACCTAGATAAATATTATATTATAATATATATTATTATTATTAATATATAATATTATAATATAATATTAAAGTTAAATTGAACAGCTGTTTGAATGAATCATTATTGATATTGATGATTGAACTGATATTTACAGATCCCACCTAATGATCGAATCCTGGCTGCTCCAGTTGTGGAAGCTTCTGGCCTTCTGAGACCACATCTGAAATGAAATGATCTTTCTAGTTACCATATAACTTGAATGATGTGATTTTTATTTTCATTCATATTTTTAGATCCCAGTTGAAAGAGTTTCAGTACCAGTAGTGGACATCTCTCCCCCTCCTCCGGTCTTGGTTTCCTCTCCAGAGCCTGCGTCCGCTGTTTTAACGCAACCAGCCATTGAGCATGTGACTGATGCTGTGCCGACTGCAGCGGAGGTCTTGCAGGCTGCCACTAGAGAAACCAGTTTAACAGAGCTCGGATTGGCCCAATACACACCAGTGGGGATGGTCCAGAACTTCTTAGACTCCATGCACTTGGACCTTGGTTTGCCCTGGTGGGGGGCCATAGTTGTAGGTAAGCACAGATTAAAAAAAAAAAAAACTAACAATAAATCTATACACTAAAGCAGGTTACATCAGAAACTTCCAACAGTGTTTACTGTATTCCCTGTGCCCTAATATTGTCCTGTTCTTCCTCTTTCCTCTGTCTGTTGATCCCTCACCCACGTGTAGCAACAGTGTTTGTTCGTTTGGCTGTGTTTCCGGTCATTGTGAGCACCCAGAAGGAGGCAGCCAAGACGCACAATTTGTTGCCTGAGATGACCAAAATCAATAGCAGGCTGGATGAGGCAGTAGAAAGTGGAGACAAAGTTAAATGTAAAAATTTGTATTCTCAGTCACAATTATGTTAATTATTCTATAAGCCTCATCAACTTGTCATAAGCTGTTGTTTGTGTGTTGCAGTTGCCAAAATCTACTCTGAAATGAACTTGTTCCAGAAGGAGCATGATGTAAAGAATCGCAGTGGCTTCCTAGTTCCTATGCTGCAGGTCAGTTTATATCTGGTTTCTCTATCATGTTGTACTGAGCTCTAACACCATTACATTAACTCTGGGGAACTTTCAATCTTAACTTTTCAATAAGATGAAAATGCACCTAATTTATTAAAGCAGGATTTATTTTCATCTTTCTATATGTTGGCCTTATGTGGAGACTGAATTAAAATAAATAAATAATAAAATAAAATCAACCTAACAAGGGATACTGTCACACTCAATAACATGTCAGGAGCTGATGAAAGAAATGTTACATTAATTTAAACTTTGTATGCTGTTGTAGTTCATGTTTAATGCTGTTCACCTCAAAAACATTTCCCCCATTTCCCCTTTTTTTCTTTCTAGAAGTCTTTTACATTACACTTCTGTATCCGTTTGCAACTGTTACTGCGTAAACAGCAGTATACTGTAGATACTGAAGTTCTTTTCATAAAAACTAGTATTAACCTTAATAGTTTTTATTTTGCTGAAGCATTTTGGGAATAAAATCTATAAACGTTTCTATTGAATCCTACTTTCCCATCAAAACCCAGTGTACTCACAAGTCCAGGCAAAGGGGGAATGTGAAATGATCGTTTATTTAAAGATGTAGATCAAAACATTAGGGCAGGTGATTCTTATTCTAATTCTAATAATTCTAATCTAAAGTTACATCTCAGGGTGATCCATTACAGACTTCATATTCTGTTCTGACTTAAATAACACAACAAAACCTTATTAGTGTACCCGTTGTTATACACTCAAAAGCTTTTAAAAAGTTTTAAGATTTCTCTGCAACTTTTACTTGCACCACGTTGGTCTTAAATGTCTTGCGCACTAAAAACTTTATTATCTGTCGTAAATAACAGAAATATATGTATGTGTATTCTAGCACTTAAAGAGAGAATAATAGCAAATATAAACATTATCAAACACCTTATCGTATGATATGCAATTCAAACTATATATGAACACATTTCCTTTAATATTAATTCATAAAATATGTAATGTGTGATAACATTTAAAAATGTAGCAAATATAAATATGTGCTGAAGTGGCTATTAGAAACATAACTGTATCTGTATTAATGTTTATTGATCAGTATACTTATACAGTACTGTTGCATTTTAACATTTTCCCTTTTTCAAAGGTGTTTTGTTGTTGAATTATATTTTAAGATATTATATGTGATCAGGACAAATCGCCTATCTGTCTGTTCCCGCAGGGACCAATCTTCATGTCTTTCTTCTTGGCACTGAGGGAGATGGCCCATCTGCCGGTGCCCAGCTTGCAGACCGGAGGCATGCTCTGGTTTCCAGACCTGACAGCAGTAGATCCCTTTTATATCCTGCCTTTGGCTTCCACTGGCACCATGTTCTTAATCATGCAGGTCAGCCACCTTTTACCCAACTCGTCAATAGGTTAAAGTAACTGTTAAATCAACCCTGTTAATATGTACTTTTTCAATCCCAGTCAGAATAAACAATCAGCACAGTTATGAGACTAATATGGCTATCCCTGGACTAACAGTTGTGATAGGTGGTGGTATGATCTTGTTATAAACTGTTGAATGTCGTTGTGAATTTCCTAAATAATCACCTCACTGTCTTCTCTTTTAGTTGGGTATAAAGTCTAACATCGATAGCCCCTATGGGCAAGCCCTGAAGAATATGTCCAGGATCATGCCCTTTCTCGTCTTCCCCCTCACCATGAACTTCCCCGCGGTGAGTATTTAACCTCCCCCACATCATAATTGAAAGAGTACTTTGTACATTCACTGTCTAAAATCCTTTTCTCCTCAAACAAACCTCAGGCGGTGTTTACCTACTGGCTGACCTCCAACTGCTTCTCCTTGGGTCAACTCGCCCTACTCAGACACCCCTCGGTTAAATATATCTTAGGGATCCCCGAGAGGATCCAACACCCGCCCTCCAACCTGCCACGTCAAAACATGATCGAAAGCATGATGAAGAGTTAGTGTCTAAACGTACATCCAGTAGAATTTAAGAACATTAGCACTGTTAAACTATGGAGCTCAGTTGACACAGTGATCATTTCTGTCTTTGTCCACCTCTGGTTTGGTTTCGCCCAGGCTGGAGAAAGGCTCAGCTGGTCATGGAGATGGAAGAGAAGGAAAGGAGAACCAAAAATCAACTGGACGTCACAGATAACGGTCAGTCTCACCACTACATCATCAGCTTCACACAGACCTATTCCTTCTTTGGCTTTATTTCAGCTGTGTGCCACTGAGAAACAGCTGGCTGAGGTTGTTTCTACATGATGGCAAAAACATGTATTAATGTGCACAATAACTCCATGACTTCAGAAAATATTCTCTATTAATACTGACAGACGGGAATAAAGACAAGCTGTTGGATTTATAGTTCTAACAAACTAATGGACTGCTTATTCATAATTTAGGCAATTAAACGCCATTGAGTAATATTCTGGCCATAATGTGCACTGTAAATTTTATCCACAATACATACTTTGTAATGTCTTTATGTAGAAATTGGACATGTGCTCCACCTTGTGGCCAGAGCCAGTAATTGCAATATAAAAAGCTAATTGTAATCAGGTATTTAATGGGGGTTAGAGGGGTTTAGATGAAAAGCTCATCACTAAGCAAGTGGAATAGTACTACACATGCTGAAGGCTAGAGGGAGCCATTATCATGATTATCTCTGTGCGGTCAAGACTTTGATTTCTAATTGTACTGAAACTGTAAATGGGTTCAAAATTAACACTACACGAGATGTATGACTTTCAGTTTAGCACTTCTTTTCATCTTCTTTTCAGGTCCTTCTTCTTTTCAGACTTTTGACCACAATCCTCTCGAGCAGACCCCACCCGTACCGTCAGCTAAAGACAAAGAAGCTGGTGGCAAGGCGAGGCCATGGAAGGACACAATTGGATAGATCAGACTGGCTGACTGCTTGACAGTATGTACTTATTATTAATGTACATATTTATGGGTGGGACAGGGTTGTTATTATGTATTATTCTGTTTAAAATCTGCCTCAAAACAACCACTTTGGTGTATATATTTTAATTTCTGTGCGCACAACACATTAATCCACTTTCCCAGAAAGATCCCTGGAGCATAATGAAAGAAATAATCAATGTATGTTGTCAACAAGTAATTTTATTATAAATACATGTTTGCAGCAAAGTCATTTACTCAGAAACTGCAGAAACAAATTAGTTAAGTTGTGTAAAATAGCCCTTCACTTCACCACACCTTGCACCTGACAGTATAAAACCTTTTTATGAATGAAACTCCTTTACTGCTCGATTTCTATTTGTGCAAATATTAATATTAATAATAATAATACCAAAGTTTCTATGGTCAGCAGTGCTTTTAGTTTCAAAGATATTCTCCTGTCCACTTCAACAATTTAACCATAATAATTTGCCAACTTCCAGTACAATCAGAAAGGTATTACGGTTATGTAATTTCACACGAAATACTTGAAGGATCAATTAAATAATTCTCTACTAATACGTACAGTTCTGTAATAAAAACAGGTGTTCTTCAAGAGTGTATAAAAATGTTCAGCTAGAATGAAATCTTGCCAACAAGCACCCGGGGCGCCATCATTCGCGCATTCATTGACATTGTGACCGGGTGATGATTGACAGGTCTGAGAACTGCGGTCCAGCTCAAGCCCAAATGTTTGGTCCATCGAGGCCTCGTGGTAGCAGCGACTGGCCAGGATGAGTTCAGGTTCTACATTTGTGCATCATCAGTCTCCGGCACAGGGCTCTACTCCTCCTTGTCGTCCATTTCAGTCAGAACAGAGAAGCACACCTTCTGAATCAGCAAGCCGGATTTAGCTGAAAGAAGTGGAGACGGGAGAAACATTAGGGCAATCTGTTCATCTGTTATTGGCCTGAATCCAGCTGCAAACACTGACACCAAATTTAGTTTGAGCCAGTGTTGAGCTCAAGTGAATTGCTCTGTAGTTGTTTACAATCATTGGAAACAAATAATCATTAATTGTAAATGTATGATTTCCTATTAACAATTTACAAAAACTGTGTTGACACAGAATACAAAGTCTGGTTACAAACAGTTATCAGTGTGATAAATCTTTCACAGTATATTTATTGACATACAACATTTCTTTTTTGTTGCTGCCATTTTCAATAAAAAAAATACCCTCTTTAATCAAAAGAAAAAGAGGCTGTTGTTTTAATTTAAATGAATATCTATAATGTTTTCTTAGAAAAACAAACATTACCTTTGATCTTGTACAACGGTTTTCCCATTATAGGGTTCAATATATGACTTCACATTCTTTGCATTACATCCCAATTAAATGCAGTAAAATGCTCAATAATGAATTGATTAATTGATCCCTGTCAGATGGTAAAGCTGGCCTTTAAGTCAATATCATAAGTTCCCAAGCATGTTTAAGTTTATTTTTTTGTTACATCCATCCTGCCAATTATTAGTTTGTGTTATTGTTTTTCCTGTAATTAAAACATTTTATAGCAAGGCTGCAAAATATTAGCGTCAAAGTTGGATCTTTATTTCACAATCTGGTTTAAAACAAAATGTCTTTTCAATAGATGAAAACACTGAAGGATTCCTGGGGCTCTCTTACCGATGAGGCTTCGTAGCCGCAGTGGCCTCTTATGTGCCGGAGTGTAGCAGCAGAGGAAGTAGACGGGCACTCCTGACAGTGCGATGCCAATGCCGATCAGGGAGTTGATGGTGTCACTGTAGAGCGGCACCACCACGAGGAAGACGGTGAGGAGACAGAAAACGATGGGGAAAAAAAGACTGAGCTGAAGAAGAAAGAAAGAAGAGGTTGGATGATGGTTGGAATCAATTATGTAGTTCTATAGCACCTTTCAAAAACAAAATGTAAATAATATTCAGTAAAGTAAATTTTAAAAATGCAGTAAAAAAAAAAGTTACCTTTAGTGGTCTCTTTCTGTCCGGCTGCTTCCAGCGCAGATACAGTTGTCCCAGAATGGATAGACCGACAAAGAACCAGTAGCTGAAGCTGTAGTAGTTGATCAACCTGAACACGTCTTCTACACACAGGTATATGAGAGCCATGATGCCCTGCAGGAGACATGCAAGAAACATAAATCCGACTGCGAAATGTGGTGGTTATGGTTTTCCTAAAGGTGCAACACATAGCAGCTAAATGAAACCATGAGACAACAGGAAAATATAAGATGGCGAGGGTTGACTGACGTTGAAGAGCAGGGCGGGGACGGGAGTGTAGCGGTGGACATGGATCATGCACAGGTAGTCAGGCAGGTGGCCCTCTCTGGAGCCCACGAAGAACAGCCTTTAGAGACACAAAAAAATATGCAACAGAGCGGTGATGAGTGAGGGACACAATGGAGACAATGAATGAGTGAGTGGGTGCTGATAACGCGGGGGAGAAGTGATGGCAAAAAAAAAAAAGAAAATCCAATGTAATCCCTCACCTGGAGGAAGCCAGGATGGAGGCGTTGAGTCCTCCGAAACAGGAAAGAGCCACGGCGAAGGGAATTGTCCAGTTCATTACACCAAACACCTGGTCTGCAAAAGTCTGAAAAGAGGAGATTAAATGCTGTAAAACTGCACGTTATAGATAGCAACAAGTGTTGGGCAGTATGACCAAACTGTACTTTTTAAGATTCTGGTGGACTCACAGTATCTGTTCTCTATATAGGTTTATAGTGGCCTATTCTACTGTCAGGAGTACATAGAATATAAAAACATTTCAATGTCATGTTATATACTGAAGGAAACAATATATGAAGGGAACATTTGCAGAATGTTAATAATGTTACATAGTAAAAGCAGCACTTAAAAATAAAAAAGAAGCCGCCCGGTTAGCTCAGTGGGTAGAGCTGGCGACCCATGTACCGAGGCTGAGTCCTTGCTGCAGCGTCCCAGGGTTCGGGTCCGACTTGCGGACCTTTGCTGCATGTCATTCCCTCTCTCTGCCCCCCTTTCCTGTCTATCTTCAGCTATCTCTATCATAAAGGCAATAAAAACCCCAAAAAATACTTTAAAATAAATTGACAACAACTTCACCATTGCTGCCTTTTCAAAACAAAATACTTTAAAATATATGTATTAACACTATAAACTGACATAAAATACTCAAAGTATGTGAGTATTCATAGAGGTATTTCTCAAATATTCTACTGCACAAGTAAGAAAAATATTGTCACATATTGTGTGCCATTGGCATTTTGCTTTGTTATATAGTAAAAACAATGTTGCTCCCTATTGAAGAGTTACAGCAGTTATTTCAGTTATGCAACAGTGTGGCAGTATATGAAAAATTCCTATCATACAGGAAATTAAGACCAGCAGACAAGTTCATCCAGTACATGAGCCAGGTGATTGAGGATTATATGCACTTACCACAGCTACAGCATCACTGTCTAAGATGGCATTGATGGGGAGGATGGTGTAGTAAGCCACGTTGGTCAGAATGTAGATCACTGTTACTATGGGCATGGAAATAGCGATGGCCAGTGGCAGATTCCTGTAGTACACACAAACAAACAGCAGAGGGAAGCAAAAGAGGTGAGTCTGAAACAAGGTTCATGCTTCCTCAGGAGTCTGTGGGTCAAGAGCAAATCGACCTTCTGGGTGAGGGGAGGATGGGGATTGTGATAATCGGTCACTTAATCTGCCTGGGAACCCTGGGAGAGGCTTGTGATCCAATCACATGTGTAGTCTTCAGTGGTGGAATGTAATTGATTTACTTGAGTACATCTCCAAATTTGGTGATTCTGAATGATTGTGATAGACTGAAGGATTAAATGTTCCTTTATGGGTTGAGGAAATTCTCCCACTTATCAAGCTTAATAAACTCTTTAAAAACTGTCTTGGATTAGCTGGAAACGCATTGTCACGAAGCTGAAAACAGCGCTGTGTTTCTGAGGTCACGAAAAGTTATACGTGGCAGCGATGCTACAATGCATTGCTTTCGATTAAACTACCCAACAGTATATAAAGTAGTTAAAATGAGCTCAACCATAAACATCTACAGCTGTAAAATGCAACATACATTAATGTAGCTGTAATATTAATGCAAAAGCATCATATATACTCTACACTGACAGGAACCATTTTACTGCACAATGAGAATATTACAGGATAAGTCTGCATCTAAAAGCAATACATGCCCATATGTTGAAACACTGAAACAGTTTTTGCTCTTTGTGATCATTCCTCCTGTACACACTGGCCATTAAGAACTCCCCCTTTCTAATGTGCTTCCAGTGTTAGTGTTTGGACAGTTCCCATTCTTTGTAAAATATATATTCCAAAGTTTATCTGCAGCTAATAATATGAGGGTTCAGCAGAGTAGGAATCAAGTAAGTATCATAGATAAGTTATTTTTAGAACAAAATTCTTTCTTTGTTTTCCCAGTTTTTACTCGCTTAGTTACATTGGATACATCTAGAAAGATCATGTGATGTCCAGTATAAACAAGACAAATGATTACAACGAGCTAAAGTGTTCATTTTGGCATCTGCATCATCTTTAACATTTCTTTTAACCATTATTCAGGAGTCTCAACCAAGTTCCTGTGAAAACAATTAAATCTAAAAAAAAGATTTAAATGTTTTCGCTTGCATTATGTGGTTTATCTTATCTTAAAATGTTCTTTGATCTGATATTATGCCCAAGAAAAGAAACGGCTTCCACCATCCCTCGGACGATCCCTTGGAAAGGATGACCTTTACAGCACATCTCTACATTGGAATGCTCTGTCCATCATTGGTGACATTAAACACCCCCTCCATACTGTTTGGAGGTTAAGCTGCTCAACTCAGGGCGACGCTACAGTGTACCTCTGGCAAACAAAAGGATCTGTAAGGGATCTTTTATACCGAGTGCAATAAACTTTATGAACAAACTGCACTAATCTGAACCCAGAAGGTAGGCATTGTGTTTATGTTGTATTCATTGTTGTGATGAGATGAAATCTGCCACAAAGATGTAATGTGATTTATCTTATCTAATGACATTAAAGGTGATTTTCTGGCCTTGACCGGACAATAAATGTGTATTCTGTTTTATTCTACTTGACCTCCTTACCTCTCTGGGTTCTTGATCTCCTCTGTGACAAAGTTGAGGGTGTCCCATCCCGAGTAGGAGAACAGAGCGGAGTACAGAGCCAGAGCAATGTGTCCTGGATCCTGAGAGGAGCCTTCGAACATGTCCTCGAAGTTCTGTGTGTGACCTGGAAATTAATGCAAATGACATGAAGAACCAGTTTCTTTAAACCATCTGACCATAGGCTTTGATAATATTATATGATGTGGTGGTTTAGGATGAAAGAGAGGAGTTAGTGACGCCTTTAGCACCTTGTCCGATCTTCACCAGGCCAGTGATGATGACAGCGATGAGAGCGATGACTTTGGCGTAGGTGAAGAAGTCCTGGACCCTGGTTCCCCACTTTACATAGGCACAGTTCACAAAGGTCAGCAAACCTAAAGGGAGAGCAGCCAAAGCACATGTATAAAAATGTGTATATTACTCACACACACACACACACAAATCAAATCCATGAGCAGCCTCAGTGGGTGAGATTTGCTCTGTAAACTGTGAGTGTGTGCCAGCATGTTTCCGTGTGAGAGTACGGCTGGTTTAAGGAAACGCTGCTGCTGACTCAAGCAGACTGGCCTGTTGTTTTTCAAATGAGGAAACAGCTGAGTGCAGCACATACAACCTCACACAGAGACACACACACACACACACACACACACACACACAGGTACAGTCGTGAAAGTGAGGCAAATTTTAAAAGCTATAAAGGAGTGTTGTGAAATCACCACTGATCTGGTGACTTAAATTTCTGCTCGAGGTTGGTGAGTTGTTACCTGTTTCTACTTATTGACCAACAGTCCGAATGACTGACACTGATCAGTTTTTCCTCATTGCCCTCCTTCACTTTGAGCAGCATTGATGTTATTGGAAAACGTGTTTTCGTCCCTCACTCTGTGACTCATCTCTTAGGCCTCTTATCAGCATATGTTCATAAAAATGGAGATAGTAAGGCACCGTATGTCTGCTCATTTTAAATGATCTAGTAGTAAAGGAGGGTTCAGTGAAACAGTGAGTTTCACACAAATTGTCCTTCCTTTAATCATATCATTCATTATCTTGCTCATTTCAGTCAAAAACCTCTTTCAGATTAAAGCATTCCTTGTTGTGTTGATCTTCCTCCTGACTCTACAAGTCTTGTAAGCACTGATTAAACAAATTCACCTGCAAACCAGCTGAGTGGGCACATTTTATCTACAATAGCATTAAGTTCATTCGAGGCGCCCCCCCCGCTCACAGACTACATTTATCGCTCAACACTGACCTCCACATCACCCAGACATCTAAAGGAGAGGCCAAAACAGTATTACATCACCGCCCTCTCCTCCACATTGACCACGGAAGCGCCTTCAGCCACAGTGAGAGGACGAATCATAACACTATCACCTTCCAGCCCATTGATAGGAAGAGGATCATAACAGGTCCGTTCCCAACAGGGGGCACGATGCCCCGGACGGAGGTGAGCGGCGATGAGCAACGGAGACTTTGCCACACAGAAGTAGAGGCGTGGTGTGTTGACAGTGAAAGGTTAGAAGGGTGGGAGGTGTGAGATCAGGTTCAGGAGGCTGACCGACTGGTAGTGGAGGTCAAATATGGTCCAGATGTGAGGTGAAATGGAGATGTTTAGGACTGTGAACTCACATGCGGGTGGGATGCTTTGACACCCGGGGCTCCAGATGTCGACTGCTTAAAAGCGTTTAACTTACATGTTATTGAGTGAGGAGGTGATGTACAAGTCATAATTATGAGATAATAAACCATGACAAAGTAAATCTAAAGGTTGAGTTATTACATTAAACCTTTGAGATAGTAATTCAGAATTACAGAATTAAAGATTTCCCAAGTCAAAAAGGTTCCTTAGTGAATATTTTGAGATACAAAATTAAATTATAAAAAATAGTAAGTAAAGTTGACTTACTATCTCTTAAGTTCAACTTTTTAAACTTTGACATATTATCTTTGGACTTAATATCTAGTAGCAGTATTTTTATTTTATTTTATAATAGATAACTTTTAATCAATTTTTTTTTCTTTGCATAAATGGGCTTCTTATCATCATCTCCGAGCAGGAGGGGCACAATTTCCCAGTCTCAGTGTCCTAGAGTAAAAGTTTTCACTGACAGGAAGTGTGTTTAGTTTGGGGTTTAAGCTTCAGTCCTGTGCTGAGCTGTCAGTAGCCCGTTAGTCTCTCAGGTCAGAGTCTCACTGCGGGAAGGACTTTACCTCACAGCTATCAGCAGTCTCAGCCCTCCTCCGAGCACGGCTTATCAGAGCATGGCACGAGTGTGTGTGAGCATGCAAGCCTTTCAGGTGGGCGGTTGATGAATGAGTAATATTTATTGCAAAAGAGCACAATGTGTGTATTTTTTATCTTAAATATCAGGGCTTGCCTTTGATATATTACCTTCACCGGACCTCTCTCTGTCTTTATGCTTCTTCTCTCAGTGTCTGGTTGCCTGAGTGTTGGTATTTCTTCGCCTCTCAAGTTGTGCTCGGTTGCCTCGGTGAGCAGTTTTGAAGCGATCTTGTTAGTTTGATTAACTCAGTTTGTCAGCATTGCTCTTTCTCAGTGCCATTGTATTCTAGTTACCTCGGCAATCTGGGCCACATTTATTAACAAAGTTTAGCTCTATGTTTATGAATAATTTCTTGCTGTTGCTGACTCAAGTCCTCATGTGCAAGGATTTCTAAATCAGTGCTTTTTCCCTCTACTCTTCCTGATTGCCGCACACGTTTTAATGGGGTCGTTTAGTTCCTCTTTTGGAAGAGCTGCTGACTGCAGCAATGGTGTCACCATTTTTCACTTCTCTAGTCTACAAAGCTCACGTGATCTCTTTCAGATGGGAGACTAACCGTGGCTATGACAGGCCCTTTATATCGATTACTCACTTGTACACTGACTCACCTCCTCTCCCTCTCTCAATGCCATACTCACACATACTGACACACTCTCCACATGTGTACTTACATATACAAGCAGCAGCCAGCAGCCTGTTAGCCACGTATGGAGCTATACAGGTGGGGAAGATGGGCTGCACCATGTAGTTGGAGAACGTGATGGCTATGACGGCCTGGCTGGTCGGCTCGATGATCAGCAGCGACGTCCACAGGCGGATGAAGGCCATGAAACCCCCAAACGCCTCCAGGATGTAGGCATAGGATGCCCCCGACTTGGTGATGGTGGTCCCCAGCTCGGCGTAGCACAGAGCCCCAAACACGGAGAAGATCCCTCCGACTGTCCACACCACCAGAGAGAGGCCATAGGAGGCACTGTGGATGAGGACGCCCTTGGGCGAGACGAAGATCCCCGAGCCGATCATGTTCCCCACAATCAGGCAGACCCCATTCAGGAGGGAGATCTCCTTCTTCAGTTTCATGGACTCCTCGCTTTTAGACTTTACAGATGGGGGTCCGCCATTGGGTGCCTCTTGCGTCGGGGCAGGGCTATAGGATGCCATTGTTCGTGTTTTTGTGGTTTATTTATTTATTAGCAAAAAGCAAGAAACTGTTTTCTGATCAAGATTTCAGTCACAAATTTTTGCTTTGATGTTACTGAAGATTTAAAACGTTCCTCCCAATTATCTGTGATCATCTCCTGCCATCTGTGGAGAAAACACACAAGGTCATATCAGTGATGCTGTTACCATGGAGACCGATTTGGTCACGGCATACGTACAGCAAATACTTGTGTTGTTTCAATCCTGTCCCAATCTAGTCAAACAAAAACATATTTACATGCCATGGGCGCTAATGTGGGAACAAACATACACACAAAAAAAATCACGTAATACCACAGTAGCGTACACGGTGTCTGATTTCAGAGCAGTTTTGTGGATTGGAGAGCCATTAGGGCGCAAAGCAAATGGCCTTTTAAGGTTGAGTGTATTGACAGAGAGACAGGGAGAGGAGCAAACATGCCACATGTCTGAAAACACAGGCTCATTAGCAACCATACGTATGAGCTGAGGAAGAATTACCAACTGACACACGCATTTTGACTGATAGCTGCCCACCGATCCACCTACACGCACATGTAGTTGATGAGTTTAAGGGTGTCAGCACAGTGGCTGGTCACATGTTTTCCAAAGTTCATCATCCTCAGCATGAATGGAGTTTGATTGTGAGACAGACACTCATTGGGCAGCAATAAAATAATGGCAACTTGCCACAATCTAATGTACATACAAAAACTTAACAAATTAACTTCCTTTAATTGAATTAACTGTTAATGGAGTTTTGAATGAAAAAGGGTAAGCTATGTCAAGGTTTCGTAAAACAAAAAATACAGCCCAGTTTCAACCAAAAACACTGACTTTTTACCTTCACATCACCAACAAAGTCTCTAGGATTGTTCAAGCACTTCTTGATGAGCAGAGTCAGACAGATAAGACAACTAAGAACAGCAACTTAAGACTTTTGGAAAATGGACTCTAGCAGCACAGAATCTTTAGATTTAGAAAGAACAATGAGGTGTACAGATGTAACAATTGATCCAAAGATAGCGAACAGAAGACACTAAAGAAGGTAATTCATCTGAAGAGATATAGAGGAGAGTCAGGCAGAGAAAGGATCATCAGAGTAAGTGAGATAGCTTGATAGCATAAAGACATCATTTACTGCAGACTTAACCAGAGTCTAAGAATAATCATTAAAGACACGGAGCTTGTGAGGAGAAGGTAAGAGTGACCGTAAAAGTTCAGATACCTTGAGGCAGCAGCAGCAGCAGCAGCAGATCAGCAGCACGTGGGTTCCTATGAAGGAGTGACTGCGGAGGGAGAAGGACAGTGGATTGAGTGGCCCTGCATGTGATCAGATGCGTGCCACAGACACTGAGAGGCCAGGCTCTTAGAGGAAAAAGAGAGTGCAAGGTCCAAAAGCAGCTGATAAGTAGTCCTTCATGAGTTACTCAAGGTTACATCCTGGATCTAGAAAAAATCCTCTCAACTCAAGTGTTAGGGGAATTATTCAGCTCCCTTTTTTGGGGGGGGGGATTCATAAAGCAACCTTTTTATTATTGTGATGGTAAGGGTTTTTTTTTATGGGTTATATCAGAAAGATAGGAGGAATCACCTGTTTGCAGGATGTCCGGATCCTATAAAACATAAAACAGCTTACTTTGTTACAGATCTTCCTTTTGACATGATAATAAAATAATAAAATAAAAATAAAATCTAAGAGTCTCACTATAACCCTGAAAAGACTCTTCAGTCACAATATGAGTTTCTCAGAGCACTCACTTGATTTGATTTCAAAGGATGCGGTTTTACACGCAGTGCTGACAGACAACAAGGTACACGTGGAACGACGTTACAGGTTAATAAATGATCAATAGGCTCGAGCCTGACGTTGTAAACTTGACTGTCTTGTATGAGCGGCTCAGGAGGAGCCGTGTTGGTGAGATACAGTCAAGTAGAAGCAGCTGTTTTAGGGGGGGAGACTCACCTTCTCCAGACGGCTCCGTGTCAGCCTTCTCCTGGGTGTGCAAACTGCTCCCAAATAATGTGTTTTTATTCACCTCTCCTCGCCTGCTCGCCCTCTCATTCTCCTTTCCTCTCTAGTCCAGTCAACAAGGAGCCTCTTCGTGCGTCTTCCTCCGCTGTCTCTGCGCGTTTGCTGTGTTTGCTCTTCTTCTGAATGTGCGTCTGCGGTATTTTTCACCTCTGCGCTCCTCAGCTGATGCACTTGTGGCTTTTATATACTTCTGGTTTCCAACGTTTCACTAAGGAAACGAGTCAGAGGAGGGGAGGAGGGAGGGAGGCAGGATGGTGGGGGGGTGGGGGGTTTAATTGCCTCGCATTGTGTCTCCTGAGTGAGTTTCGCTGGGAAGGTATATGGTTTTAATTAAATTATCCCGCTCATCAAACAGGTGTTATCATCACAGGAACTGAACTATTACCGGTGGTCCTTTGATAAATGTGAACAGTGAAAATACTGCAACAGGCAGGGAGTTTAGGAATATATATATATTGATATATATTAATATATATCATAATAAATATAAAATGCGGGTTGTAAACTCACTTTAGGTACCAAAGACACACTTTGGGTCCACTGTTATTTTTAATAGGGTCTAAAAATGTATGAGTGGCTAACTAGACGTGTGGGTAAATTTATATATCTTCATAAAATGCGAACTTGCTTGCAGAAGTTTAATATATCTCTCTATAACCAAAACATTTATAAAGTAACAAAATGTTGATACTACTAATAGGCCTAGAATACATTAAGATTAAATTAAATGTTTATTATTTTTGTGCAGGATAAACAATAATAATGATAAAATAAAGTGAAAAATAATGCAAACTGAATATTATATATAGGCCTATTATATATGTGCAGTCAAATTTTAATTGTTTGATGGATGAGCCAAACTATGGACCATAGCTCCCTCTTGTGGATTTAAACAATACTGAAGGACAAAGAGTGTGTCTCTCAAGTGGAGTTTATTCTGACTCTAGCAGGCCTTTTTTAAGCACCCACTGAGGGTGATGTAACATCCCTACAATGTGGTCAAATTGGATTAAACGTGTAGTTTTAGTTTAGTCTAGTTTTATTTACTCAAGAAGTTTCATTGAGATCAAGCTGGCTTTTATAAGAGAGACCTGACAACAATACATGGACATCACAATAAGAGTTATAGCACACACACAGATTGACTGATAAATAAAACAGTAAACAAATGCTATTATTAACAAGCAGAATAATGTTGAGATGAGTGTTACTTTTGTTGAGATATTTGTGTGTCCCTTTAAAACTCATAATAGGAAAGTCTGGTTTGTCCCACCAGACTCAATACATTTTTTGGACTTATTAAGAAAACAAAATAACAATGTTTTTAAAGATCACCTAAAGCAAATTGAAAGACTTCATTAGCATTTTAAGCGGTATACAAATATATATATTATAACATACTATAATGTAGTTGTACCCAAAAAATGAGGACGTTTATAGGTTTATAAGTTACTAATGTCTCTTATGAAGACACAATGAGTAGCATTACACTTTTTTTTTGTATTTTACTACATTGTAATTAATTATCTGTTCATACAGCAGTTACCACTAATGGGTGCCCACAGGAAGATTTATAGTTGTTGACAAATACATTAATAAACACTACATTGTAAAGTGTTATAAAGCTTATTTATTAAATATTTCTATGCTGCTTATGAATGCTAAATAGGGGGACTAAAGTTAGGGTTTTCCGATACACCCATTTGTATGTTTTACTGATTTTGCTTTATAAACACATATTTAAAAAAGTATCTAATAGGCAAATTGTGGGAAAAATAGACTACAATTAACATGACACTTCTTTGTCTATTGCTGGTCTAGGGGTGGAGTTACATTGTACCTAAATGGCAGCTGTAATTACCAAAATCACCTTAATTAATGGTCATTGTGGGCTAAACCACGTCTTTGTCTCCCAAATAACTGTTGATTCTTTTTAAATTGTAGACCAAATATGCATATTACATGACCTTTAACACTTCGAAAACTTTTGTCCTTCCTGCTGAAGATGATTGATGCTCATTGATGAGTGAGAAATGTGTTACATGCGATTAAAGCCTGCAACCATCACCATCACACCTGTGGACTGTTGTATTCACTGCCACTCCCTGGGTCTTTCTTAAACTGAAAACTATTAAAACGACTTTTCTTTCTTCTTCGTCTTTCTTTTTTTTTTTTGATTGAGACATGTCCCTTGTCGCCCACGAACGCATGTGGACAAACTTCTCACACATGGCTCCTTTCACTTCTTTTGTCCCGCTCCCTGCCCTGAGCATTCTTTTCCTTGGTTACCGGTTGTCATGGTTTCAGGAGCCCCTGTAGGCTAAAAACTGGAGGGATTAAAGGCGGCCATTTTGGGGACAGCTGGGCCAGGTTGGTCCCTGTTGCCCCCTGTCCCGCTCCCAGTCACTCTGGGGGGAAGAGGGGTAGCATTGTGTGAGGATTAGAGCTTCCTGTGTGTCAGCTCATTACACGGGGTGGGAAGAGGAGGGGGGAGTACAGGGGTGAGGGGGTGAGCAGAAAGAGTGAGGGAGAGAAATGAAAGAGAAAATGAAAGAGAGTGCGTATGAAAGAGCGTATGACACAGAGAGGGGAGGGCAAGGCAGTGGGGAGGAGGGAGGGAGGTGGCGGCCTCTACAGCTGCACCCTCAATCACACTCATACAGGGTCTGATTATCCTTTTCACACATACATACGCACACACACACACGCACGGTACTGGGGAACTGAAACATATTAAAAGACACTGAGGGCAAAAAAAGGCAGAATTAGGAGACAGCTAGCCCAGCGCCCCAGACAAAGGACCCCCCGATCCAGACACACAGAGAGCTGGAACAAACAAGTGAAAACTGACCAACAGCGTACATGCAGGCGCACACAGAGTAAAAGCCATGCAAACAGAATACTTAAGCAGATAAATGAATTCACAGAGATGCAGGCTTAAACTGAACCCAGACAAAAAATACAAACCCCCCCTTAGTCTTGAAAAAACACAGACAAGCAACAAACAGGTCTCCTCTTCACATCGCCATTGTTTTATTTATCTTTTATACAACACATGGGAAGCATGGGAACATATTTTGTCATTGCTACAAAAAAGGGTTTACAAATGGTAAAGCAAAGCATACAAATACTAAAACTGGGCTAAGCAGGAATGCAGTGAGTGTAGACAAATTCTGCAGGAGCAGAAAACTCTCAAGTGCTTTGAGAGAGGAGAGCAGGGGGAAGAGGGGGGGAATGAAAGATAAAGGAGGGCGGGGGGGTTATAACGGACAGAGCTCATCCTTGTTGTCGATTTGAACCTGAAGATATCATCAACAGCAAGAAAAAACATTTACAATCATCAATTTGAGGGTAATTAAGGTAATTTGCCAAGTTTACAGCTATAAGTACAAGGACTGTTCACAAAAAAGTACTGATAATCTAACACAATCATCGTCATCATTATTATCAACATCATCATGGTTATCGTCATTGCTAACATGTGTTTATTTAAGTAGATGTTTCGGCAGCACAAGACACAGTGCAACTCACAGTGCAACTCAGCACATCAGAAACATGCTTTCAGCAGCATGGCATTAAAAAAAAGGAAGGAAGAATAAAAGAACAATAAAAAGGCATAAAATGTAACTGCAGCTCATATTTACAAACATTGGCCATTAATAATTTGGCCTGTTTTGGTATGGAGTTCATCTTCTGGAACTTCTGGACCTTCCTCTTATTCAAATCAGCTTATACAGTATGTGCTGAGATAGGTGTCAGCAAAAAAAGCGCAAACAATTAATTCTCATTGTGACAATGCTATGAAGTGTGTACGATAAGGCCTCACTGTGGTCTTTGAAATACAAAAATACATGGCTAAATTACTACATTCACAAATCTCTTGTAATGTTACCACAATGTAACTACAATACAAACTAGCTCTATCTGCCTAATGCAAAAGGTAAACGTGAATTAGAATTAATAACTCTACGAAACAAGTCATTCTATTAAAAAAATACATTCCCTTGTCAGGACCCTTTAAAGGCTGACTGCAGCCATTTAATGATACTAACTCTTCTACACAGAAGTGTCCATAGACTCGTCCGCCACACTAGGAACAACACTGATTGGTAGAGGATCTGTGCTGTCATCTTTCTCAGGGGATTTAGCCAATCCCTGCTTTTCTTCTTGCTGTCCTGGGTTCTTATTGGCTGAGTGTGAACTGCGATCCTCCACAATGTCATTTTCATTGGTTTGAGCCTTGGAGGGGGTATTGGTCAGTGATCCAGGGTGAGTTTTCATATGGCCCTGTCGATGGGAAACACAACACATTTGTAATTTACTCACAAGTCCAGTCCAAGTATTACTTCCTAAATATTTTCATATTACAACATCAAAATACTTGACTTTTAAACAGTGTCCACAACATCTTCAACCCTTACCTTAAGTCCGCTACGGCTGGCATATGCCTTTCCACACTGGGAGCAGCTGTATGGTTTGTCTGGGCGAGGAGGCTGGGTGGGCAGTGCTGGTGCTGGGACAGAGGGCTCTGGGTCCTCTGAAGGCTTTTCTGGGACACCCTCCTCCACTGGAGCGTCCTTCTCCGGCTCTTGATCCAACACTGGCAAAGGCTCTCTCAGTGTGGGAGTCTCACTCTTGCCTTTGCTTTGGGCAGCATCTTTATCTTCTGCCTCCTGTGGCACATTGTCATGTGCCTCATCTGCTTCAGGGATAGCTTTGGGGCTGGCAGGTGGGGTGAGTGCAGGTAAGGGATTTGCAGCTGGTGGTTTGGGGTTAGAATCAGGACTTGTGGTGGGTTTGTCTGTGGAACAGGTTTCATCATTATTAACCTCTTTATGCAACATATCATTTTCTACTCCAGGCTTTGAAACACAGAGGGAAAGAGGGGTGTCATCTGCCTCTTCGTCTCCATTCACTACAGCTGAAAGAGAACTAGCTAAGGGTGCTTTGAAAGGACTGGTGCTGCCCAGGTCAGCATGGGTCTCCTCCTCAGAGTTCATGGGGCTACCACCAGCTAGGGAGTTGTCTCCCAGACGCAGGGGGTCCTCAGCTCCCACTGGTGGGGGATTACGGGTCAGGGGTGGGCTAACACTGGGTGTTGAGCCCTCGGATTCCTCCGTCTTCACAGATGTAGCATCAGCAGCTGTGGATTGCTTAGAAGTGGACCCTGAGTTGAGAGCATCCTTTGTAGATTTGGAGCTTGTTGTTAAGGCCAGAGGAAGGAGTTGTTGGGCTTTAGATGGGGAGTCTATGGAGTCATTCTTGCCATCATCAAAGATGGCATTCTGTGTCTCTGCACCATCTTCAGTAGGCATATCTTCGTCAGGTGGTATTTGCCCTCCTAGATGCAAGCGGATATGATGCTGAAGAACCAAGGCATTGGTGAACTTGCGTGGGCACAACGGGCAGGAGTTCAAGGCACGAGAGTTGGCTGGTCTTGCACGGTGAGTGGCCAGGTGGGCCCTAAGGCTTCCCTTGGTGGAGAAGGAACGACCACACAGCTTACAAGGGAACGGGCGCTCTCCCAGATGTGTGGCCTGGTGCAAACGCAGAGCTCTGGGGCAACTGAGGACACGCAGACACACTCCACACTGATTAGCAGCCTGGCCAGTAGGCAGAGAAGCGGTAGCTGTGTTAGCGCCAGAACCTGAGACTCCCTGGCTGGTCATTAGTCCAGTAGCATTTGCACTTGGGCTCAGGCCGAGAGCAGCCAACATTTCCCTGCGATAGGCACTGGAGGTGGTGGTCAAATCATGGCCATGTGTGTCCCCATTTGCTTCAGCAGAGGTTTGTGAGGAGGAAGAAGAGGCACCTCCATGTGGCTGCTTTTCAAGCTTCTGTACCAAGCGCTGCAACTTGGAGGTGTCTGAGGTCTGGGTAGAGGTGGTGGGAGAGGAAGAAGAGGGGGAGGAGGTTGATGGTTTGGGGAAAGGTGGAAAAGGGAAGGGAAGCTGATGAGGCGAAGTGAGGTGGGAGGTGGATGGGTGGCCTGGGGCCCGGAGAAGTGCAAGGTGGTGAGGGGAGGTGCCTCCAGGGAAGAGAATCTTAGGGAGGTGGGCCAGTTGAGAGTATGGGGAGGTTGAATGGAGGCCAGAGTGAGGAGGTGTGTTTTCATCAAATCGCTGTTGCTTTACTCCTTTGAACTGGCTGCCCATGGAGGAGGAAGACGAGGATGAAGAGGAAGAAGGCAGTACAGTGCTGGATGCGCTGGCAGCAGCTGCAGCTGAGGCTCTGTTCAGCTGTAGCAGTGAATGGGCTGTGGACAGCAACGCCATGTCCACTGAGGGAGGCAGAGGTAGAGAGGAAGGAGAGGCCCGAGTGGATGCCCCAGACAGGAATCCTAAAGCCATGTTCTCTGTCATCCCAGGAATGCTTCCTTTTACTGCATTAAACGGCTCGTCGTCATCAGCCCGCCGTTTTCTTCTTCTCTGGATGGCACTAGGAGCAGGGGTACTCTGCATTTGCTCCGACAGTGCTGGGGGCAACAGGGAAAGGGACAGCTCTGGGTTCTGCTCTCTGTGTCGCAGGAAGTGGGCCTTTAGGTTCCCTCTGGTTGTAAAGCGGCTCAAGCAGACTGGACACTGGTAGGGCCTCTCACCTGTATGTGACCTAAGATGGATCTGGAGAGATGAATCACTGCTCAACACCTTCCCACAGAAACGGCACACATGCTGAGGGCGTCCTGCTGAGGAGGCGGAGCCCAGAGAGGAACTGGGCTGGAGATCCTGGGAATGGCTGACGGTAGGAAGGGGAGGAGTCACGAAACTGATACCATTGTTATGACCAAATGAGGAGGTGTTGGATGATTTCTCATTGAGGTAGCGCGGTGGTAGACCCAATGACAAGGACAAAGGGTGTAGGGAGGCAACAGAGGAGCTAATAGAGGATGAAATAGATGAGGAAGATAAAGAGGAAGAGGTAGAGGAAGATGGAGCTCTGCTGCCATTAACATGTGAAGCACCTGATTTGGAGACAGGTTGGGGGAAGAGGGAAGACGGAAGGCCAGTCAAAAGTGATGAGGCTGTGGTTACTGGCGTGGCCGTGGAGGGGTGTGTTGGTGATAAAGATGCTGCTCCTGTAGATTTCTGGTTGGTGTCAGAACCGATAGCCTGTGTGTTATTATCATGGCCAAAGACAGCCCCACCAAGCCTTAGAACATGCCTACAGATCTCCTCTGTTATCTGCATCTGGTGGATTTGCCTCTGCTGTAAAACCCTGAGCTCCTCTAGTAGTACTGCCAGGGTCGGCGGCACCTGGATCTGTCCCTGCTGCCCTGGAGAGCTGGAGGCCTGCTGCTGACCTGGACTGGAGCTGTCACGGTGAGGCTGCACACACTGAGAAGAGGAGGAGGAGGAAGAGGAGGAGGAGGTAGTGGTGGTGGCTGAGCTGCCCATTGGCGGGGATGTCATTGTGGAATGAGAGTTTCCTTGGTGGGACAGGCTGTGGGAACCTGAGGTTTGACCCAGGGGAGGAGGTGAGTGAGCCTGGGACGACAGTGAGGGATGAGGAAAGTCTGGGGAGAGGGAAGAATGGGTGTTGGGGAGGGAGGTGGTGAAGGGGGCAATGTGGCTGGGCCAGTGAGGAGGAGGCGAGCTCTCGCTGGGCAAGGAGGGCGCGTGGAGCCCACCAGGGGATGGGCGAGGGGCCAAAGGCGGCTGGCAATCTTGGAGAGAGGTGGGGGACGAGGAGGAGGACCCTGATGAGGTCACTTCTGAGCCAAGAGATGTGGACGGTGACTTCATGCCCAGGTGGTCATCTGGAAATTGACAGAAAAAAGGAGAATAAGAACTTTTTAAAAACTTTATTTACTTGTTTGCATTATTATGCAATCTCGTATATGAGCCCAGATATTGTATGTAAATTCATTACAACTTTCTTCAGTTTTGAAAAAGAGTGTTTATTTAGTTATTGTTCACAAGTTTTGTTTGCAAATGTGTGTGCATACCAAAAGATCCTATTACGACTTCAAAAGTAAATGCCTGCTAAGAAATGGCCTTGAACAAAAAAAATAAACAAGTGAAAGAAACTCGGCAGTCTATGAGTCTTTGTAATGTCTTGTCTCAATCTGTGCTCTCCGGAGCAAAACTCCTCAAACATCTTGCACACACAAAAAAGCTTACAGACCACCTTGCTGCTATGGCAACACATTTTAGAGGACAATGGGCATCACCAAGACAACCCATAACCCCTCTTAACCTACCCCCTCCCTACAGCAGTTACGTCTTTCATCTCCCTATTCACCCTTCCCCCCTTACGTCACAGTGGAGGTCAAGGGTCAGGCCACGCTAAGGGTTCTGGGCACTGTCCAGACACTCTGATTGGTCAACTAATCTGACCTCTGCTGCTCAGGGGTCAAATTCTTTCAGAATCTTGAGCACAGAGTGAGAAAGAGTAAAAAGAAAAAGAAGGGGGAGGGTAACAACAATGGAGAGACAAACTAACTATTCCCTCCTGGAGTGATATAGTGATGGCATGAAAGACTGTACCTCTGTGAAATTCCTTCCCAGTGACTTATAAACAAACCTGAACCTGCAGGAAACACTAAAATAACTCCCAGGCTAAACTTCCACTTTCATTTGTGGAAGTTTACCTGCAGAGCCTCGGGTGCATGCACTTGAAGATGTAACCCATTGCAACACAGAACAAGTGTGAGAGCAATGTCTCTATCCCCTCCTGAATCTTTTTTTCTCATCTATCTGAGCCCCCCCCCTCCCCCAAGTGTGTAGGGGTATACAGTCAATAGAGCTGGGGGGGAGAGAAAGAGGGAGAAAGAAAAGGGGAGGGAAGTATTGAGAAGGTGGAAAATGGGGGAAGTGGGGTGCATAAGAGAGAAAAGCATGGACGGAGCGCAAAAGAAGAAGAGAATAGAAGGGTGGAAGATTAATCTTTACCAAAAACACTGCCTTCCCTTCCCCCCACCCATGCACCTTATTGTTAACAAATAAGAGAGTGCTCTATACTAATCAAAGACCTCCAGCAGTCAGCCCTGAGCAGCCTGTTGGTTTCCTAGAGGACGAACAGCACATGAAAATGGCCACAGATGTATGTTAGTTAATCCTACTCTATTCACTTCACAGAGACAAGTTTATTGGCCCCGACCAAAGTGCCTAAGGCCTCCATTTAGTGGGGCCCATTACAGTGAATGACAAAGCAGGAGGGGTTTCTTTAGTTGACAAACTTAGATCTTAAACTTTTTTTTTTTGTCTCTTAAATCAGGTGCGTTTGTTGGAATGTGGCCATGCGTAAATAAACGTGTGAAAATGACAGCAATCATCGAGAAACCACGGAATAAATACACAATTCACATAAATCTAAACCCAAAGTGTTTGCTTTTGTTAAGTCATCTGAAGATTGTAAGACTCTCAGAGTGAATGAGCACCATTAGGGATGCAGAATGGTTGCCATCTTAAAAGAAATGACAAAAAAAAAAACGCATGCACACTCGTAAAGATGTTTTCTCACCGTGAGATAGCAGCCTTGGGCCCCCCGGATCCGCGTTAACGAGATGCTGGGGTCGCTTCTGCTTCCGGCGTGACATGATTCACGGCGAGTCAGACGGAGAGGGGGGCATCAGTCGGTTGAATGGCACTAGGCACGTTTTTGCGCACTTGGAAGCGCTCCTGAAACCATCCAAGCATCCAAAGTTCAAAAGTCGCGCAAAATCCCGCAAAGTCCTGAGATTAAAAGGAAATTTCAAAGGCAATGTGTAAGATCACCTCTAAATGCAAAAAGGAGCGTGTTTTTTTGTTTGGAAGAGTGTCAAAAAATAGGACATAGGTGTTTGGAAATCCGCAGGTCTGCACCGTGTCATAGGAAGCTGCCGCGAGTGCGTGTGTGTGGCTGTTTTCTAAAGTCTCTTCTCCCCCAAAAAACTTGTCCAATTTGCGCCCCTCCTCTCCCACTGCTGCCCCGCTGCATGCACATACAGGGAGCACACACACACACACACACACACACACACACACACACACTATACACACACACAGAACCACTCCTTGTTCTTCAATGATATTTGCATTTCAATGGCGTGTAACACACAGCCTCCCTGGTTCTCTCTTTCTCTTTCTCCACAGCTTTATTTTTTCTTTACACACTCACCCAGCAGCTATAAACTTTCAATAAAACATGACAATTAGGTGTCAAAGCCGTTGGAAGCCTAAAAAACAAATTTAAATAGGCTGCTAGAATTGGCTTTAACCCATTGCTAAAGATAAACGTTTAATCTTTCATGGAGGGAAATTAAATCATCATGGGTCAAATTAAGATACAATAACATGTCTAAAAGAAGTCCGGTGACTCATCAATTAGGTGTCATCTGTTTATGACCCCCCCTAGTGTACTGCGCCTAGTGTGTAGTTCTCAGCAAGGTGGATAAATAATGAAATCATAGCCATAATAAGTGGCTGGCAGGTGGTTTTCCAGAGTCAAAAATCCGTCTTCCCAGTGGTATTATTGTGCCTGATGAGGAGTGAACAGGCGATATTTCTACCCTTTGATTTCCATAGGGCCAATTATCCACAGTGGTGCAGTGAGTGGCTGTTGTGTGCAAGTGGGGCCACACAGCCATTCCACATGCATGCATGTATTTCGTGTGTTATCACCAAAGCGCATAATACCCCCACCCACCCCCCAAAAAAAGCATCTTACACTGGAGCTCTATTTAAAAGGCAGAGAATAGATGGGAATCTTTGACAATGGCGTGCTGGACACAGTTGAGTGAGCATCTCCCCTCTCTCACTATGAACCCCCGGATCCACTGCTGCACAGCACAATGCCCCTCTTTCACCCCCCGCCTTTACTCCTGTACCACGTGGAGAAATGGATAAAAGAGAGAGAGAGAGAGAGAGAGAGAAAAAGTGGGAGGAGGTGGAGGAGTAAAAGGGGGGTGGGGGGGCCATATTTAAGTAGGTGTCTCACATTATACATAAATCCACTCAGAGGCTGTGTAAGAAAAAAGAAGGGCATTATTTGATTTTGGGGGGGGATAGCTGCCATGTTTATCTAAAGGGTTACAGATAGGGCTGCGCAAGTGTAAACAGAACATGTAAAGTCAAAAGGCCAAGTTGCTTTAAGTGTCATATTTTTAGTGGAAGAAGTTCTTATAAAGTGAGTAGCACTAGCACAAAAATAAAATACTCCAGTCAGTAAAAATAGCGAATTTATGATGTATTAGTTTCAGGTAGTTGTAAATATAAAAATACTCACTATGCAGATATGAAGAAAAAATATATTAACTATATTTCTTATTCCTTACACAATAGGCAACATACATTTTGAGATTTTAAGACATGTCGTAGGTTGTTTTTTTATTTATATATTTAAAGTTAAAGTTTTGAGATTACACCGGTGAGATTCGGAGCTGCAGTCAACCAATCAGATTACAGCATTCAACAAGCGTCATCTGCTGCCACCGGCGGAGCGGGCAGACTAACCGGTAGGTTGCGTGTATCTACCGGAATTACCGGGAGAAGTAACGGCATTGTTCCCTTACGGTTGCGGTATAAGCTTAACAGTTTATAGTTGAAGGGAAAAGTCACAGTTGTGTATTTCTAAATCAACTATTGAACAGAAAGAAAGACAGTTTAGGTGCTAGCCTGCTAATGCTAATCTTTAATGGCAGTTGATGTAGCATTGAGCTAGTTATGTAGCTAACCTAAACTTAAGATACTTAACTAGCCTAACTACTATTTAGTAATATTTATATTTATATATTATATTATATTTATATATATATATCTCTTTGATAAAGTTTAGAGGCTACAATTATACAATAAGTTACATGAAATTGTTCTCAAAGTTAGAGGAGGTAGCTACAAATTAGGCTATAATATTACCTAATTGGCTGCCAGTAAACACAATAGAGCATTATTATTATTATTATTATTATTATTATTATTATTAGATGTGAGTTTACTAACTAAAGTATCTTAACTAGTTAACACTTACAGAAAATAAAACCTTCAATGTTTGTGTTTTCCTTATCCAAAAGTTGTTGAAAGTTAACAACAATAGAAGTTAAATGTGTCCAGCTCTCAGTTTTAGTATTAAAGAGGAGTGAAAGGCAGTTTGTCAATAAGTTTCTAATGGTTTCTTTGATAAGATTGGGAGTCAAAATGTTGCCTTTATGATGTCTGACAATGAAACTCTTTCAATGAATTAAATAGGAAAATTCATAAAATACAAAAATATTACAATTTTGAATGCCAAACCTGATTTAAAATCCCCAAATTCCCCACACAGGTTTCTTGAAACCTCTGAAAATGTTATGTCCAAAAGAAATGCTAATTTAAAAGCCTCTTGGTCAAATAGCTTTTTATTTGCCTTGATAGAGTTTCAAACTCAAAGTGATTGCTGTATAGACCCATTACTGAAACATTACTGTACTTTCCACAGTCACAACCATGTCTATCTGCGACGACACACTACTTTGTAACTTCTCAAAGTGTCGGACCAAGCTGAGCGGCTTCGCCTGGGTCACAGCTTGCTCACATGTTTTCTGTGATCAGCACGGGTCCGGTGAGTTCAGCCGCTCCCCCGCCATCTGCCCGGCCTGCTCCTCTGCCCTGTCTGGGAAGCTGGACATTGTGAGGACGGAGCTGTCACCCTCTGAGGAGTACAAAGCCATGGTGCTGGCTGGTCTGCGACCGGACATAGTTTTGGACATCAGTGCCCGTGCTTTGGCCTTCTGGAGCTATCAGGTCAAATATCATTCCTGTCTGTATGTATATGAACATAGTGTGCTGTCTGTGTCAATCTGGTTGTCTTCTCTTTTCCCACAAAACACCCAGCTTGTCGATATCTTTGTAAACAGGTCCACCAGGAGCATATGTATCAAGAGTACAGTCTGTCACGGGCAGAGGCACAGCTGAAGCAGATGGAGAAGGTGTTGACCCAGCAGAACCAGTCCAGAGAACTGGAGCTCACTGGCATGAGGGGGGAAATCGCCTCCCTGAAGAAAGTAAACCACAATTCTTAAACTCAAGTGCAGATTAATGAGCATAAGATTGTTTCCAAATACCAAAATGACTTGGTTTGTCCACTTTGGGTATAAATAGCTTAGGCATACCCTCTGACCTGCTAAGAAATACCGTTGCTGTACTATAATGTGTTACACTTGAGATAAGATTGTACAAAGGGCCCTGGGGGGGGCGACAGAGGAGCAGGTCCATGGTCACTATCTCTCCCTCTTTCTTGACTGTATGTGATGAAGAAATAGAAATAGAAGCTGTTAACCTCAGATATCTACAGTAAGTATGTAAAATTTTATCTGTACTCTCTTTGAAATCTTATCTTTTAGGCACACATGGTGATTCAGGTTAGGGCTTGAGGTAGAACATTAAAGACCTGAGTTTATATCAATATATGGAAATAAATTGTTTCCTTCAGGTGATGGAGGAGTATAAAAGGAAGTACAGCGAGGTGTCCGAGAGGCTGATGGAGAGGAACAGGCAGTACCAGAAACTACAGGGGTTGTACGATTCTCTGAGGCTGCGCAACATGGTGGTGGGTGTCGGGGACACGCTGCCACAACCAGGACATCACGACTTCAACACCGGTAAGAGCAACAGGTTGAAATGAAAGGCTTTACCGCTTTAAAGGTCACACTCTTTAATATACCTTTCATATGGATTTCACAATGAGAGATGTAGATTGTTGGAGTTTATGAATCATCAGGCCACAAATGCCATCCTTCTTTATACACCAACTTTTTGACAGTGTTTGAAACCATAAAAGGAAAATAACGAGTAGTAAGTATTACATACATAATTGTTCCCTGTTATCAATTATTATCGGTTTGAAAATGGGTAGGAAGATTTTCATATTTATTATTTATTTATATTTAATCATTCAATACCTGTCCTGTTTATTAAATAATATATGATTCAAATGTGAAAAACATTAGTCCCGAGACCATTAATAAACAAAAGGTTTAAAGTTCAAGTTTTTCACCAACGATTTTTAATAATCAGTTAATAGTTTAAGTTATTTATTAAGCAGAAATGTCAAATATTTGCTAGGTACTGTAAGTTAAGTACCTTTGGATTTTGGACTGTTGGTCATCGCCACATATCGCTGTAATGTACATTTTTTCACAATTATCTGACATTCTGTCGACTAAATGACAAATCGATACATTGATTAATGAGGCCACAGATTAATCGATAATGGAAGTAATCATTAGTTGCAGTACAAAACAGTATGTTTGCCAAGAAAGAAGTAAACTGTTATATAACACACTGATGGTGACAGGAGATCCGCAGGGCTGCTGGTGTTGGAGAATAGCAGCTTCTCATTAAAAAGCATTAACCTTTAATAAGCAGTTTAAGTTCTATTCAGTACAAACGAGAAAAGATTAATGTGTTTTTCTGTCTGAGAGTTTTATTAAATTAGTTGTACCCACAGTGATTAATGAGAATAGGAAGGAAGCACAGAGAATAATGTTGAATGACACAAAGGAAGACACAGCTGTAGGTGTTTTGTCAAGAAGAAGCGGTCATCAAGGAAGAACAGTAGGTGTAATGAGCTGATTGTCTATGTAAGGGAATTTTACTCCGTATAACAATGAGAGACATCCGACAACCCCCTACATGTCACCCAGGGATGGCTCGGCAGGCGACTCCCCAGAGAAGCCCTCAGTTCCTCTCCATGGGCTACGATGGGGACAGCAGATTCTTCTCCTGCCTTGAGGCTGATGGAGCCAAGACCTTCTTCCAGTTCAGCTCCCCCACCAGGGAGAGAGGCCAGCCCTTCATCAAGAAGCACTGAGACCGGGAACCAGGTGTCATAGTGACTGTTAAAACACTAACTTGACTACATTTATTTATATATGTTAAGAAATTGTTGTGTTGTTTTAGTGTTAATTTAGTTGGCGTGTTTGCCCTGAGTGAATAGTGTTTATAGTCATTTGAACTATAAATGTGTTTTTGGCCAATGTAACTCAAACTAGCAGTGAAACTTTTAGTCCTGGTCTCTACTTAAGCATTCGTTTGTGTGAAGAAGAACTTTGACAATGTAAATACAATTTACTCTTTAATTTACAGACTCCTGCCTCACAGTCTTCTGTTTACTTCTCTGTTTGCAATTAATCCAATTAGGACTCCAGTGTGTTCGTTTAAGTATATTCATGTGTAATAACCTCAGTAAAGACAATGGATTACTTGTTTTAGGCCCCCCAAAAAAACAAAGCACTTAACATTGACTTTTATAGTAAAAAAAAATTAAATTAAATCATACATTTTACTTTACTGATACAGTACACATATATTGCTAAATGAATAACAGTAGGTGGTCCGCTATACACAGTGTAAACAATTTGATTTGTGGTGTTGCACAAAGCAGAAGACTTGGGTTTGTTGAATTTTCAGCAATCTGGGTTAAACCTGAGCAACTGGCTGGTTGTTGACTGGAAGTTTAAGGAGACCTACTGAGGTCCAGACGTCGATACTGAGTGTAATGGGAAGTTTTTTTTACTGCATAACAAACAACCAAGGCAGTTGGTTTTCTACTATGTGAGTGACACCAGACAATGTAGCCCTACTGTGACATTTTGCCATGTCACAGTAGGAAAAGAGGTGTAAATAATCAAATTACTGTCTCATGTGCCTATCAAGTTCAAATGCTGCTGTGAAAAAGGCCTACTGTTAAATTAATGTAATACTACTAGTACGTCCCACCACTTTGAAAACTGCTGTTTTAAGACACCACACAAACAATATGTTTAAGACAAAGGAATTTTTTTTCAGGGTAAACAAATGTCACAATTCTGACATCATATTGTCATTATCACAGGTTCATTCATTTACTAAAAGAACTCCAAGTTGTCCCCACAACAACATAATACAAAAAAAGAAACATTTATAAATATAAACAAACGGGCTCTCTAAAGACAAAGTAACAGGGCGACCTCTATATACAAAAACACATAAAACAGGCACAAACTTTGGAACTTCCTTAATTATCCAAACTCTTCTTCAAAAACCAGAAAAAATTTTGGTCCTCTTGCTTCTTGTTGAGCTCATTCGCTCTGGGGCTTGTAACTAACAGAGGCAGCAATCTGACTTTGGACATTTTGTTTCTTGCCGTTGACAATGAGGAGCAGAGGAGAGTCCACTCGTATACTTCTGAAGTCAAACGACTGCCAGAAAGAGAGTAAATCCAAAAGTCAAACATTTAGAAAGACTTAATAAAAGACTTTTCAAAACATGTTGGAGCTACGTATTTGAAATACTGACCTCATCTTTATGTGTTATACTGTTCCGCTTGACCTGCGGTTCAGGAATGACTACAGTGTCTCCTATGAGGACGCCCCAGCTGTCCGCTGTGTTGTAAACCATCACCACTATACATGTCTCCTCGCTGTCCACCATGCCAAACGTACTGCAGAAAAAAAGAAGATCCAAATTTTCTTTCCATTATCACACCAGCACTGAAGCAAACAAATAATAAATAATCTGCACTTACAAGGCCATGCGACCCTCAGAGGCCAGGCTGAACACCACCTTGCCCAGGGCGGCAACCCCGGCGTTGTGACCATGCGTGAAGGAGGAAAGAGTCCGAGGCTCCAGGCTGCCCACACGGCCTGTCGGGGAACGGAACTGAGGGGACGAGCAGGGACCCATGGCCGACGTGCTGAGGTTAGAGAGCATCGTCCGTAACCGACGCGCCTTTACCTTCCCCTGAACAGAGGGACAGATTGAGGGTTAGGAGCAGAACAGCAGATATGGCTGAGTTTTGCTGCCACCTTGTGGTGAAAAATGTAATCTTTTGTCATCCTTATGACAATGTAAACAAACAAGCTCAAAGATTAGATTTTATAAAACAACTATATTACCTTTTTTTTTTTTTTTTTTTTTTTTTAAACAGACCAATGACAGAAAAAACAAAAAGAGGTGATGCCAAAAGTACAATATAATTAATTACACCAGAATAAGCAACACCTTCTCCTACCTTGTTCTGTATGAGTTCTGTGACTTTCCTCAGATACTCCAGCAGCTGCTTCTCCCTCTCTGGAGGCTCCTCCCAGCCCGGGTCGAGTGCCGCGGCTCGGCTGTAGCCGGCAAGCGCGGACCCGAACATTTCCTCATACTGGAACAGAGTGGATCGGTTGAAATGCAGCTCCGGGTAACAGGAGGCAGCTCTGTCCACTTTCTCCTACAAACGGGGAAGAAAGCAGTAAAATATCAGTACAACAGTGTAGCTAGTGCTGATGGACAAACACGTTAATGGCTCAATACTCACAGATTGTGCATAGGCACTTAGAGCTTGTTGAGACAACTGTGGATTCTGTCCACATGTAAAAAACAGGGACACATAGGCATTTCCCAGGATATCTGTAAAGACAATAACAGAAACGTTTTAAGATATTGAAGCATTGTATATTGACAACAAAAGATTTGACAGAGCACAAAAGGTCTGAGCGCTATTTGAACATGATTTTTAAGGTAACACAGCCACCAAATGCTGCTCTTTGTCTCCATCTGGTGATGGAATTATGCAGTCCAAGCTTTTATTTTGAAAATAGAAGGAAGGGTCACTTCCAGCTCTGCTCTCAGTTTGAGTTTGCACTCAGGTTAGGACAGCACATCATTTATACAATCACTGCTATAACTCTGCATACAAACAAACTGTAGTAACCAGACGCTCTACTCACACCAGGATGTCCCGTCTGTGACATCCAGCTGGACAGCTTGTCGGGCCATGTCCACACTCTCCATCACCTGCTTGCTATGTGCGTCGTTGTCCACTGCTGGCAGCTGTCTCAGCACCATAGACAAGTTACGTAGAGACACTTTGTTCTTGCTCTACGGAGGTGAAAGATAAAGCACAAGACAGATGAGTTAATGTTTGAAACCTTGTATGGAGGGAAGAAAGAAATGGGAGTCTCAGTGACTTAAACAGAAACAACCACAACGTGGTGTTTTAATTAAAAAACGTTTCCACATAAAGTGCCATAAATGTTAAGATACTTCAAAACAAATACGTCACAAAACATTTTAGATATACTTGCACCTAAAAGAAGGGCACTATCACGATTCCTTATACTGAATATCAAGGGAATGTAGTGCTTGAAAGATGGCTTTTTATGTGAGAAGCCGAGGAAAAGAATGCTTCACTGAGTTGAAAACATATCCCTCTCTCTTCCTGCCCTCACTGTACCTGTTGCAAGGCTCCAGTGAAGCAGTTCTTGGCACCAATCAGGTCTCCTTTTTTCCAGTACTGCTCCCCTAATGTGTTCCAGCCCTCGACCAGGCCAGGCTCCAGCTTGACAGCGCGGGAAAGGCACTCTTCTGCTGCGGCGCTGAAGTCGGGAGCTACGTTAAGACACCTGCCCTTCTGCAGCAGAAATTCCACTTTGTGTTTAAAATGATCTGCGGGACATCACAAACACAAAGGTACAAGTGGGTGTGAATGACATTCTGCAAATACAAAACACTTAATTAAAGCGCTGTTGTGTAAACATAAACATTCACCTTCTTTCTCCTCCAGCTTCCTCAAAGTCTTTTCTATCTCCTGTGCGACATCGCTTTGTTTCCTTCCAGCTTCCTCCACACTGTGAGTCTCAAAATAGCAGTCTCTAAAATTATACAGTTCATCCACAAGCTCCTGTAATGGGAATGGAGAAGGAGGGAGAAAGAAAAAAAAACAGATTGTGAATTCTTAGCAGATTTAAAAATAGATCAAAAGGCCCATTTCTGACAGTTAAATCTGCCTGTGGAAGAAAAAAAAACTGGGTCAATAAGAGATGCACCAATATTCAAGCATATTATTGGTATTTAGTGATATCTTCAATTTTGTGATCTTGTTTTTCTTGTTAATTGCTACGGTTGTTTTACTAATAAGAATATTCTTATATTATAAAATACAGGAGCCTTTATCGGGGATTAAACAGAGTCCTGGATTTACTTCCAGCTATGCCCATCATATTTCCACAGTCCACCAACCATTATGAAGATGAGGACAATTGCTCCATGTCTGAAAAAAGAAATATTAGAATGGAAACTAACTAAAAATGTACACTTTGAGATCAAATTCCTCATTGCAAAGAGTACTAATCAGTCTGTTGAAAACAACTGTACAACTGCAGCTCTGGAGAAAGTGAGAAAATAATCCCCAACTATGTCAGCGTAATCTTCTGGTCTTGGAGATTTACATTTTTAATCAGAAGGCCTGTGTACAAGCTGGGAGTGTGGAGTTTTAACTAAGTGCGCATTTACAAAAGAGAGGGGTCTTGAGAAAGAAGCAGTAGAGTTGCATTATGGGAATTGTAGGAACCATCATTTTGGTGGTTTACCCATATTTAGGACCTCATACCAAAGCCTCTGTTGTTTTAATTCTGTGTCAAATAAGTAACAGAATAAATAGACCATTGTTGTTTAAGAAAATAAAATACACACGCATTTAAAACATTATTATTATTATTTTTTTTACCATCTATGCACCTGCATTTGTCCAGCGACATATAATATTGTGTAAGCTTATCGTTTCGGGATGGTTTAGGTACACAAACATATATTTTGGCTTCAGAGAACATGTTAGCACATCCAGTCAGAGCCCACTGCTGATGCATTCAAGTCCCCAGGCAAACTGGTGACTCAGCAAGAAACAACGTTAGGATGGACGCAACCACAACATGCTTATGTTGCAGCCAATTTAATGTGGCACAGTTGAAGGGGAAATAGGTCATCCTACATATAAAACAACGCATAAATATCACACTAACACACACACACCACAAAGGCTGAACACCAAGAAAGAAAGAAAGAAAGGTCTGTGACAGTGACAGCTGCAGACAGTTGTTATAGTAACGAGTCTTTCAGGAGATGACCAAACTGAGACCAAATAAACTCATGAGAAGTGAACAAAACACGAAGCCTCGGACCCTTGGTGGATTTAACTATCCGTGTGAGACAACGGAGAAGAAGTACCTTCATAATTTGCAGCTCGTTTTTGTCTTTCGCAGGCTCGCCGCTCTTCTCGTCTTCCGCCATCTTTGCGTTAGCTTAGAGCGGCCTTAAAGCGAAGAAGAGCAGCAGCCGCTGGGGCGGAGCGAAATGCACCACGTTACTAAACTAATGATAAATAAAGTGTCTAGTGTTAATGTGATGACATAAAACAGTCATTTCTTTTCTAAAATAGCCCCAATGTCGTTGATTTCATCTCACAGGAAACAGGCTTTTAATTTCAGCGACGCCGGAAGTTGGAGTAGTCTGAATCCAAAATGACTCCGACAAAGAACCGCTGCACAAATGAACAGAGATACTTTTATTGTGGCGTTATTTGTCCCCAGAATACCACTTTTAGTACATTCTCAATTAAACTTTAATTATTTATCTATTCAACACAATAAAACCGCCATAATAATTCGTTTATACAGCACATATCAGCCGGAACCTTCAATCTCTCAACCAAGATGCCGGTCCGGCGCTCTTTCGCCGCGCACCATACATCATTGGCTCCTAACAAGCCGGACCGTGTTGAACTTTTGTCCGCACACTGTTCACGGTGAGCGGCGTCTGCGTCCCTACTGCTGTTGAACCCGGCTCGTCATGTCGGACACATGGAGCAACATCCAGGCGCACAAGAAGCAGCTGGACTCTCTGCGGGAGAGGCTGCAGCGGCGGCGGAAGGACCCCGCACAGCTGTCCGCAGGTACGGGGGGACCGGCTGGGACCGGCGGGGACCGGCGGGGCACCGGCTAACGATTGTTGTTGTTCTCTGAGTAATCAGTGGAGTATTTAACCTATTAATTGGTTAATTAATGAGTCAATAAGTTGCCACAGTTGGCTATGTTTTGTTACTCGAGGCCACAGTGTCTTAAATATCCAACTTTTATCAACAAGTTGGGGATGATAACTCCAACATGGCAGCTGTCAAACTTACCCAAACTAGCCAGAAGGTTAAATTATTAATTGGCGACTGATTGCAGAACAAATGTTAACTGTTTTGTTTTCTAGGGAACTGCTAATAATTGTGATCTTCATCTTTTAAATCGCTTGTTTTTGTTTGACTAACTGTGCAAAACACAGAGATATCCAGTTTACTATCACAGAGGACAAAGAAAACCAGCACATATTCATGTTCGTGAAACATTTGAGAAGCTGGAACCTGTGAATTTGTGAATTTGTGAATTTGTGGCTTAAAGAATGACAAACGATTAATCAGGACTGATTTTTTTCCCCCAACGATTGACTTCTGAATGAATCCTTTCAGCTCTTATAATTTGTAGGGCTACAACTGGGCATGATTTACATTATCAATTACTTTTTTCGATTGATTGGTTAACCATTTAGTCTATAAAATATAACTAAAATCAAAAGATATTCAGCTTGCAACAACATTAAAGATCTTGATCTATTTCCCTTTTGCTAAGGAATCGATTATCAGAAATGTTGTTGGTTAATTTTCTGTCGATTGATTAATCGTTACAGCTCTAATAATTAGCTGTGAGGCTGCTACACTGTATGTGCTTTGATAGATCGATTGATGTTTTCATTACTATTAGTATGTAGTTTTTTTTTACATTAATTAAAATTATGTTGCTCAGCCGTGTTCCAGTGAGCCTAGAAAGTCCTGGAAACAAGAGGCAATCTATTAAGAACTTTTTAAAATGAATGGTTGTCCTTGAATGTTTATAATTTGTTGCTTTATTGAAATAAAATACTGTTTACAGCAGGCTTAAATGTTTGTTTTCATGTAATTCTTTAAGTCTAAAATGCCAATGGGACCTGGAATTGTATTAAACAAGACTGTTAGTTTATGAAAACTCTGTTAAACTGATATCTAAATATTCTGGAGGATAGTGTCGAGTTCAAAAACCTCTAAACGCCCCTGTTGTCTCCTCTCGGTCAGACGGTGGAAGCAGCACGGAGGCTTCCACAGCCAGGAGTGACAGCCCGGCTCCATCAGCACCGGCGCCCCCTCAGGAAGAGTCGGAAAAACCACCAGACCCAGAACTAGAGAAGAGGCTGCTGGGATATCTCTCCGATCTGAGTCTTTCTTTGCCAACGGACTCCCTTGCCATCACAAATGAACTCAACAGTGTGAGTCTTGCTCTCTGAGCACATGCTTGTGGCAAATAGTAACGCAGGTTTTATATCATATTAACGACTTTGTATTTCTGTTTTGGAAATTCTCACAGTCTGAAACAGCCGTCAGTCATGGATGCATCCAGAGTCTGCTGCTAAAATTCTCCGCTCAGGAGCTCATCGAAGTCCGGCAGCCCAGTTCCGCCTCCTCCTCTTCCACTTCCTCCCCCTCAGTCGTGGTAGCAGTGGACCACACGAAACTATGGGCCATGATCGGGTCGGGCGGTGGAGCCCAACGGCCCGGAGTCAAGAGAAAAGCAGAAGATCAAACCCACCACAAAAGAGCTCCGGGGTTCTCGCCCTCGCTTCAGAGTGCTGCCTCTCCTCCCCACACCTCCTTCACCTCTCTGACGCCGGCTTCACACACAGCACTGCCACAGCTGGCGGGGCCTTCGGCGTCCGGGAGCGGGGCTGACAAGAAAGGCAGGAGCAGCAAAGGCCAGTCATCCCACATGGACATGGAGATAGAGAGCCTCCTGAACCAACAGTCCACGAAAGAGCAGCAGAGCAAGAAGGTAGGAAGGAGGGCCGGTATCCCCTCTTGTCTCCCACTGCACCCAGAATTATTGCAACCAGTTAAATCTACACATAAGTGAAGCAGGGTAGTTGGGAGGCGTGGTTATTGATACTTGATGTGAATGTTATTTAGGTGAGCAGGGAGATTCTGGAGCTGCTTAACGCCAGCACAGCCAAGGAGCAGTCCATCGTGGAAAAGTTCCGGTCCCGCGGTCGAGCTCAGGTCCAAGAGTTCTGCGACCACGGGACCAAAGAGGAGTGTGTGCGCTCCGGGGACACACCCCAGCCTTGCACTAAGCTACATTTCCGGTGAGTGGTTTCCCCAGCACGCTTTTAAAACTTCTCTTGTTTGTATTTATATCACCCCACCTTGATAAACTCTTTGTATCAGACACTCCACAGCAGAAAAGATCAAACAAACTATTTATATATTACGTATAGACACACCCTAATCCGTATAGATTCCATGAACACAGTAATTTAATTTGTATTGATATATTTCTCTACTGTCCCAGACACTTTATCTTTGTGTATATTCTGACAAAACACTGACTTCCTTAATGCTAATAATGTAAATACAGTTCTAAATTTAAAACATAAAAAGGTCTTATTGCTACATTATCAGTTTCATTTATTCAAATAGAAAAAGGGAAATGTTTTTTTTTATTGTTTTAGTCTCAAAATATATCATTTGTGGAGTTTCTCCTCATCTGAAAAGATGCTCTATGGCAGTGGTTCCATATGACCTACCTGGTGGTCGGGTTTTAAAATAAATCTCAGTGGTCCAAAGATGAAAGAATAATGTATATTAAAAAATTATAAAAACATATTCTGCTACATTATCTTTTGTTCATGTTTTAAACTTTTTAATTTCATATGAAATATTTTAAGTGGGCAAAAAAAGGTTGGGAAACACTGCTCTACAGGTAGAGGGTTCATCTGGGACAAATTTCCAATTTAATAAACTTTAAAAGACTTATGTGCAGGGTCAATATATTTTTATTTGCCTTCCGGTATTTTAACTTTTGTGTTAAAATAGAGGTGTTATGTTTTGGGCTTTAGTTTAGATTTTTATTCAGACATGAAGCTCTTAAAATGACATTACACAAACATTTTTTTACACAGCAAGTTTACCTTTTGTTATACATATTCTCTCATTCAGTCGCATTATCAACAAGCACACGGACGAGAGCCTCGGCGACTGCTCCTTCCTCAACACGTGTTTCCACATGGACACCTGCAAGTACGTCCACTATGAGATCGACAGCCCTCCGGAGGCAGAGGGGAGCATGCTCGGGCCGCAGGCTGGGACTACAGAGCTCGGCCTCTGTCAAGGGGACGCAGACAGCAACGTGGGCAAACTCTTCCCCTCACAGGTAATGAAGATGGGTTAGGATAGCGAGATAAAGATGGTTGATATTTTTGGTCGGCAATAAAATTCAGACTGTGGGTTTTTTTTCTTGCAGTGGATCTGCTGTGATATCCGCTACTTGGACGTGTCCATCCTGGGTAAATTTGCTGTGGTGATGGCTGACCCTCCGTGGGACATCCACATGGAGCTACCCTACGGCACGCTGACTGACGATGAGATGAGAAAGCTCAACATCCCCATTCTGCAAGATGACGGCTTCCTCTTCCTCTGGGTCACCGGCAGGTAACTACAACAATCCGAATCGTCTGAGGAAGTCGTCAGGATAGTTTAGATTCTTTCAGGCCACATATCCATCTACGACGTGTTGTCCTACAATATCAAGATGTCCTTGAACTTAACACCAACAAACAAATGTGAGATAGCCTGATAGAAAACCTGTATTTTATTATATTTTATTACCGTTTTTCCCCAATAAAGTTAAAGCTTACTCAGTTAAATCTGTGGGATTTATCCTATAACAATACATAGTCCACTAACAGCAGGGTCCTTGTCTGCTCATTTTCATCATCTGCCCAACTTCTTGTCTTGCAGGGCTATGGAGCTCGGCAGAGAGTGTCTCAGTCTTTGGGGGTACGTCTTTCCTTGTGTGCATCAACTACCATCAAGACGTAATTTTGTAAAGACACCATTTTATTTAATTAAAATGTTCTCTTTTTCCTCTCAGCTACGAGCGTGTCGATGAAATCATTTGGGTGAAAACCAACCAGCTCCAGAGAATCATCCGCACAGGAAGGACAGGCCATTGGCTGAACCACGGGAAGGAGCACTGTCTGGTAATGTTTGTCTTCCACTGCTCTTATGTATCCTCTTATACATTTTATACTCCCTCTGTCGTATACTCTATGTGTGAGCCTGCTGAGCTCAAAGTTTCAGGAATCTTGCGTTCAGGAGTTTCTACTTTTTTTGCATGTTTGTGCTTGGTAGTTAAGCCCCACGGCTAGAAGCAAGATACTCAGCTAGGACAGACTCAGTCTTTGTCGTGTCAGATTAAAAAAAATTTTTAAAAACATATCGTGTGATTTGTTTCTCATCAGGTGGGTGTGAAGGGAAACCCTCAGGGGTTCAACAGAGGTCTGGACTGCGACGTCATTGTGGCCGAGGTAAATTATTCTATCTCCTGTTGTACTTACTGTATTTACCTTCATATGATTTCTACTAATATGATACAGATTCCGTCTCTTCACTGCATTTCACTCTCTTCCAGGTCCGCTCCACCAGTCACAAACCGGATGAGATCTACGGCATGATAGAGCGACTGTCGCCCGGCACCAGAAAGATCGAGCTTTTCGGTCGACCCCACAACGTCCAACCCAACTGGTAACATACCATCATGCTTTCATTTAGAGGCAGAGTAACTGTTCCACATACGTTACGTGTACTGACTGATCATCTTCTTGTAGGGTAACTCTTGGAAACCAGCTGGATGGAATTCATCTCTTGGATCCTGAGGTTGTGGCTCGATTTAAGAAGCGCTATCCTGACGGCGTCATCTCCAAACCCAAAAACATGCAGTGATGACTTTATCAGTGATCACAGGTTTGGAGAAGTTTGTCTATAGACTGTTTTTTTTTTTTTTTTTTTTATACCAGTGAACTTATTTCTTAAATAAATGTTGTCAACAAGATACATCTGTCTGTGTCTTGGTTAAGGAATGATTGAAACTATGTGAAGAGATAATGTGAATTACTTTTGCAGCAATGTTATCTGTACATGACTGTATGTGACCCCCGCCCCCACCATATATAAGCAAGCAAAACATCACATTCACCACCAATAAAAAAACAAAACACAAGAGACATTTTTAATTTAACGTTTTTGTTATTTTGTTAGTAAAGAATAATGTTAGTTTGTAATGTAGTTTTGAATAGCTGATCATTTTTGCAATAAAAAAAAGGACAAAAGTTTCCAATTTCAGCAGGTTTTTCACAGTTTTTTGGGAACATTTTAGGCAAATGCAGAAACCCTGTTCATCCTAAAGGTCATGGTGTGTTAGAGTAAATACAGTTTTATATTTAATATAACAAGGAGTTTTTTCTTAATTATAAAAATAGTAAAGAAGTTATAATTTAGTGAGCTGAAGCCAAACATAACTTACAAAATGTAAATCATTTTGTTGTGCAGCTCATTACATAACGCTTTCCAAAGAGGAACTAAGCGGGGCAAAAAACAGCAGCTGGGTATCCTCAGACTTGGTCTGCAAATATAATATATATTGTCAACATGACCCATATGCATTTGATCTAGGATAAGGGTTGATGCATTTTATGAAAGAGCAAACCTTCTGTTTTGTAGTGTTTGATTGTCAGTGCACAGGGGTTTTGTCACAAAGCAGGATTCGGTTCAGTTTGGTTTAGAAATATGATTCATTCTCATGATGATGGCTGGTAATTATAAATAATGAATTCTTCATTGTACTCTGTAGTTAACTCTCCCATCCTACTTTGTGAAACATCCCCTAATTCACATGGGACGTTATCTCATCAGCAAATTGAAAAATCAGCGGTTTCTTTCCACAATGGTAATCAAATAAGAATTTGTAAAAAAAAAAAAAAATGTAAAAAAAACATCTTCCAAAAGTAATGCACTTTTTGTTTGTGAATGCTGTAAACAAGTCTCAATGTTGTTTTCTCTCTCATCAGTATCATGTCTGTTTGGGCAGTGGATCCTCTCCATCTAGAGTTCAGTCTTAATGCACACAGATTGAAAACCCAAGTCTCTTTCAGTCTGTCTTGTTGTTGGATCTGATTAATCATCGAGAGTTCTTTGTGGCCAGCAAGCAACGAGGGGGTTAAAATGCAAACAGCGGCTGTGCACAACTACTGCTGATCACGATAGATGCGTTTGCTCAGCTATCTGGCTCCCCAGGTCTGCACCTCAGGTTCCAAGCATGAATGTGCAACAAAAAACTTTGATACAGGAGTCTGTTCATCTCCTCTGCGGCCCTGCTCAGTAGGTGGCGTCCACTGCATTGATGTTGCTGTCTAGCTGGTGTCTAAAAGACAGCCTGGCCTTAGTAGAGAAATATATCTGGGAGCCCCGACTCAGGCTTCCCGCTCCTTCGCTGTCACTACTCCAGGATGTCGTGGAGCAGAGACGGGGCTTCATCTCCTCAATGGGAACTGAGGGAGCAGAAGATGGGGATAGAGAGTCAGGCTTTATCAGGCCATAGTATCAAGAAATGGTTGTTTACTTGGTGTATGTTTGAGGTTTTTTTTAAATATTCAGAGTGTACTTGCTCCTCACCTGCCGCTGGGGGGCACTGCCTGCTTTTGCAGCGCTCTTTACAGCGTCTGTAGAAAGGAAAACACTGCAGCATCTTCACACCCATGGTGGCAGATTTGTCTGTAGAGAGAGGGGAGGGAACAGAGACATAAATATAAGTGACGGGACAGAAAAAGAATACAAATTATGGACAAAATAAAAAATAATAGTCCTTTTCAATGCACAAGATTCTCATTGAGACTTACAAAACAGAAGTAAAGCGCCCTAAACTACAATAGTAACAAACCTTCTCTCAAATATGAAATATATGACATTTTCCCAGGATGCTTACTTCTACAGCTTCCCTTTAAGCTGCCTTTTAGTACAGCATGTCTGAGCTCCCAGGCCTGCTGACAGCTCCTTGTCTCCTCACTAGGTCACAGTTTAATGGAATTATGATCGTGCACTTCAGCAACGTGATAGGCTAATGTGAGCCGACAGTATCACTGAATGGCACAGTGTCCCAGCAACAAGCCAATCAGTCAGTATTTACAGTGCCATCATCATCCTCCACACACCACCTAATCCTAGAAAAGGACGTCAACGGGCTACGGCAACCAGAGGAATTGTTAAGCCCTCCTCTGACAGCCAAACACAGATTACATAGAGGTCGTCTGATGTCTGCAAGTAATGGCTGACAGGAACATATCTAAGCTGATGATGATAAATAAACAAATAAATAAAGCTTTAACTTTAAGAATACGAAAAGCTTCTAGTTCTGCCCTGAATATACGCCCAATCTTTTATCCAAACACTGCAGGCACTGTAGATCAGATTAATTGAGCAACAAGTCAATCAAGTTCTTAATTTCCCTCAAGCATTGTCCCTCTATCTGTGGCACCTCTGAATGATAAGATAAAGCCAGGTCCACATACCAGCACTGAGCTGTATTTACTTAGAATGGAAAAAAAGGTATTTATTTTAGTCTAATCAGGTTAAGAAATAGGTCAGGTGAAATGGAGCAAGGGAGGTGATGGATCTCAATAGTTTCTATTGTAATTGTGCTTTGGGGTAAAAGAGTTGTTTCTGCTCCAAATTAACTACACTTTTATGTGTTATCTTTTCATGATGGTGAACATCAGTAGCCAAGAAAAACAATTAACAGTGAAATTACTCTTCTGCAAAGTGAACAAAGGAATAACACACTAAATATAGACCATTTGCTGCCCTTATAAGGAAACTAAAAACAGCTCTATCGCTTTATGACATGAGGTAATAAATTGTTGTTGGATGACATTTTATAGACATACGTAAAAGCAAGGCTTTCATTACAAACAATCTTTTTATAAAAATGAGACAAAAAGTGACAAAGTGATCTACAGAGCTGCAAAAGACATGCTAAACAACTACAAAAAGATGCAAAAGGACCACAAAGAGACTCAAAATGACTACAATGCTACACAAAATGACCACAGAGAGACTCAAAACCACCACAAAGAGATGCAAAAGGGCCACAAGTAGACTACAAATAAGGGCAAAATGACTACAGAGATGCAAAACGACCACAAAGAGACTCAAAAACTCCCCTAAAGAGATGTAAAATGACCACAAATAGACTCAAAACGACTACAAATGGGGGCAAAATGACACGTCCAAATAAAGCTGCCCATTTCAGTCTGATGAAAAAACCCACTTGTGTGATAAATCACTAAGCCCCATTGTTTGTTAATCACAGACGGAAAGATTTGGATATCTGATGTCAAACAGTAAATGGTGATTGCAACATACAGCGTTTGGTTAACATCTTTTCCTCCTTTTTTTTTTCGCCACTGTTTACTGCTGATCCATCGTGCTGCTTGACTCATTTTCATGGAGACGTGACAGCTCACACATACACACGGAGTCACAGAGCTGCGGTAGCAACATTACAGACAAACCAGAGGGCAGACTTCTGTCCACTTAACTGGAATCTCAGATTTCACAGTCTCTCTCTCTCTCTCTCTCTCTCTCTCTCTCTCTCTCTCTCTCTGGATAAATTCACACAAAAAATGCTCTTTTCTTCTCTCCTCTGTTTCTTAACCATCGAATGCAACTCTCCATCTCATTTTCACACAGGTGTGGCTGTGAAATCCTATCCCGTTTACAGACACAGTGAATCCATTATGGTTAGGTCAATGTAGAGGTTCTGCCTGTGAAATGAGAACTCACAGTATAGCACACATTGTGAAGGAGAGAGAACAGGGACCATGTTTTTCCCCCCCACTTAGTTTCACTATACTTGCACAGAGATGATAAATTCTTTGTGTATTAATAACTCAGTGTATACTTTTTTCTCATAAAAATAAGCGTGCAAGGCATTTCCACGCACACACACACACGCACACACAATATTAGGGCCCTGGGGTCAGTGGTGAGGAATTTTGGGCCCAGATCATGATTGGCTGTGGGGGTCTGGCAGCGCCTGGGAGCCTGGAGGAGAAAAACAACCTCAGATGGCAAACATACCCAGAAAGCACAGACAGTACTCACATTGACCACAGGGAGAGGAGGGGAGGGAAAGTAAAAGTGGAAAAAAAAGAGACAAATATGCTCAAATCAAGGCTGGGGAGGATAAATGACGAAGATCTAAGTGAAGAACTTGTGAAAAAGGGGGGGATATTGGTCTGAAGCTGAGCCTTAACCTAATTTTCTCCTGTGAGCAACATGCAACACCTGAATAATGTGGTTCTACTCGTTCAATCAGTGGTGGCACACTCGCGGAGCTGAACGTTGCGCAATCACTGGAGAGAAACATTAGCAAGTAGCTCACGACTTGAGTTTTCATAATTTTGAGTGCATGTTTGTGCATGTTTACAGGGAGATGTTGGAGAAAGTTGAGCAACCTAAATGTATTTGCCTAGCACAATGCCTACATATTCTCCATTTCTAGACATCAGTCAGACTCTTCTCTCTGCAAAGTCCACGCTGAGCCCCTTATCTGCTTTGTAAACAATGTTAAAGCAAGCAGCAGAGAACATACGTTTACAGTATAGTGATAACGATCCTTCCCACAGCTCCACATTTCCTCTGCACTCCCTCTTTTCCAGTTGGTCCCTGAGGCTTTATGAAAAAAAAAACATGCAGTCCTGTCCTGTGTCACTGCCCTCAACACAAAGCCTCACACAGGCCTGCCAGGCTGGATGACGCACATGCTGCTCTGTGCATGTATACCTGCACAAGTGTGTTTGTGTCCATTAATAGCAGCATACAATCTGCTTTCATTCATATTCATCACAGCCAGTGGATAAATCAGCTTTTATGGTGTTTCTATAGAGCTCTCATGCAACAGACCAATCAAAGAATGGCAATAATGTTAGTTATGTCAGTGGTGAAAAGTACAACCCTCAAGTGCTTAAATACACTTATAAAAAAAGGCATTTATACATCCATTTTATGCTTCTTTATACTTGTGTTTAACTACATTTCAGATGCAAATATTGTACTTTTTACTCCACTATATTTATTTGACAGCTTCAGTCACTTTACTTATAAAGTAAACTTTTTACAAACAAAGCACTCTTACAACATATGATGTGTCCTTTAAGTAGTCAAGTAGTTAAGATTGGCTTCAGTTCAAACAGTTACACCATCAAAATGCAGCTTACTGTACACGCTAATCCAACAACTAACTCTTTAAGGTAAAATTTGGAATACAGGACTTTTAGGAAAGTGAT